GGGGGGCGCGGCCAAGGTTGGATCGGGATCGAGCAGCTCCTCCTCTAGGCCGGAGAGAGGCCAACCCTTCGCCCAGCCACCCGCCTTTCCAGCTCCTGGGGCGGCGCCACCACCCGCGGGGCTGGCTTTGCTACGGCGCCCTGGGGCTCAAGGCGGGCGGCTCTACCGGGTGACTTCTGCCTTCCTCATGGGGGATCCCGAGCGGCGGCGGCGGCGGCTCCTGCTGGTCTCCAACTCCACTTTGCACGGAGGGGGGTACCTGGAGCACTGCCAGGAGCAGATCGAGAAGTTTCTGGGCGAGTAAGTGAGGAACGAACGGCGGGGGGGGGAGGGGGAAGCCACGGAGAGAGGAGGTGGGTTGGGGGGGGATCTAGTTCGGGACTGGGAGGGGACCTACTTTTGCATTTTCGCTGAAGGGCCACGCACTCTCCCCTTCCGCATAAGATCTATATCAACCCAAGCCTGATGGGGCTGGGGAGGTGTGATCCCAGATTTAGGAATCTTGAGCCCCCGGAATCAGATCCGAGTGCTTGAATATCAGATCTCATGGCCCTTTTGCGTTATTTTGCAAAAGAAAAGGGGTCGTTTTATTGGCCCCAGTGTTAAATAACTGGAAATCACAAATCTTCGCTGATCTACACGGAGATCTACTTCCCCTCCAGCGTTGGGGCGGGGGGGGTGCCCATCGTAGTTGGTGGGTCGATACCTACAGAAGCCAGTGATGGGGCAAAGTAAGGCAAAGGTGGGTATTCGCACACCGAGGGCGGCAGGAACGCCCTTGCTCAAACAGCAGCTTCATTCTCAGCCTCATTCATTCACCTTGCCCCCTAACATTTGGGGCTGAGAGTAGTCTTGAGATGGGGCGGTGCGCTATTCGATGGAGCAGACCAACCTCCCCTGTGTCAGCCCACTCCTGCCCTATACAGAGTAGCGAATACAGTCATATTTGAGAGCTAATTCTGGTAGGCTTTCTTCAGTTATTTCCTCTGACCGTTGTTTCCTGCCCTGCCCATATGAAGAAGCCAAGGTGGTAAAGATGCCTTGCTTCTCCCATCATGAGAAAGGCATATATGAGAGCCAGGGAACAAGGCGTTGAAAGGTCACCCTGTGAATTTTCCTGGCTTAGTAGACAATACTGTAGAACCCTTTAGGCTTGCTGACTCTCAGGCTGTTGGCTAAAGTCTCAGGACGTGGCTGTGCTTCCTCAAGCAGGGAGAGAAATCTCAGACAGAGCAGCACCGGAGGAAGATATAGTGGATTTTGTGTGTGAAGTAACTTTGAAATCTGAGTACATACCCCTCTCCACTAGAGGAAAAGGAGGGGGAATAAAAGTCAAACAAACAAACAAGCAAATAAAGAAATACATTTCACAGCTGGCTCAGCAGGAAGGTGCTTGCGTGCGTGTGCGTGCACGCATGTGCATACACACATGCACACTCCAAATTACATTCGGTTCAAGTGCATACACCTACTGCTTCTTTTCCTGGTCCCCACCCTCTTCTCCTGGATTGGACCTTGGAAGCAGGGCAGGGCATGGAGCACATGCATCATGACTCCTGAGCCTTTTTGTTGTCCAAGACCTGACAATAAAGAAGACGACTCCTTTCTCTATGTCTCTTTGACATACTTATTCATGTTGCAATATTGGGGTGGAAGATGCTGTCTGATTCCAGACTTGGGCTTATTGTTACCTTGTAATTTTTCTCAGGAATGTGAGGAGGGTTCTTTTTGTTCCCTATGCTCTTCATGACCAGAATGCCTATGCAAAGATGGCAAGAGAAAAGTTTGAAAGTTTAGGTAAGAGGGCATTGGCGTTAGTGGGTTTACATGGTGGGTCCACAACTTTTCGGTTTTTTGCCTTGAGGGCCATGTTATAGCAATAACTGCACAACCTTTCCCGTATTCCTATATTGTCAAACACATACTACTTTCATCGACTTTTTGCTTATTTTGGATTTAAACATCCCTTCCTTCCAACCTTTGAAAGTGGGGACTGGGCCAATGACAGCCAGCATGGTACTTAGCTTTTGCAGACTCTCCTGATTGGTACAGAGATGGGCGGGCCTTGGCTCCACCCCAGAAGGGAGAGGAAAGCCCAGTGAAAGAGGAAGTTGTGGCAGCGATGGCTAGTGAACTCTTAGCTTTTAAAAGCCCTCCTGTCTTGTCAGAAGTGTGTTTTATGTGGGAAAGATGTTTGGGGATGGCCCTCCCACCCCATCTTTTCCCTCGTCAACACACAGAGTCTCCAAAAGAATGTTTCATGCCAGTAAGGATGCTGAAGGATGCTATTCTGGAATCAACTTGCAGGAGCATAGGACATGACACTAAAAAAAGAGAAAGACTTCCTTTTTTGTCATTTTTACAGCAGATCCTGCACAAGTCGTGATCTGTGCTGCTTACTAGCCATCTAATATGGCTTGTCAAGTCTCTGATAACTTGACAGGTATCTAGGAAGCTAATATGCGTGTCTGAGGAGCAGGATTCATTTTGCTGGGTCCGTTAACTCCCATGAAGGGCAAATTCATGTCTCTTGTCTCTGTGCGATACAAGTGTTCTAGGCTGGATGAGGAGCACTTGAGAGGAAATGCTGAGAGAGAAGCAATGGGTATGGAGATGACTGTGCCTGTGGCTTATTGCGCTGTTGCAATAGATCCCCTACCTCCGTCTCATGCAGTGGTTCCCAGCCTTGGATGACCCAGGTGTTCTTTTATCACAACTTCCAGAGACCCTGGGCAGCCCAGCTAGTGGTGAGGGCTTCTGGGAACTGCAGTCCAAGAACACGTGGTTGGGAAACACGAGTCTAATGTGACCTGAAGACTTCCAAACTTGGGTACACTGAACGGCCGGAACTGCACTCAGTTTGGCCCTTGGGCCAACATTCTTTGGGTTGCTTTCAGATATACATTTTGAGTGTCAGGCATACAGAAACTTTGTGCCTGAGTCACTCCAAAGACATCAATGCCCATAGAACAAGCTAAGATGTTGGAAAGACCCTACCAGTGGCCTTAATGGCAAGTCAAAGGCCCCGTTTGCTAGTTAGCATCTCTCAGCAATTTTCCCTTAGCTGCTTCTTTCCTGCTAATTTCCTAAACGCATGGTCAGGGACACTGCTGCCTAATTAGTCTCTTAATCAGGGATTCATTACCGTACTTTACTTCTTGCTGGAGGACATTTATCTGACTTAAGAGCACCATGTATTTAAGCTCCTTCACACCGTGCACTGCTTAGCGTATTGATTTATGCCGTACTGTCTTTCCCTTAGGCTACGGACTCGACAGTATCCATGAATCTCTCGATCCAAGAGACACAGTAAGAGAAGCTGAAGCAATCTTCATTGGTAAATATTAGCTCATTTCTACGCAAGCCTCCCTATTGCTTTCTCGACAAGGAGAAGATAAAGTGCAAAAATCCTGTGGTGGTTGCTTAAGACTAAAAGGAACTCTGAACTCTCATTCTCCTTTGCCAGTGATAAGACCAGTCATGTTTTTGACCTATAACATTCATCAGCCCTAGTGAATGTGGGTAAGGGTGTGGGTCAGAGTGAAGGATGATGGGTGATGCAATCCAGAAACAATTGTGTCCCCTGCTTTCACCAATCCAGAATGTTGACTGTAAGAAATATAGGGCTACTGAGGAACTCAGGGCATGGCGGCCATGTGGTCCTTCAAATATTATTGGATTGCAGCTCTCGTCATCCCTCATCACTGGCTGTGATGCCCAAGTGTCATGGGAGATGAAGTCCAGGGACATGTGGAGAGCCACATGTTCCTCACACATGGTGCAGTCCTTTGGTTGTGAAGTTAAAACTAAAATTAGACTGCAGTCCTATGTGCATCAGGATACCGACTGGAACTTCAGAAGTTGCCTTGTGTCTGGTGAGAGCCTTGGTCCCCTCTTGGTGAGAGAAGCTCTTTGGTAGCAGCTCCTCGGGCATCTTTCTCAGATGTGGGAAGATGCCAAGGCCTGAGGTGGATCTTCTGTATGCACATGTTCCACCACTTATCGGCATGGAAAATAAGCCTCAGTTAACTCAGTGTACTTTAGTTCTAAGTAAACACACATAGGCTGAAATCTTGCAGTACATCACAACTAGAGTGATTCAGTAGGCCTTCCTTAGTTGCGACATAGTACTGGATTTCGGGCACTGGGTTGTGTTGTTTGGCTATAATCCTATTTGTGCATACCTTACATTAAGTGTGATTTGCAGTAGTCATGCAAAGCATGATTGGCCAATACTCCATCTCATACAGCTCTGTTCTTGGAAAGGATAGGAACATCCCGCCTCCCATCTCTGCTTCAGGTTGAATTTAGGTCCTGTTGGCCCCCACAAAGCAAAAGTTTAATTGGATTAAATGAGACTCTCTCTTCCTGCAGGTGGCGGCAATACCTTTCGTCTCTTGAAAAAACTATATGACAATGATCTGATACAGCCAATCAGGAAGAGAGTACTTGAGGTATTAATAAGCAATTAATGTATGAATGATACGAGTGGAACTTACTCTGAAAATGTAGTCATCTTAGTCTGCTATAGCAAGTCTTCAAGGGAGCTTGTGAGCCTCTCATTCATTCATTCAAAGGGACCCATTGGTACCCCAGATGTTGGTGAACTACTATTCTTGCCATACAGATGATGGGAACTGGAGTTCCTCAACATTTAGAAGACCACTGATCCTCTATCCTTTTTTTAAAGAAGTATATTATATTTCAGTGTTTTGGTCTAAGCATCTAGAGGGATGGACAGAATGTGGCCCTCCAAATATATATTTTTTGACCACAGTTCCCAGCATTCTTCACTATTGGCTATGCAGGCTACAGCTGATGGGAGCTGCAGTCCAAGAACAACTGGAGGACTGCACTTTGCCCATCCTGGACAAGCACTAACAGTTGGTCAGTGTATATGTATGTGAACTTGGCAGTGGAATGCTCAAGGTGGCTCCCTCCATCTGAGGCACCATGCAGTTGACCTTACCCGCCCAGACCCATATGACATGCACAGACTGGGCATCATTATTTGAATAGGGGCCAATTGCAGAAGGAGCCAAATCTGTGTAACAACCAATCCCAGAAGGCATATACATATGTATGAGATATCTAAGTGACAGCCTGTAATAATCATAATCCCCCATTGCATTTAGTCTTTTCCTGTTTACAATCATAGAAGGATCCCAAAGGCAGAAACACAGTATTATTAGATGTTGCTTTTATAACTACTGTCTTTTGAGAACAGACTTCCACCCCACATTAAGCCCTGCAATTATATCTTAACGGAATAATGGAGGATCCGGCAGAAGGGAATACCCAAGAGTATGTTATAGATTTCTTCTTAAAATACTGTAAGCTAAATGAAGAGGAAACCATGATGCCTCCCTCCCCACAACACACACACACACACACCAGAAGTATGGAACTAAACCTTAACTGCATGGTCTTCACAGTTTATCTGCATTAGATAAGGCATGCTTATCCAGGTGGCGTCTCTTTATCGTGTTTGAAAGTCGTTTCGTTTCAAGAGGCTGGATCCAAAGTACATCCTACATAGGTCACACAGAAATCAAATTTAAGTTAAGGATAACTCGGGCTTTTTCTTGATTTTGATGAGGCTGCAAGGCAGTTGACTTCATCTGAATCCAACTCCAAAGAGTTTAAGATTAAAGCAGAACTTCCCGCACTGGAGTGTCGGCTGCAATTTGGACTTATCCGGAAGCATGTCTAACTGAAATTTCATCACTTTTTTCTTCTGAGGGGGAGACTGGAGAGAAGAGTGACACAAGAAAATAAACCTAAATGCAAGTATTTATTTAGAGCAGGGTTAGGCAACTCTGTAGCCCAGTGGATGTTTTTGGGTTAGAACTGCTGGAGGGCTTTACCATTAGCCACACTAACTCGGGTCGATGACTGTTGTACACCAGTAACATCTGAAAGGGCCACAGCTGCCCATCCCTGCTTTAGATCCAGATATATAACAAATAAAGTATTGTATTAAATATTACATTTGTTAGGGGGATGCGGGTGCTGCTGTGGGGTTGAACTGCTGAACCACTAGCCTGTCAATCAAAAGGTTGGCAGTTTGAATCCACATAAAAGGGTGAGCTCCCGTCGCTTGTCCCAGCTCCTGCCAACCTAGTAGTTCGAAAGCATGGAAATGTGAGTAGGTGAATAGGTACCACCTCAGTGAGAAGGTAACAGCGTGCCGTGTCTAGTCATGCCAGCCACGTGACCATGGGAAGTGTCTATACGGACAAACACTCTTCAGCTTACAAACGGGATGAGCCCCTAGAATCGGACACAATTGGACTTAAGTGTCAAGGGCTCTAGAGTCGGACACAATTGGACTTAAGTGTCAAGGGGGACCTTTATTTACCTTTATTACATTTGTTAAGTTGGACAGGTTTGGTAGCGCTTGTTACATTTCAAATCTCCATTTCGGTGTATGCCCTTATGGCTTTGGAGTGAAGAGTTTGACTGGTTCTTTATGATTTTTTCTTTCTAAAGAGAATTAGGTTGTGAACTTAGGGCAACGGGACACATTCCCAGCATGGTTGTCCATAGGGAGCTTCTGTCAATTTCTCAAGGAAAGAAGTGGTGGGATTGTGCCAATTAGAGTTGCTGCTTAATTTTCAGCAGTCTGGGGGCGGGGGAGACTTCCATTTCATATAGTAAAATGGCAAAGTCTATGTTCTGCATCCATTCACCCACTCTTTCCCATCTAGGTTGCATCATTTCGAAGTTTGTATTATTTGGTTGCTTAATATTTTTAAATTCAAATTCTCTTTCTTATTGAACAGGAACTGACCATTCGAGCTGTAAGTGCTAGATAGTTCAGTGAGTTAGGTATCTGGCTGCAGAGCCAGGGGTTGGGAGATGGGTCTCCATCAATTAGAATTGACATGATGATGATGATTAAGAGGAGAAGCTAAAAAAAAAGGTAACAGGAATTCTACACACATTATTAGAAAGATTATGAAAGCTATGCAGCCTTCCCCAAGACAACTTTGATTTTTGAAACCTTTGGAAAGAATCTCCTCCATAAGTCGTGAGTATTTGTTCATAAACAGAACAAAGAAAGAAAAAAGCAAATGTGAGAGTCTGATCATCTAAGATGCTCCCTGTCTTACAGGATGGAATCCCATACATTGGATCCAGTGCGGGAACCAATGTTGCCACTATCAGCATCAGCACCACCAATGACATGCCAATTGTATATCCTCCTTCCTTTTTGGCCCTTGGACTGGTTCCTTTCAACATCAATCCACATTACTTGGATCCAGATGTTAACAGCACTCACATGGGGGTAAATCTTGAATATCTTTCTAACAGCTGAAGTACTTCAGTGTACCATTATAGTGGAATGGCAGACCCTTGGCCCTTCACATGTTGTTGGATTATAACTTGTGTCATCCCTGAACGTTGGCCTTGCCGGCCTCAGGTTGAGTTCTCATAGTATTTCACCTGATCTCTCAGGATATGAACGTAATGCCTGATAAGACCTCACAGGCACATGAAGGTTGTCTTGTGAATCAGTTATTGCTGCACCCTTGGCAGTTGCTTTGTGTTTGAGTGAGCAGTGGTTAACTGATGAAAAAAGGATTAGCTTCTGGGATTTTCCATTGCATGGTGTAACTTTGTGGATGGTAGTGAGCAGAAGAGGGTATCCAGTAGACCATCTTGACTGCTGCCATGGGTGTTGCCAACGTTCAGGCTACCCTTGTCTATGTAAAGCTTGGCATCCTTTTACCTGTTGTGTAAAACAGACACGATATTGTGCAGCAATATTGGACCATTTCCCAGCTTTTTGAATCCTGGATACAGAAACACAATATCCCCCATTCATAAACCGGGTTTTTTTTTTAAAGAGTTGAGTTATTTCAATAGGCTTTTGTGGGGGGAGCACATTGGCAGGCTTTCAAGAAACCGGCAGACTTGAATCTGGAGACATGACAGTGGGTTTGGAAAGCATAATTTATATTTAAGTGTGGTTTAGTATAATGACTGAATTGACACCCATGGTACTGTAGTGGCTAGAGCATTGGACTGGGACTTGAGAGATGCCAGTTCTAGTCTGCACTGAGCCATGAAACTCATTGGTTGAACTTGGGACAGTCATACTCTCTCAACCTGTTTAAAACAATGATAGTAGAGGCCCAGCGGAAGTGTATACCGCAAAGAAAGAAGCTCAAGTAAGTCAAAGAGAGTGTCAGAATAGCTAGCAAGTAGAGATAGAGAAGGTTGTTCTGGGTTTTTCGGGCTCTTTGGCCATGTTCTGAAGGTTGTTCTTCCTGACGTTTCGCCAGTCTCTGTGGCCAGCATCTTCAGAGGACAGCACTCTGTGCTCTGGTGTAGTTGGCTTGGGAGTGCACTCCCAAGCCCGAAAAACCCAGAACAACCATTAGATCCCAGCCGTGAAAGCCTTCGCGAATATAGAGATAGAGACGCTTTAAAAGGCAAGGAGGGGGTTCTTCTGTAAATGAAAATCCTTCCCAAATGAGAAAAATAAAAAGGAACACAAACTATGGCGAAAGAAATGTAAGAAGATGGTATGGAAGGAAAAGAAAGACTTTGAGGAATGTATGGCCACCAATACATAGGGGAATAATAAAAGTTTCTTTAAATACGTTAGACGCAGGAAACCTGCCAGAGAAGTGGCTTGCCCTCTGGATGGCAAGGAAGGGAAAGGGGGACTTGGAGATTGCAGAGAAATTAAATGAGTTCTTCGGATCTGTCTTCACGACAGAAGACCTTGGGCAGATTCCTCTGCCCAAGCAGTCCCTCCTGATTAATGACTTAAATCAGGCACAGGTTAAAAGGGAGGAATTTTTTTAGACCTAATTGATAAATTGAAGATCAGTAAGTCACCAGGCCCAGATGGCATCCACCCAAGGGTTATTAAGGAACTGAGGAATGAAGTTGCTGATCTTTTAACTAAAATATACAACTTGTCCCTTAAAATGGCCACAGTGCCAAAGGACTAGAGGGTAGCACATGTCATGCCAGTCTTTAAAAAGGAAAGGAGGGGGAACCCAGGAAACTAGAGGCCGGTTAGCCTAAGGTCTGTTCCAGGGAAGATGGTGGAAAGCCTCATCCAAGATAAACTCTTAAAACACATAGAAGAGCAAGCCTTGCTGAGGGGAAATCAGCATGGCTTCTGTAAGGGTAAATCTTGCCTCACAAATCTTTTAGAATTCTTTGAAAAGGGCAACAGGCATGGGGATGCAGGTAAACCAATGAATATGGTCTATCTGGATTTTCAGAAGTTATTTGATGTGGTCCCTCACCAAGGGCCGCTGAGAAAACCCCACAGTCAGGGAATAAGAGGGCAGGTTCTCTTATTGACTAAGAATTGGTTGAGAACCAGGAAACAGAGTAGGTGTCAATGGACAGTTTTCACAGTGGAGAGAGGCTAAAAGCGGTGTGCCTCAGGGATCTGTCCTGGGACCGGTGCTTTTCAACCTGTTCATAAATGATCTGGAGACAGGGATAAGCAGTGAGGTGGCAAAGTTTGCAGATGACATGAAACTTTTCCCGGTGGTGAAAACCAGAAGGGATTGTGAAGAGCTCCAGAAGAATCTCTCCAAACTGGGAGAATGGGTGGCAAAATGGCAAATGCGTTTCACATTGGGGCAAAAAATCAAAACCTTATTTATCAGCTAATGGGCTCGATGAAAGTGTCAGCCCATGTGCGGCAGCAGAGAAGAAGCCAATTCCATGCTAGGTATCATTAAAAAGGGGATTGAAAATAAAACAGCCAACATTATAATGCTATTGTACAAAATGATTGTCAGGACGCACCTGGAGTATTGCATACAGTTATGGTCGCTGCACCTCAAAAAAGACATAGTGGAACTAGAAAAGGTGTAGAAGAGAGTGACTAAAATGACTGGGCTGGGTCACCTCCCTTATGAAAAAAGGCTACAGTGTTTGGGGCTCTTTGGAGAAAAAGTGCCTGACATGATGGAAATGTTTAAAATTATGCAAGGAATGGATAAAGTGGATAGAGGGAAGCTCTTTTTCCCCTCACACAATACCAGAACCAGGGGGCATCCACTTCAATTGAGTGTTGGGAGAATGAGAACAGATATAAGAAAATATTTCCTTACCCAGCATGTTAAGTCTGTGAAACTCCTTGCCAAAGGATGTGGTGATGGCATCTGGCCTAGAAGCCTTTAAAAGAAAATTGGACAGATGCCTGGAGGAAAAGTCCATCGCAGGTTGCAAGCCATGATGGGGGTGTATAATCTCCTGGCTTAGAAGGAAGGTACCTCAAAATGCCAGATGCAAGGGAGGGGTATCAGGATACAGGTATCAAGTTGTCTCACGTGCTCCCAGAGGCATTGGTGGGGGCCACTGGGAGATACAGGAAGCTGAACTAGAGGAGCCCTTGGCCTGATCCAGTGGGGCTCTTCTTCTGTTCTTATGTAACCTGACCCTACCTCATAGAGCTGTTATGAGAATAATGATGGGAAGAGAAAAGTTCTATATGCTACCTTGTGCTAAAAGTAAATTATTATGTCCCCAGCAACTCAGTGTTGCCAGGATTTTTGAAATGGAGTGCTTAGAAAATAGAATATCAGCACAAATGACCAAAGCAGATAGGCCCAAGCAATGTTTCATGTACTGCATTTGAACACTCAAACCATGTTTTAGGTTTCTTGTTTATACTGGCAGCACAAGCTATGATTTAGTGTGACATTGTATAGCTTGTTGAGTTCTGTGAGACTTTTGTAGTATGCTCTTGGGTTGATAACTGCTAATTTTTACCGCTATCGCAGGAAACCCGTGAGAAAAGGATTCTGCAGTACCATGAAGAACCAAACACACCTCCAGTATTAGTAAGTCAAATGTTTTCAATTTAAAAACTGTTTTCACTTGAGAGTTCGCTCTCTCTCTTTTTCTTTCTCTCAGTTGCAGCCCATTCTTGATGTTTGTTCACTTAAAATGTTCTATGGAATAATCTGCTTTGTACAACAGGGTGGCTGGGGATTCTCGGACTTGTAGAGAAATGAGCTAATTTTTCCTTAGGTGTTTCTCCTGCCACAGTATTATCATGCTTCAGCATGTAGTGTTCAAGCTCCCTTTCCACTTCTGGACAAAGTATGTATAACTGGAAGGAATATGAAATGGTCAATAAAGAGATGACAGCAGCCTCTGGCTATCCATGTTATCAGGGCCCATGTATATTCAGATGCGCAACATGTGGCCCTCCAGCTGTGACGGGACCACAACTCACATCAGTCAGAGAGCATAGCTAGTGCTGAGGGGTGGGAAATGGAATCTCCTAACCCCAACTGGAAGGCCACTAGTTGCCTACCCTACCTCCCAGGTGTGTGTGATGCTTACCTAGTTGAATTTATGTTGAATATTAACTTGACCAGAGTATAAAACATGTTCATTTAAAGCTGTAGGAATACAGGAAACTTCTCTGTACTGAGTCAAATGCATGGTTTATCTAGCACAGGATTGTAAATACCTGTCAGTGGCTCTCTGAGGTTGGCGAGAGGCGTCTGCCAGTGTAGGATGCTGAGAATCAAATTTTGGCTCTTCTTCCTCAGAGTATCTTATACAGCCTGCCTCATATTGAGAGATGAGTATCTGCAATTCACATGGTGAACATGGCGGCGGCTGCATTCCTGGTATACACCCAACTTTGTGGGCTTTCAGACCTCAACTGTCATTGCTTACATTTGGCAGAAAGCATCTTCCCTTGTGCTTGAAGGGGGAAGGAAAAGCATGTGTTTCTTCTTTATTTTAACTCTACGTTTTGCTCTTCACCCGTGAAGGGTTTACGCGAAGGATCACTGTTGCTCGTGGAAGGAGACAAAGCAACCTTGCAAGGAAAAACTGGAGCTCGACTGTTTGTGAGGTAAAAGGAGAACACTATCCCTGCCACCATCCTGTAAATATAATCTTTCTCTGCATGAGTGCAAGTGTGATGAAGCAATTAAGAATATCAGACAAGGCCTGGGAAGACGTGGGTTTAAATCCTGTTTTCCCGTGGAGTTTGGGCCGGTCCCTTGTTTGCAGCCTGGCCTGCCTCACTTGGGTTCTTGGGAGGAGAACTCAGGAATGGTGGCAAGTCCTTGGTACCAAGTAACAAGTCCAAATCTTTGGTGCTACGTCCTGGGTCCCAAACCCCCAAGTCTGAGCCCTTATTAAAACCAAGCTTTTCCCCCCAGAAAAAAAGGAGGGGGTGAGTGGGTACCGAGTAACGAGCCAAGTCCAAGTCATTGGAGGTGGGGGGGAAACCAAGTTGAGGTGCCGGCGTGACTTAAGTCTGACTTGACAACAAGTAAACCAAGCTGAGGTGGTGGCGTGACTTAAGTCTGACCTCGAGTCTCCAGCCCTGGACAAGGACTCCCTACGTCACCAACCACTCAAAGGCCACCAGTTGCCCACCCTGATGTATGTGATGTTTTTTAAATTTGTCTTGAACGGTCTTGATGCAAAGGCAGGCTATATATATAACATATCATATGCAGCCTCCACAAACTCCATTCTGAATCGTCACTTCAGTGGTGGAGAAAGCTGGATCAGAACATTATATAACATATCATAACATGCAGCCTCCACAAACTCTATTCTGAATCGTCAGTTCAATGGTGGAGAAAGCTGGATCAGAACATTATATTGTTCGAGGGACAATAGCAAATGGCAACCCTCACTAGCTACCAAAGTCAAGGCACACAATGCCACAGGCAGGTGCAATTTTGAAATGTGAAGCAGAAAACCCTGTGACTATCACTCCCCTCCTTGGCTTTAAAAATATCATGACAGCGGAGTAAATACCTGATTATTTGCTGCCTGGTTGGCTTGGAAACGGGGATGAGCACCGCCCTCTAGAGTTGGACATGACTGGACAGTTGTCAAGGGAAACCTTTACCTTTTCGTGACACCCGATGGCTGCTGTCTAAGGCAGTTGGTTCACTCTGCTGAACAGTGGGGTTGGCCCTAGGTGAGATGATGCAACCATAGGTCCTAGTGATCCATCTGGGATCAGTCCTGGCTTGTCTCTTCATTTTTTTCCCAGTTCTTACTGCCTTTTCCATCCTTGGACATGTGGCATCTTAATTCAGGTCAATCCTAGTGGGGGTGGGGGGACCCAACATGAAATAATCTCAGCACACTTATTTGCTGTGGAGACTTCTCCTCCTCAGCATCCAGGTCTTATTTCTCAAATAATTTGCGCAAGTGTTGAACAGCTGCTAGAAAAGTGTGGGCAACTTTGGAATGCCACAGTGTGCTCCAGGCCCATGAAATGCCTGGAAACAGCCCAAAAAGTTAGAAAAAGCAAAACCAGAAGGGTCCTGGACATTCACCAGTGCTTTTGACTTGGGGGGGAGGCATGGCTGGGGGAGTCCATCTCAGTGGGGGAGGGGAATCGATTTTTTTGTAAAACAATAATACAAGTGTTTGCACTTGGAAGTAGGAGGGCTGCTGAAGGCACCCCACTTTGATCACCCACGTACCAGGACATTACCTGTATGCATTACCTGTATTGCACCTCAACCTCCACTTGATGAGAGCTGTTGCCACCAGCAGGGTGACAGCTCCTGCATGATCAGATTGTGTCCCAACCAGTTGAGCTTTAAATCCTCCCCCCCCCCAATGTTATGTGTGAGAAAGTAAAAGGAGAATAGCATAGGAAACCCCAAGAGTGCCCTCCAACACTTTGTGCTCTGAGTCAACACTCTTTCTGGAACATTGTCTTTTATGCAGAGGGAAGACCCCAACAGAGCATGAGCCTGGAACCGATTTCAGTTTCCTGTTGAATGAAGATCCTGAGAAGCTGTAACGTGGGTTGGGAGTGAACCGAAGAGCGCCGTATGTCCCGGGCAGCTCCCTGGCTAGCAGAGAAAGAAATGTCTTATGGAGAGTGCAAAATCCTATGAACTTGAGGGCTATTGTCATCTCAAAAAAGGAGCCTGGCACCCGCTCCCAGGTTGAGTCGCAGCTTCTCACAGCACAGCTTCAGGATCTCTTTAAGTGGAAAAGCCTCAGCTTTAGAAAGTAACACAGCAAGAGTCCCTGGGTGAGCATGCCGTGTGCCTCCCTCTCACTCTCATAGCTGTTTACTGGAGGAAGGGCTTCCAAATCAGTTGGAAGGTTTACTTGAGCCTTGGCATCTCCTAGCACGGCCTGAGGCAAAGCCAGTAAACTGGGGGAAAGTGGTGGGAATCAAAAGGCCAGCAAGGGCAGGATTTGCTCCCCTCCATCCTAGTCTGGCTCTGTAAGTTTTAAAAACTATTTTGCAGTTAGCCGTTACTAAATCTCCAGAAATAAATGAACAAGTGAAAGTTTTCCAATAGCTCTGTTTCAATGAAAGGAAAGACACAAGGGTTGCACTGACTTACTTGTTTTCCTGGCTGGTAAAGTCTCAGCTCTGGAAGAGAACCGAGGGGTGTTCTAAAGGAAGCGTTTGCTGTGATGGGGACAGTGTCTGTTACCTACAGTATGACAAGTTTTCCCACCCAACAAGTCCCAGAAATATTGGAGATGGTGGCTGATCAAATAACAGGATATTTCCATCAACCAGCAAGCTAGGGGAGAGGTCGGGGTGGCTAAGGGAGAGGTTTCGTGGGCCTTCCCTTTGGTCACTTTGTTCAGTCTGTTGCCTCATTTTGGCCAGTCTGGACTTGGCTTGCCAGAGACAGGTGGCTCCCTCCATTCTTCTTTCCTGCTTTGGTCCTCCTGCTTTGGAAAAGGATGTCATGGTGCCATCCACTGGGCCACTGTAAGCATTTGCCACAGGAAACATTTCAACACCCCAGTCTCTACCATAACCTCTTGGCGTCTTCAGTACAGTCATTTTATCAGCAGCCATCTCCAACAATTCTCTTCCCTGTCAGGAGGCAGGCTTTTCGTAGGTAATGGACACTGTAGCACCAAGTCGGGAAGCAGAATGACGGTGTTCAGCACTTTGAGAAGCCTTTACTAAAGAGTGATGGAAGGCAACCCTTTTCTGTTCTGTGCTTGCTTGCAATACTCTCTCCCTGTCCTCCACAATTGGATCTTTCCCTTTTCAGTTGTCTCTAATGCCTCAGACCATGAGACCTTGTATGGTGATGGTGGGATTTCCCCCACCCCCAGCTCCATCCAGCTGGAGTCATGCAGGAGTAGCATGGATGGTTTGGCCACTGCTTCCAGTTGACTTCCAATTACAAGAAAGGATATTTCAACCCAACCTCAAGAGGAACTTCCTGATAGAAAGAGCTCTAGATTACCAAGGAAGGATTCTCCTTCGTTGGAGGATTTTAAACAGAAGCAAGATGGCATTTGTCAGAGATGCCCTACCTGTGCAGATTTCCTGTTTCGGGAGGGGATGATAATATGAGACACTCTTAGGATAATAGGAGACAAAGGTCCAAGGAAATTCCATTTAGGGAATAATGGAAATTAAGCCTTCTGGGCTCAGAAACATTATACCCAATAATGGGGATGGATGTATCCATCTGGATTATAGACTTAATTTTCTGCCCGGTGTGTCCTAACTTAATCACAGGGCTGGAGCCTTGCCAGAAACATTGGTACTAGAACTAAGCAAGATCTGTTGCAGGAAGGCTCAGGAGGAAGGTGGGTGGCCTGTTTCTGTTCTCTCTGGCTGGAGGCACCTGGCAACAATTTATTTATTTATTTGATTTATTTATTTGATTTATACCCCGCCTATCTGGACTACCAGACCACTCTAGGTGGCTGACCACTACCAGACCACTTTAGGTGGCTGACCACTACCAGACCACTCTAGGCCAACAAGAGGATCTGTTGTCCCTTTCCAAGAATCTTTTGTTCCATACTACTTTTTAAAGACTTCACAGATAGAAATTGACTTCATCACTCAGTTTATCCTGCCTTTTAGCATTCTGCCTCATCCAAAGTTCCTGCCTTAAGTCTTGCCTGTCCCGATTTAATGCCTTGATCTATAGTGTGTGAGGTGCAGCCAGTGTGGCCCATTCAAATCCTCCCATTCAGTTTTTTTTTTTTTTTTTTGCACCTCTTCCTCTTCAGCATAAATGTAACTTGATTTTACATTTGGCATATGATGTTGCAGGTTGGACTGTAGAGGTAAAATCCATCTGTAGACATACCTGCACGGGGGTTGGGGGGGGAGAAAGAAGGTGGTGGGAAAACCTTGCCATCTTCATTAAGAGACCAAGGACATGTTTCTTTTGTATTTAATTGGTTTCAGACCCTTCCGTTATATACAAACCTAATTTTGACAATCCAATTCTATGTACAAAGTAAGCAAGCATTTTTAAAAAGGGTTAAATTACAAATCTGTAAATCCTACAAAGTGCAAATTTTAAAACATTTTCCACCATGCTGTACAGAAAGAAATTCAATGTTAGCCAATATACATATGTACATACAAGCTCAACATTATTAAACCATACCACTAGAACATTAAAATAATACAAATAGTATATTATTTAACCTCAAAAGCACCCCGAAAAAGAGGAAATGTATTGCACAGAAGACTAACAGAAAATTTTTTTGACATTACATGAAGGCTAGTTGAAACTAACTATATCAAAACACTTCTACAATAAATTTGAAGGCATTTTTGGCATTAAAATCTGTTTGTAATCAATCACAGTTGCACGAGCAGAATAATCAGTATGAGACCATCATTTGCCTCCATATACATAAGGCGTAGTGTTCCGTTTCTACCATATGTGTAGTGTTTGAAGCAAATGCAGAGGCACCCATTAAGTGATTTTTAAAAAATAAATCTGTTTACTAGCAGCACAATTTCCAAGGCAAGTTACTGATTATCCACAAGACCTATCATTCTAAACTACTGTGCAGTACGTCCTCCTTGTGTGTGTGTGTGTGTTATTTTAATTTTTGCAGCATCAAAATGAATAAAGAAGATGCACAATAACAGGCAAGTAAGAGGGCATTTTCGAAAGTAACAACAAAGTGATATCTATTAAGTCAACAATGGTTGTTACTTTTCTAAAACAATAGTGACAATGACTCTCAGGCCCCCCGGCTAGCATGACCAAATTGGTTGCAGGAGGGCATGTTGATTTGGGGGGGGGGGGGGGAATTCTGGGAAGTGAAGTTCCAGGAACTATGTTTTCCAGGCTCTATAAAAGAACACTAGGCTAGCTATGCGTACTCACTCCCTTCCGAAGCTAAATTTAGTACCTCCACAATGACGAATTGCACCAATAAATAAAAGCCCACCCCCATGGGCTTTCCCAGTATGACTCCTGCTAAGATAATATTTCTATTACTGGGGAAAGTAGAGACTACCAAGTAATTAAATGCTAAGACCAGTTTGATCTTGTTTGGTTTTTCCAAACAACCCACCCACAAAACATCAAGAGATATTGAAATGTTACCATCTGCCACAGGCACATCAGATAGCTAATCTGATCCCTGTTTGGTATCCAGCTTCCAGAGAAACTCCCATAAGGAAGGAAATTCCCCCTTTGGAGCACTCTTGACAGAATGCAAAACACCCTAGCCTCCTTCCAACATAAGTTTAAAACTGCTTAACTTAACCCTCTTGGTTTCAGTGGGCATGGCTTTTGCCTGTGAAATACAGTCAAAATCAGTCGCACCGGGTGCATAGGTGTACTTCTTCCCACTCTCTAAAATACACTTACATCAAACTCTGAAAGTACTAGTACAGCCCAACTTCAGTTTGCAAAGTTCCCTCTCTCCCGGTGTAAAAGTGACTGCTCTTGTCAGCATACCAGTGACTACGGGAGAAGGGATGCCTTATGGTGTTGGGTCACATATCTATGCCCTAGAATTAAGTGAACACTGTGCTTCAATACTTTATCTAATATGCAGAAGAAATGCATAGACATCTCCCTTTACGCCTTCACATACCTTTTCCATGTATAGACTCACACCCCAAAAACCAGATGCTATATAGAGACCTGTACCTGTTAAACAGATGAGCCCTTGATGACTCAAGCATAGTGTATAAATAAAAACAGCACATGATGATCCTACTGTTTCAATTTCAACTACAGTAACTGTTTTTGTGACTGTGGGGAACTCGATCTGTTTCCCCTCTAATTCTGATACCTGGAAGGAGTTCTTCCTTTTGGGAGCAGATTCAGGAGTGTCCTGCTACCACCGTTAAGAAATGGGCCACACGGTTCTCCCCTTCTATTCATTTGCAAGCATTAACAAACCAACTTGTGACAGCTAAAAAGTATAACAGAGACGTCTCTTAAGTAACTGGCCTGAGCAGAGACAGTTAATACAATAACAACAATGTGTAGCAATAAATACCAAACAAATACATCTAAACAATATACTGTACAAGTGATACTGTATCTCCCAAACTACTTTGATTCCCTCCCATCTAGAACCTTTAGTATTTAAGTTCAGATTTCTGGAATTAAGGCGGCTTTGGCACATCAGTTCTCTCTGAGCCCCCAAACACTTTGAATTTCAAGCTAGCTTGAGATTTATAAACACAAACTGTGCATGAGCAGTTTGTGTTTACTCTGAAAGAAAAAGAGAGAGCGGGGAGAAATTAACTGCAAAATTTTGCTGCAGATGGTCACTGCACTGAGAAATCAGATCACTGGATCATGGACTTCAGTTTGCAAGGATGTCTGAATGTCAGTAGTCACAGGCAAATGAAGTGAATGTCCCAAACCTTGCATTTACAGAGGTAACAATTGACCTGAAAATCTTGGTCAGCATCTAGTGAGTTATGTCCACAAAGCGTGAAAACCTCGATTTCAAAGATTATCTACCTACGATTGCTAGGATTCACATGTGAATGTCAGTTATCTATCAAATTTTTCAGGTTCCCAGTAAGACACATACAGGGGCACCAAGGTTCCCTCTAAGCTGGGTGCATGCGCGCATGTGCATGCCTATGCCTCCTCGTGTGCTACTGTCTTCCTCTGCACAGCAATCATATTAGGTTCCAGTCATGATGGAACCCTGCATGCAGGGGTGAGGCAGAGTCACACACACACACAGGGGCAAAATCATGCACAAGAGAGGCAGAGCCCCACCCAGCAGAGCTGAAAGATAGAGGGTATGATAATGTGTGCACTTACTGTATGTTTGGGGATGAAATAGCTTATTGCTTCCATTTATAACATTTTAATTATAAATACCTATAGATTGTACAGGCTAATTCTCATTATGTGCCTCTGGAAATCGTGCTGCTGCTCCAATCTAAGAAAGTGAGGAGATATGATTGAAAAACTGATCAGAAGATTAAATAAATTTATAGAAAATCCCTTCCCCCCCCTCAAGAGAAGGCAGGAGTGGAAATCACACGGAATCTTGAGTGTTATATTCAGTTTCTCCTGATGAAATCTGGCTGATCCGTTTGCTTGAACCCCATAGTTTTCGGGAGAGTTGGCCTGCACGCATCTGTTCAGAGTGATCCAGAGAAACAAAAAGAAAGGGGGGGAAAACGGATAAAGGGGATAAATTAAACAAAAACTTCAGACGACTTGGAAGCAGTGCAGACAGTGCAAGATACAGCGCACATATACAACAAAAAGCAATTTATTCCTATCATGATTCAATGCGTGGACAATGCTAGGGCAGACAAAGAAGCAAAACGACACAGACATCTCTGTGGTATGTTGCAACTGATGGATCAGATTGTCAAGTGGTTTTACCAAAACATTTGATGTTTCTGAAGAATGCTTCGCAATGCAAAGAAAATGCAATTGTAATTGACATCACTCATTTGTTTTTAGTTTTTTTGTTGTTGTTGTTTTGGTTAAAAGCAACAAATAGGAGAAAGTCCCAATGCAGCAGAATTAAATTTGCTTAAGATGGCCATTTTAAACAAATTTAATAGGAAGTAAAGTCTAAATGCACTCGATTAGGTCTTACACCTAAAGATGCACAGGACGGTGTTTAAGCGGGTAAAGCAAAAACACTTGACAATGTCTTGAGGTGGGATGGGAGGGACAGAAGATGATTCTGCACAACAGCAATGAGGGGGATGAAAGAAGAAACTTCTCATGGTACCAAATTCACATATCTAAATCAACCCTGAATGAAAAAAAAAATCAGTGCAAGAATTTAAAACAACAGAATCTATACGAAAATAAATAAATAAGCAAAAACCTCCACTCACACAGCCTAATCAGGCTGGTGCCATAAAAAACATACCAGCTTTTGTGGTCTAAACAGCACACACTGAATCTTTTTGGCAAAAATATAATAAATATGATTATTATTTTTAATTAATACAGTAGTGCAATGTTTGGGCTCTTTGATTTTCTCGAACCACTGGCTAGGGCACCCACTTTATGGTTTGGATCAGAGGCAATCAGTGGGAAAATACTTTGAAAACGTGAAAAGTGCTCACATGATTCCCTCAGCACAACACTTAAGATACAAACCGCAAAAACAAAAAAAAGGTTCATGGGGTCATCAGCAATCAAGAGAGAGAATTTATGTTATTTCCTAGACTCTTTCGAAGATGATAGTACAGAGGTTTGCTTGATTTAAGCACATACTATGAGGCATCTCTGTGAAATCAGAAGACATTTTTGCAGATAAAGTGTGAGGCAGCATCTCATTGGCACAGGCGGCCTACATTTGCACCCTTCCTCATTGGCACTGTAGAGCTTTGGTGCAGTTGTTCTAAGAAATATCTTCGGTGCGCCCCCTTCGGTGCAATAAGCTAAAGTGAAGGCTCAACGAATATTGTGCAAGGGATACAAAATAAATTTTAAAAAATAAAAATCGTATCCAGCCTGCAATCGAAATAGCGGCCTTGGCCCCTTATCCATAAGTCTAGCAAGCAACAATCAAAAGATGCTTAGCTATCGTTTATTGAGAGCTGAAAGCTGCTAAGCAGAAACCCACACAAGGCCCCATTGTTCTCTAATTCAGGGATTCTTCTGAGACCTAGTTTCGTGAGTTGTAAATAGTGACGATGTGTTAATATTGAGAATTAAATGCTATAGGGCAGGCAGCGATAAGCAAATTCAGTTCCATTAGTTACCCAATCCAGCAAGCACCAGAAAGTACAGTTAGAGTACTCAGCTTAAACCAGCACATTAGTCCAGGCACATTTTAAGTTTCCCATTCTGTTCCCTTCTGTCCTCTTGTTTCTAGTGGAGGACCTGTTAAAAAGAAACTATGAGAACATCCCGGGAATTAGTCCTTCCCTTCTGAAATCTCAGCTTGGCTGTGACGTTTGCCCTGCCACCGAGGGGATCGCCTGCCCAGCTGGAAAGCGGAAATAAGCGAGCTTCCCACTGTTCGGTAGAGAAAGTTCTTGAGGGTAGGTTTTACCTCTGCTGGCTTGCCAACGCCAATGACAATCAACTTGCCGTCTTCCAGGCCCACCAGAATATGACTGGACTCCTTGGTGACAGAGATGCAGCGGATTGGCAGTCGCATGGCTAAGGGAGAGATGCTAAGGCTTAGGCTGGAAGAAAAGAGGGAAAAATCATCCTGTTACTTAAATAACAGGCAGAATTGTACCAATCCTATAGTTAGGGCTGGAAAATATTGCTATTTTTCACTACAACTTCCCGATTCTGGGAGTTATGGCCCCAAAAGCTACATTTCTGACCTGTGTAACAGAAAACAAAGCAAAGTGTTATGACTCCTTTAGATTTATTTCAGTGTGACTTATCATGGACTACAGTCCACTTCTTTAGACACATGAGATGAACTCCAGTAGTAAGTTGAATCCATGGGGGTTTGCTAGATCAATACCTATGTAAGTTCTATTTATTCAGTAGGTGCACTCTAGTTGTGATTTACTACTGGACTTCAACCATGTTGTGGGTTTACATAGAATGCGTATATACTGTAGTTGTGGAGTGAGGTCATGGGATCAAATGAAATTGGATGCAGAAGATGACAACTGCTTTGTTAACCCTGGCCATGAACTTTCAATGTACCAGCAGGGTAGCTCAGCGGTTTAGGTATCTGGCTGCGGAGCTAGAGGTTGGGTGCTTGATTCCCCCCATTGTGCCTCCTGCAAGTAGAGGCAACCTGTGTGGTCTTGGGCAAGCTGCACAGTCCCAGCGCAACTCCCCCCCACACACACACACACGAAAAAGGGAATGGCCAACTCCTTTTGAGTATTCTCTTCCCAGAAAACCCCAAGAAGAGCCACCATATGTTAGAATTGAATTGATGGCACAAGATTATAATAATAATAATTTTAAAAATCTATTTAACAATTTCCTGGTGATAGTTGAAAGTTCATTGTTGGCACCAACAATGCTATCATCAACTTCTGTATCCTATTTCACTTGGCCCTCATCCTTATAACAATACACACTTTATAGGGTCCAACCTATCTCAAAGACTGTATCTCCCATTATGAGCTGGCTCAGGAGAGGCCTTTTTCTCGGTTCCTCCACAAGTGCGTCTGTGGGAACCACAGGAGAGGGCCTTCTCTGTGGTTGCTCCCAGACTCTGGAACTCCCTCCCACGGGAGGCTAGCCTGGCTCCATCTTTGCTGTCCTTCCACAAGCAGAAACAAACCTTTCTCTTCAGGTAAACCTTCCCTCAGTAACTAGCTACTTCTGTGTGATTTTTAGAGGGATTGTTACTGTGTTTTACATTTTTTGGGTCTTTCATTTTTCAGAGTGCTATTTCTTTCTCTTTTTAATATTTGTATACATATTGTTCTTAGCTTTAATACTGCCTTTTAATGATGTAAGAGGCCTCTTTGTACTCATTTTTCTTAGCTTTAAATATTGCATTTTAATTATAACCACCACTGTCTACTCATTGTTTTAAACTTTAAATATTGTCTTTCAATGTTGTAAGTCACCTTGCTGAAGCAGATTAACGTGGCTCCCTCTAAAAATTTCCACCAGTGAATATTTTGTAGTGAAAGTTAGACATTCAGAGAATATTGACTTGTATCAAATACTTGGCATCCACTATATAGGGAAACATGTAGATGTCATTTTAAAAATCTAAATGTAAAGACATTTTTCAGCTTACCATCTCAAGGAAGGTTGATTGGTTTTACTGTATTGTTACTGTTACTGGACTGGACCTAAAATTCAATAGGCACTCAACAAGCACAAGGCTCCCCCCCCCACTTACTGTTACTAACACCTGCACCCCCAGAAATCCAGGGGACCAGGGAATTCACCTGAAGATTGTTGGCAGGTTAGTCAAGTTACCAACCTTGGGAGAATGGAAGGCTGAGTCTACCCTGAGCTGGCTACCAGAGGCTGTCAAGATCAAACTCAGGCCATGGGCAGAGCCTTCACTGCAGCACTGCAGTTTAACCCACTGGTTCTTAACCTTGTGTTACTCAGGAGTTTTGGACTGCAACTCCCAGAAGCCTTCACCACTAACTGTGCTGGCTGGGGTTTCTGGGAGTTGCAGTTCAAAAACATCCCAGTAACAAAGGTTAAGAACCACTGGTTTAACCAATGCACCATAAAGAAAATAACAGCACCAGCAATAGCTAGTGGCTAGAATCTTTTTGGAGATCCATACTGTACACATATAACTGTGTAAATTGTGGTGGGGCATTGCCACTAATTAATGAGTTGCTGCTTGTGTCCCTGGTTGCACACAAAGACACACGGCTGGCTGAAGGGAAACAAGAAAACTGAGCAACAACTCATTAACTAGTTGTATTTTGCCACTATGTGGGCAATTACACTTAGGTAAAGGTAAATCATTAACAGATCATGGCCAATAATAATAACCGCCATCATTTGTCTAGAAACTGCACACAAGACCATATCCAAAAGTTAATAATTAACACCAAGAAAAGAAAGAAAAGCAGACTGACTCTCAATGCTTTCTAAGAATGATATCGAGGTATTGGAGAACTCAGGTTATTAAAAACCACCAGTGAATAGTTACAGAAATTTCCTAAGAGCTACCCAACTCTTGAGGCCAAGTTCAAGTGGCCCTTAGTCACCGAGTGGCCTTAGGCCAGTCATTCTCCCTCAGGTTCACCTAACTCACAGAGTTACTTTTACAATAAAACTAGGAAAAGGAAAGCCACGCACACCACCCTGAGCTCACTGAGGGAAAGGTGGAATATTGTGAGGAAACAAACAACCCTAGTTTGGTTTTAGTATTCTAAGCCCTGAGGTCCCCTTCCATGTAAATGTAAGCTGTCAGTTTCAGAGTACCACATAAATCTGTAGCCGCATTTCACCTGGCAAGCCCATGCTCCAAGGCACTGACCATGTTAAAATCCCCATTTTCAAGCATCCCCGTTACCTGTAGAGATCCCGTATGGACAGGAATCCCTGCATGCTCCCCATCACGATATACTCCCCAGTCACAGAGAGATCTGACACTTCCTCCTTCAGGCTCTCAGAGCCCAAATGCTTTCCATTCACAGAATAGAGGTGCAGTGCATTCTTATCCTGTGCAAATGAAAAACCAAGCATGGCTATCAAGGACGAAGATCTGTATGGAGCAGGTAGAAGTAAATCCTTGAGAGATGTAACTTCCCCTCATAAGCCTGGCTTTAATTCACATTTGTTGTCAGAATGCTTATTTTAATGGACTATGAAAAAAAATAAAAAGCCCAAACAGCCTCTAACCAACATCAGGGGCTGTGGGAGTCCATTTTGCACTTCACCTACACGCCCACACAGCTTGGGAAGATCACACCTCTCTCTCTCTCTCTCTCTCTCATTCTCTCTCTCTCTCTTTCTTCTCTAACACCCAGGATTAATACCTGTTGGTCATGTTTCCTAGGGGATTCTGGGAGTTGGAATCCAGAAAAACACTCTTCCCCATCTCTGGATTAAATGCATAGATCAGCATGTCTAATCTATGTGATTCTTTCATCCCTCTGGAACATACAAGCAAAGTAATGGTGGGAAATTCTAATGGAGCAGGGAGATGAATTTCCCCTACATGCAGCTCTCTCCGTGAGCCAGAGGGCTGCATGTTGGACATGCGGTATGTATGTCAGCAGGTTCCCAGCTGAAGTATCCGGTGGGTAATTCCTACTTGGTGCTTTCTCTGGGAACCAGGCTTCACAGGCTTTCTCCCTTCCCTGTGTGGGGAAGTGGACAGAGCAACACAGTAAACTGATGCTTCTGAAGTCCTGGAAGCCTGTCTGAGAGGGGGGAAAGATGGTCTCTGCTATTTCTAGTCACTGATTCTGGTGACTCCATTTTCTCTCCAGAAGGGGAGGGGTTTTGGAGAAGGGACAGAGTGCTCTGAATCCCTGGTGGGCCAGAACAGGCCTGTAGGCCAGTAGTTCCCACACACACACACACACACACTCTTTGTAGTCAGGCCTATTCAAATTGAATCACAGGGAGATACTCCAGTTTGGGCTAACTGTTCCACAATATTTATGTGTGTGCACATGCATCCACACCCCACAGACTTTGGGCAGGACGAAGGATGCAGACAAGCTGTGAAGAAGAAATACACAAGAATCAACCTGAAACTGCTTATTTCTGATGCCATAGGGCTACAACACTCTCTGGGCAGTTTACAACCTAATTAGCAAACAACCAGTTGCCCCCCAGCAAGCTGGGGACTCATTTTACCAACCTTGGGAGGATGGAAGGCTGAGTCAGTCTTGAGACAGCTACCTAGACCCATTAAGGTCAAACTCAGGTTGTGAGCAGAGGTTTAACTGTAGTACTGCAGTTTAACCACTGTGCCTTGGGGCTCTTTGTTTATTTGCGCTAGGTGATGCGGTTCCCTTTCCCCCTGGACAGATCATGCAAGAAACATGCTTCTAGCACTTTCTGAGTGCCGGCTGTCTTAATACCTTGAGAGATGTCTTTCCTTCTATACTCGTATGGATGACTATGTGTCCTTCCCAAGAGACAGCTAGGTTTGGAACAGTGAGCAAGAGGGAACTCTCACAGGGCGGCCGCAGAGTCTTCATGTATTGACCTTTCCGAATGGTATGAACAATCACAGTCCCGTCCTATCAAAAAATAAAGAAAAGGGCATACACATAGACACACATATATACATATGTATGTGCATTTTAAGCCATTATGACCCAGTGTATTTGATGAAGATACACAAAATAATATGAACAATATGCATCATCTGTTGGGCTTGTTGCTGTTCTTTTAATTACAGTGGTGCCTCGCAAGACGAATGCCTCACAGGACAAAAAACTCACAAGACAAATGGTTTTGGCGATGGGGCTGATGACTTGCAAGACGAACGTTCCTATGGCCGTGCTTCGCAAGATGAATGTTTTCCGTTTTTTTGTTCCTGCCTCATGTTTGCTGAATTTTAAATGTTTTTCTATGATGTTTAAAAAGTTAAAGTTTTTTGATTGACATTTTTGAAATCATCTGCACAATATGTATGGCTTTAAAGATCACTTAATAAACACTTTGTAAACCAAATGTGACTTTTTTTGCCCATAGGAACGCATTAATTAGATTTCAATGCATTCCTATGGGAAAACGCATTTCGCAAGATGAATTTTTCGCAAGACAACATTAACCGCGGAACGAATTAAATTCGTCTTATGAGGCACCACTGTACATTGTTCCTCCTGCTTTGTTCTTCATTGTTTGTGCCTGCTGTTCTTGAAAAACAAAAATTCTACAAACGTCATTGGACACAACAGGCTTCCCTTCCCTTAAAAAGGAGCAATAAAAGCTAGGAAAGAACAATAATTTGAGAAGCACACAGCACACAAACGAACAAAAAAGAGAACTGGGAATTTCTAAGACTGAGCTTCAAGGATGTCACATTTTTAACATTAAACAGTGCAAACCTCAGGGCAGGAAACACTCTTTCATGTGGGACAGACGACTCAAGAGGACCAGGCTCTACCCCACACCTGTCTCCTCCAGCTCCTCAATGTCCGTTTCCACTTTCTCCATAAATATGCACCCATGAGCTCTCTTCAGATGTCCCGGCCCCTGTTAACAAGCACGATGTGAACCACTGTCCCTTTCTTCACATAGTTTCCTAATGGTTTTAGTCAAACAGAGAGGGTCCATACTCAGAGGAACTTCTTTTTCAGACTTACGGCCTTCCATGTGCAGAATGCGATGACAGAGGAAGTGGGGCCAAGTGTTCCCAAGTTCATGTGCTGATGGGGAAAGTAATTCCTGAATAGCGCTATTCCTAATGGAAGGAAACCTTGCTTTGTTCAATGGGGAGAAATGTCCAGTGAAGTATGAAAAAAAAGGACTGTAGACTAAATTAGATAAGGGGGGATCAGGGAAACACCTCATCTATATAAATGGATGGGCAATGAAGAGCCCTGGGATCAAAGTCACCCAGCCCCTAAGAGAAATACTGAGGCTGTACATGAAAGGTAGAAGCCTGAACCATTTTGAATGTCAGCTGAAGAAATAATCCACAAACTCACCCTGGCTCCCGAGATGGCCATATCCAGTTCCGTACTGATGCCAACACAGGATACTTCACTAGTATGGCCGTAGAGAATCTGCAACGGTTTAGGAGCCAAACCTACAGGTGCTCCTCCCTGGTATTAAAATATTAAAACCAGCTATTAATAAAAAGACAAAGAGCATGTTTGCAAAACATTATCTAGACTTGGATGCATCTGTTTCTGGCCAAACATTCCTGCCACTATTCCATGGATCTATTCTAGCAGCGACCACCAATTGGATTCTGGCCACAGGAAATTGCCATCATACAATTCTATAACAGTGTTTTTGCTGGTATAATCACAGACAGAGATGGGCACGAACTGGGAAACCAGTCGTTTGTGATGGCTCATGGGTAGCCACGAATCATGAACCTCCCCAGAAAACGAATCGGTTTGTGATTTGTTTTTTTTTGGGGGGGGGTTCATGCTGAGGGGAGCCACCTGCCTGCCCACCCCTCCCCTTGTTGCTTCTCTACCTTCTCTTGAAGTCTCCACCGCTGCTGCTGCAACCATCCTGACGGGCAGTAACCCCAGCTTCAAGGATACAGGCCTGCTGCTTCTGCGCAAGGGTCCATCTGTCATCCGAGGGGTGGACATGGGCACACATGCACCAAGCACGGTTCCTTGTAAGGCACAGTCCTGCTGCTTCTGCGCATGCGCCCACCGCTCAACTGACAGGCAGGTGAAGGTGCAGAAGCAACAGGCCTGGGTCCTTAAGTCAGGTCTGCTGCATCTGCGCATGCACCTGTTGCTCAGTTGAGCAGACAGGCGCATGTGCAGAAGCAGCAGGTCCAGCTCTTTGCAGGCACCCGGGCCTGCTCTGTGTACGCAGGCGTCCACTATTCAGAGGCAGAAGCAGTCCTCAACTTTGGGCTGCTGCATTTGCACCAATGCTCAGCTGATGGGCAGGTGCCTACATACACACACACAGCAGGCCTGGACCTGCTGCCTGTCAGGATGGTGGTGGTGGAGGAGGAGGAGCGGCAGCAGCTTGAAGCGAAGGTATGGAACCGATTAGGGCAGTGGGAAGGGGGTTGGGCAGGCATTCCTTTTTGTCAAATACAACAAGGCACTGAGGGGGCAAAAGTTCAGCACTTCACTTTGTTTTGGCAAAACAGGATCCCTGAACTGAACGAGGAGCCATTCCAGTTGGTGGTTTTTCCTGGTTTGAGGTTTGGTTCATGACCACCTCTAGCCACAATGTTACCCAATATTCAAAGTAAAGCAAGAGGAAAGGAAAGGAAAGGAAAGGAAAGGGGAAACTAAAGCAATGAAAATTACAAATTGGGCTAAGAGTGGAACCATCTGTCACAAGGGAAACTCCAAGCTTTCACCAAATATGGGGGAAATGTCTCATTCTCCCTTGCAAAGCCTCTCCTCCAGCAGCTGGTTTAAATGCCCTTCTCATTTCATTCCTCAGGTGAATTGAAACTTAAAATAGGTGTCGTGGCAGCAAACAGCCTCAAATTGGTGGTGGGTGGGACCAAGTGTAAATAAAGCATTCCCCTTGGAAACCGTGATGTTAAATGGGTTCCCCTACAGCAAGCAAGGAAGGAAAGTATTCTTATCCCCACTCCTCATTTGCTCTAATCCTGATAATTATCAATACTTTCCCCTTCAGGGGCTGTTAATTGCATTTTAAAGACGTGGACTTCAAATGCAAAACCACATTTAACATCATGTCAAGTTTAGATACACACAGGTTTGAGAATAAACATTAGCTGAGATAAAGCCCAGTTCGGCCCTCAGAACTGAGGCAGCATCCAACATCTTTGTTTTGTGACGTGTTTTGAACAAAACAAAATTTGGCAACGCTGAGCTCGGTAGAAAGCGGGGTGTGTGTGTGGCAATTTCTGCTTCACTCCATATGGAGAAAGCCTCCCTTCAACAAGGAAAAGTTAAGAGCAAGATTTCTGCTTCACTCCATATGGAGAAAGACTTCTCCCTTCAACAAGGAAAAGTTAAGAGCAAAACAATGCCTCTTGAAAACATAAAGGCCGCTGTCAAAATCTAGTCTCAGAATGAATGTTGGAAGACGAGACTTCCATTGATTGGCACAGAAACCAGGAGGAACATTCAGTGAGAGATGCCTTAGACCTACATCACAGTTTATGGCAGAAAGTCCCATCTGTCACATTTCTATTAAGTGCACTCCTTGTAGGAAACACTGGCGTCTGGCCTACTTCCAAAGAAGAGATGCTTCCTCAACACTCTCAGGCGTTGTCTGCTGCATGTCCACTGTCTCCCTCGCTTCCACAGTATTTTGAGACAGAGGTAGCACTTGCACACTCTACACCTTTCCCCAATTCAGGAGGTACACCTACCACCATAAAGTATGAACTAGTTCTTAGACAGTCTCACCTGGAACTCACTTCCTAACATTTCCTGCCCTCAATCTCCTCACTACAAACCCAGGAAAGCAACGCACTGTCCACTGCTTCCAGTTCATCGCAAATTGCTTGCATGGGTCTGCAAAAGCTAACTTACCTGCTGAACTATTTGCCATATCATACAAGTGGTGTCCCTTGAGCCCGAAATCAAATGGATGCCACAGAAATCCATGGCCAGGCATGTCACGATATCTGTATGGATAGGTGAGAGAAAGCAATTAGCTTAGGCATCTCGGTAATATTAATAAATGTGCACCATCAAGTCAATTCTGACTCATGGTGACACTTTTGGGGGTTTTCTGGATAAAGACTACTCAGAAGTGGTTGACCATTCCCTTTTTCTGGGGGCATTCTGGGACTGTGCAGCTTGCCCAAGGCCACACAAGCTGGGTGCACAATGGATAATTTATAATGCTGAGCTTTTAAACAACTAAGGGGTGCACAATGGATCATTTATAATGCTGAGCTTTTAAACAACTAATTTGGAGGGAGATGACAGTGTGCCAACTGTTACAAAAGAGAACTAGAGTTCTAAACTCAAAACAAATCAGGTTGGTAAAGTTGATCCCAAATTCAAAATATTAACTTCAATAAAACAGCACAAGGTTGGTAAGAGTTGCTAAGGAGAACAGGTACGATCCTAAAAAAAACTCTCATTAATTTCCACAAGATGTTTGCCCAGGAACAGATATTCAAAATGGAATCAATGGCATAAAATTAATGGAAGACAACTGAGGTAATATATCACTTAAAATTAATGACAACTGGGGGAAGGGGACAAACAAAAGGGAAGAATGGCATTGCAGTGGAATCAAGACTGAATGGAAGAGAGCACCAGGAATAACAATAAAGAGAAAAAACAAACAACAACCCCCCACCCCAAAACAAAAAAAAACTTTTTAAAAGTAAGACCAATGTGCCTAGATATTTGACTGACCATGGAGTGAGGTCCATGTCTGTCACTGCATGCAAGGCTCTCTTTCCTGAGTGCTAAGACCAATAAAAAGCGCTTGATGTAGTTAATCTGGAGCTCTGGCACCAAACCATTCTTTTTCATTTTTTTCTAGAATAACTGGAGCTTCCTTTATGAGGTCGGATAGAAGCAAAGCCATGTTGTTGGTCAAAAGACTTAATCTGTGACTACTGCATTTAATTATAATGCCTTTTTAGGTTTGAATTGGTCCTAATTTCCTCCGCTCGAAATTCGCACAGCTAAATAAATAAATAAATATTTTTAAAAGGAGGGTGCTAATTTATCTGTGTAAAGAAAAATTGTAATAACTTTGATGACGGTTTTGTGTGTTTAGTCGTTTAGTCGTGTTGAGTTACTCAAGCCCCTTCGCCACGACAAGGCAGCAATCCATGAAGAAGGATGACGGTTTTAGAACTGTTATAAAGAGATTCAATGAACTGAGTAAATTTTGACATGAAATTAATTTGATTTAATGACTGTAATGAGAGTTTCTGTTCAAGCTGATCAAAGAATCTGTGGGTATCAAGGGAGAGGATTCCACCCCATGGAGTTTGCAGGACTGAACAACATTCTTCTGGAAGGAGCCTAAGAGCTGGCCACACAACACAAAGTCCCTTTGAACCTTCTGAATACATTGGACTATGAAGTCTGATGGCAAAAGCTGAGGTTGACAGTTTAACACATTGATTGATTTAGGAAACTGGGCAGTAAGAGTAATTTGGGGGAGGGGAAGTTGCTTGGATTGGATATTATTATCACCTGTGAGCTCTTCCATGATGGGAAGATAGGACTTCCTTTTTGGTACCCAAAAATGAAGTTAATACTGGGGCGGATATATCTTTTCAAATGTTTATAAAATTCCCCAAGAAGTCCATCAAGCCCAGGTGATTTATTATTCTCCATCTATTGCCAGAATAGCTATGTAATCAACACTCTGAAAGTTCATTCCCAGAGTTAATAATGGAAATTATCATCTCCTGTATCCCATTTAAGCTTGCTTCCATCCCCACAAACATACAGCCTACATATTGTACTCTGTGTGGCTGAAATGGATTATAATCCATGAAATTTCACACTAAAACAACTAAACCAGTTTTAAAGGTGCCACAAGGCTCTGTTGTTAAGACAAAGAGACCAAAGGGACATCCCATTGGTTTTACGTAATCTGGATCAACACAGAAGAGAGACATATCACTCTACCAAAGCAGCAATGGTAGATCCAATTCTCTCAACAGAAGACTCTCATTTAGCAAGAGGTCTCCTTTTGCATTTCTAGTTTGTACACTTTTCTTGCTGATTGGTCAAACAGAAGTGCTCCTTTTTATTTATTTACTCTTTCACTTAAATGCTGAGTCTCTTTATCCAAAATAACTTACCCATGTGCCTAATATGTTGTGCCATCAACTTCCCTTTGGTGAGCGAGGTCACTCTGATGCTATTGTCCCAATGCCCTCCACTAAAGAGCAGTTTTGCATCGTGGGACACGACAAACAACTTGGGTGTGATCTCCAGTCCTGGTGCAAAAGGGCCACTCACACTCCGCTGCGTCCTGCAAGCAATGGCTTATCTTAAGATCTGAACTGTCCATCAATTAAAACATAGAGTTCCTTCTACTTACAATGCCCAGTGTCAGAACCACAGAATTCAAGACTAAAGGGGAGTGGGCCAAACTCATCTCTTAAAATGTACAAGATTCAAGTAATATTTGTGACAAACTTACACATATTAGGCTGCAGCATATATTTTCATAGACTAGAGTAGCAGTGAGAAAACCTAAGTTCTGCAGATGTTTTGCTCTTCAACTCTCACAATTCTTTGTTTATTGGCTATGCTGGATGGGAATTCCCAGGCTAAAGCCTCTGGACACTTTACAGCCCCCTTTATCAAATGAAATGTGATCCAGGCTAAAGCCTCTGGACACTTTCCATGTTACAGCCCCCTTTATCAAATGAAATGTGACTCTGAGGGGAAATGCACAGCAGACACAGACAAAGATATCTGTGAAGAATTTTTAAAACACACACACTTCCTCTGTCCCCTTTTAGGTGTGTCACCCACAAAGAACTAGTTTTCATGCCTTGGTTTAAAAAAAAAGGTTCTAGTGCCTGATGTTTATGCTTCAGCAAGTCATATAAAATGATTTTTATTTCTTTCTTTCTTTTTCTTACTCACTTGGGATTTGTCACTGTTTGATCTTTGAGGAAAGTGAAATAGTTGGAGATATTTCGGTCATAAGGCAGCCATCCATGGGTTCCGACAATGCAGTTGAGACTAACTGTTACCTTCGGGGAAAACACATCCAATGAAAAGAAGTGAAACCATCTATGGTTAAAGATGAAGTTTATTCAAAATACAGAAACATATTTTAAGAATAACAAGGAAATGCCAGAGCAATTAATATTCCTTTTCTGTCTTTTCCTTTCTCTCTGTTTTCCTTGTGCATTCTTCCATTATAAATCTGAGGATAAACATATGGCTCTTTATTTTGGTTTCATTACTGTATCCATTCCAGAATAAATAATAATAATTATCTTATCAGCTTGAAGAGAGCAAACTGGCTTCGAGAAAAGGAAACAATTATTTCATAAAAATTGTTTAACACTCTAAGTTCTAATTTTCCATTGTTGCGTATTGCAACATATGACCATTATCAACTTCTCTGGTAATTTTGCATTATAAATTCTTCCAGCATGAACTTTTTACATGGGTGACTTACCAAGGTCTCTGGGCTGCCCTGTGACATAAAAGAACGATACTGATTCCTGGGGACAATGGCCTTAACAATGGGTACCCCATCACTGATTCCCTGGACAAAAAGAAGGAAAGAAGATGATCGTGGTTGGCAAACAGCAAGAAACAAGACAAATATATTTGCCAAAACCCACCATGTCATGTAGGGTTACATTTACATGTAAGGCTGGTACAGACACTAATCTAAAGTGACTTCTAGAGACAATTGTTTCTGATTATCTAGATTATCTGGAACTTTCATCGACACCATCGGTAAGAAACTCAAGCCTAACTTCAGAAGTAGCTGCTGATACAACCTTGAGATATGGACCAAAGAGTCCAGGACTGCTGATCCAGGCAGCACATGAGCAGGGGGCATGGGAAAAGGAAGTGGTATTAATATTGGGAGATACAGGATAACTAATTAGAGCGGTATATCAGCACAGACAGAAAATACATCATTCTACAGTGGTGCCTCGCTTAACGATTACCTCGTTAAACGACGGATCCGCTTGACAATGAGGCTTTTGCGATCGCAAAACGATGTTTCAAAGGGCTTTTTTCACTTCCTGACGATCGGTTCCCTGCTTCGGGAACCAATTCTTTGCATTATGATGAACAAAACAGCTGATCATCGGGTTTCAAAATGGCTCCCTGCTGTGTAAAATGGCTCCCCGCTGTGCTTTAGCACGGATTTTTCGCTTTACAGGCACCCGAAAATGGCTGTCCTATGGAGGATCTTCGCTGGACACTGAGGTATTTAGCCCATTGGAACGTATTGAACCAGTTCTCAATGCATTTCATTGGGCTTTTTTATTTCGCTTGACGAGGATTTCGCTCTACAGTGATTTCGCTGGAACGAATTATCCATGTCAAGCGAGGCACCACTGTATATGTATGTAAGTGGCTGTTTTCCTACTCCACTCAAATTTACATTGCAAAAATTTATTATTTTAGCCTTTAACTTTGTTTCTTTTAATACTATAAGCTACCTTGTATCCTTCAGGAGAAAGGTGGCATATAAATATTTTAAATAAATATCAAATAAATAAACTTTTTGTCTCTGAATTATAGTGAAGTCAAAATCATACATATTTTCTGTGGAAGAGAATTTGATGGATGTTATGGTGAAGACAGGGCAGAGGGTGGGTCCTAAGCAATAACAAAACTGTTTCTCAAATTATTACATATGATTCATATTTGAGAAATGTTAATGAAAATGTGGACCAGAAGATTTAGCCCTACAGTGGAAGTGAAACAGACTCTCAAAACTAGCATAGGATTTCCCCCATCAATAGAAGTTGAATATTCAAAATGAAATATCATAGGGATTTGTGCGAGCTTTCCTGTCATGTTGTGACAGCTTCTGCAGGAAAACAGTCACCAGAACGACTACAGATGCTCTCAGCAGAGCAGTCCAGGTCCATAATGACCTACTGGGATAATGTGAGCCTCCTGATTGATAGCACTATTGCGTCAAATGCAACTGCTCTGTGAAAGCTACGGGCTCTCAGTGGACCATGTCTGTGGCCTGATGGAGAGCCAATCATAGAACACAATTTCATCCATTTTGTGAACACTTTGGTTTATTTTCCTTTTGTTGCTGTTTCAAATTACTTGATCAACACCTTCTCTGCCATGGCTATAAAGCAATCATTTAACAAGAAAAAAGTGTTTTAGAGAAAAAGAAATAGCAGGCGTTTTATAGAATCAGAGATGGCAAGGCCGTCCGAGCTTTACATTTGTGCCTTGCCCTGAATAGCTGAAGCCTCCTCAAGTCCTGTGTGGTTCAGTTTTTAGTTTTTTGAGCAAACATTTAATGTGAGTGTGAGCTATGCCTCCTTTCACATTATCATCATACATTTTAGGAAGCTGGAAAGCTTTAAAAAAGTAATGTTATTACTATCAGATGCAGAAACTTGTAATAAAATATGCACACTGGTCTCTCTGCTCAGTACCCTGAACCTTTTTAAGGCCTGAGGGTCCATCTTGAACAGAAAACATCAATTCAAGGGCTCGTCATGGAATTTATTTCTTCTACCACAGGTTGGCATGACTGCAGTATGGCTACTACAACTCAACTTAAATGAAGCAGCAACTGAGCAGCAAGCCAGATGAAGACTGAATGTGTTTGATTTGGCCTCCTTATAGCCAGTAAGAAGGGGGATTTCAAAAAGGATAATGCTACTCTCTTCTTGACGAGAATATGAAATAACAATTGGGATAAATATCATGCAGTGTAGTAGCTTGCAGGAAGGCTGTGTGGTTAACAAAAAAAAACTATCAAAATCCATACTAATTAATTATCTAGAACAGGGGTCCCCAACCCCCAGTCCACGGCCTGGTGCCAGTCCATGGCCTTGGTAGGACTGGGCCACAGAGACAGATCTACCCCCCCTGCATGTACACACACCCCCGCAGCCCGCCCACCCGCATGAGTGCCACGCCTCCTGCATCTGGATCCTGCCCCTCACAACCGGTCCACAGTTCCAAAAAGGTTGGGAACCACTGATCTAGAAGAGCCAGCAACAGACTAAGTATCACCTGGAGTGTATTCAGTAGGCTGGAGCTACAAAAGACTCCAGCCTTCTGAATACACTCCAAGCATCATTATTTATTGGCATTACAATTAATCAATAAGGATATTAAGAATCATCATAACTAATAATTTTAAATGGACAAGCCATGCTCTGAAAGGGTGAAAAAGAAGCAAAGGGATAAGATGGTTGAAGGAGCTGGCCAATCCTGGATTTCAGATAAGCACCATCATTGTAAGACCACTATCTCTTATAGAGTGGTCACTCATAAAGGCCTCACAGGTTTATGTGGCTTAAAGCAGTGGTGCCCAACCTTTTTGACACCAGGGACTGATTTAGTTGAAGACCATTCTCCCAAGGATCAGGGGGGTGGGGGTAGCGGGCATCTGTCCGTGCATGCGTGTGTGGGGCGTGCATGCATGTGGGAGGTGGGTGGGCATCCATGTGTGCATGAGGTGTGCATGCATGCGTGTGAGACTGCATGTGTGCATGCAAGAGCGAACAAGCATGCACACGTGTTCCTTTGGCCCTTGAAAATCCGTCACACCTGCCTGGTCCTTCCAAGGCCACAGACTGGGACTAGTCCGTGGCCCGGGGTTGGGGACCTCTGGGTGAAAGCATATGTGGTATTGCTCATTTTTACCTCAATGAAGAAAGACTTCAGTTCAGGGAGATGCTGGAACAAATTAAGAGTGGAATTTTCATTTTTGGTCTGCTTCTGCAACACTTCCTCTGCAGACAGTCTTGCAGGATGTGGCTCCTAGAGCAAAAATTTCAAGCGCAGTACAAGTCATGATTACTGAGCCATTCTTCCACAATGAACAAATGTCAAAAGCAACAGCACACTCAACTTCAGTAAGGAAGGAATAGTGTCCATTGAGTCCCTTTACTGGGAGAAAAATGACCAAAACAAAGTACGTAAAGCAGAGCAAAGCAAAACAAAACAAAAATATTGTGCCCTCTGAGTAAGCAGGTTGTAACTAGACGATGCTTCTTGATTCTAAACTGTCACTAGTGGTTTGGTGGCCCAGTTTTGGCTGAACTGCTATCCACGTTTGTTCTTTACCTGTGTTCTAGTAACACCTTAGACAGACTATCACAATGCATTCTCTCACAATAAATCTCTTCTTGAAACAGTTCAAAAGATACAACTGGTGCAAAATACTATGTTGGCAGGAGCCACATGACAGAATTGCACCCCAAAGAAAAACAAAATACATTTTAAAAATACATTGGTCTGAAACCTATTGGCGTTTGTGCAAAGTTTACATAACTTCCATGGCTAAGGGCAGCTAAGTGATGAGGTGCTGGGGTGTGTTTCACTCATAGGCTTCATCAAACACACAATTACACAAGTGAGATGCATCCCAGCACCTCACCAATTAGCCACAATTAGCAGTGGCAAATTATAGAAACATGACACAAATACCAGTAGAACCCCAGGCATTGGCTTCCAGTAAGTTACCAAGTTTATGTTTTGCTAGTGGCATTTAGAGCCCTAAATGGGCTCTAAATGCCACTAGCAAAACATAAACTTGGTAACTTACTGGTTTAGGATTGGTTTAGGATTCAGCTACTTGAAAGTCTGCCACTCCCATGAACAATTAATCCCTGCCAGGGGAGGCTCTGTTTGTTGTCCCACCAACAGGAGAGACTAAGAAGGAGGTGATGCAAGACAGGGCGCTCTGTGTGATGGTGCCATATTTGCGAAACTCCCTCGCAACTGATATTATGTCTGTCTCTACAGTTCAGCCATTCACACAAAGTCTGATAGCATTTCCATTTATTGTGGTTGTATCCGTTGTGGTCCCAAAACAGTTTTATCACAACGCTTCTACTGCACTTGAAGTACTGTCAAGAACATGTTTGTTTGTTAGTTGTGGCTGCTGGCATTTGTACTGCAATGTTGGCTGATGGCTGGGACATTAAAAAATGAAATGAAATGAAATGATCAAATACATACTTCTGAACAGACCTGAGTGGTCAAGAGTGACAAATGCTCATGAGAAAAGGAGCTGAGGCCATTCACTTAGTATGCCCATATGGCTCAAGCTAGCATACTGGGCTGCATAACAGAAGACCAGGGTGAAACACACACACACTCTCTCTCTCTAAACGACACAGATATTGTAGCCGTGATATTGCACCTTTGTTCCCCTACTGCTGCCAAAGGGATTTACCTTCAGTAGCTGACAAGGTGTTTGTCCAAAATTATTAATCATTCCTTCTAAAGCTTTCCTTTCTTTCTCATCTGTTAAAGCATCCAGATCTACAGCTCCTGGAATTGCAAATAAATAAATAAAGCACAAATCAACTGAGCACTTGGTAGACTGCTCTACAGTCTGAATACTACTCTGAATATTATTTTTAATACCATTGCACAGTATAACACGATTCAGTATAATACCTATTTTTACATAAACTGTAATCCTGCATAGCAGGCCCCCCAATCAGTGAGGATGGAGTGAGTCAGCTTCTCCATAGGTTTGATTGATTCGAATGGGCCTACTTAAGCAGTGGCTTGCTTTAGTGTACCACATTTCAACTAGAGTAGGCCCATTTGAATCACTGGAAGTTACAGAGGAGTTGACTCACAAATCCCAACAGATTAATAGGCCTACTATAGTGTGACTTACTACATGAATCAATAGGATCTGAGCCATTATACTTCAGAATCTGGCAGAAGTAGTCACACCCCTGGTGGAGCAGAAATTTGTTTCCTAAGAGTTAAGAATGGGATCACATAGTTGTAAGGCTGCAAATAGGTAGTAAGATATAAACTGTCCATATTTTGCTGTGTAAGAGCTATTAGACAAGTCCTACTCCATCCAAAACCTATATCTTTCGCACACATGGATATGTGGACCCGAAAGGATTACATCTGGCGTGTTACCTTCGTAGCTACAGTAATAGAAGACATTCAGGGCCTCTACTGCAGCTGGTCCCCTCTGCTTGTACCCAAATATCAGATCTATCCATTCATGGAGATGGGCAGAGACATACTCTGATTCCTATGAAAGACAGAAAGAATACATTCAAAAACGTCATGTTTTGAAAACAGTAATCCCACTGTCTAATTGTGCCTTTAAAAATATTATCAGAACATGTATTTGCAATATATTCACAATTCAAATTCACTTTGTAATAATGAGCATGATTCACTCAGTGGCTGAAAACTGGTTGGTGTAAATGATGCCATGCAAACAGGATTATGTCATCTGGCAACAGAAATGTTTAAGTTTAATTAAATTAAAAGCTTCCTACTTCCCCTTTCAGGTCCTGAGTTTTCAGGAATGCTTTGGGAGCCCATAAAAACAACCTTGGGGCCACAATCATGCTAATGTTTGTTGTAAATACAAGGGTGGAGGTGGAGGGAGAGCATCCGTAAATTCTTTTGATTAACTATTCGCACTGTTGGAACTGCGAACACACCAACTCACTTTAGTAAGCTTCACCTTAGATGAAGCTTCACCTTAGATGAAGCTCAATCACTGCTACAAAGTTCCACAAAGTGGATAGCAAAGGCTTCATATAATTTAATTTCCATGACCCAACCCTTATACCGTAGCCCTGACGGCCCATTATAAAATCTACTACTTTGGCTTTCATATTACTTCCTCCAGGGGCAATAACTCACCAATGCTTTCCTGTGTTTATCAATGAAGTCCTCTGGCGAATGGGCCCATTTGGGGAGGACAACGTCGTTCACCACTTCTTTTGAGATCTGCAGCTGACCCAAGTTGAAATCTGCAGAGTGTTGACAAGAGAACATGATTTCAATGCTACTAAACATAAGCATTTACTAGAAGTCAGGTTGTCTTAAGACAAGCCAAAGAGCAGGTGAGAGAGAAAAAGACTGACTGTACCATATTTCGCCACAAAAATGTGTTTAAGAAAAAGAACAATACAAGACTTATCACCGTAAGGTTAAAACAACTCTCATTTTTACTTCGATTTTTTACACATCTTGGACCTACAGAACCAGACCTGCAGCTAAGCACTTTATTTAAATACAGTAAGCCAATTCTAATCAAGTAGCTTTTCCTCAGGAAAACATAATGGCAAGAAAATTATTCCATACAGCCCATTACTGATTTGTCTACATACTATTTTGATTTTCTAAGAATTCTGGGAAGTAGAAGAATTCTGGAATCAGCTCCTTCACATCATTCGGATTCTCCATCAGAGCTTGCCAGGTAGCAGCAATGGAATGGAACTGCCGATCTGCACAATCAAATCTGTGGATGAGAAAATATACAGCTGTATTTATAAAAAACTTATTTTTCAGTCCCAGATGACAGAAACAGAACATGCCTTTTACTCTGAAATACTTCAGTGAAACACGGAGTTGCATTTCATTATGGTTTAATACCCTAATCTTACAGTCAAACGTTTATGTGATGATCCTAGCACATGTATGCATTTTCCCCTCGACTGAGGGCTTCACCATTGACTTCAGTAGAAGGGTAAGAATATATACAGCTACTGAACTGTGCACAGAATTAGCTAAACTGAACAGTAATACATTTAACAATTTTGCTTACACTGTATTAGAAAACTAAGGCTTTGGATTAGAAAAATAAGCATAATGTGGGGAGGGGTGAACTACATATCTTGTCAGAACATTTGCTTGTCTTAACAAACATCACATGAGTCACATGTTCTCATTCCCTCTCTTTCACCTATGCAAAACAGCAGCTTTTCATATCATTTAAAGTCTTTATAGTGTTTCAATTATGCAAATTACATGACAGCAATCTTTAAGGGAAACAATTACAGTCTCTTACCCAGAGTGGACAATAATCCTAAATATCATTCATTCATTCATTCATTCATTCATTCATTCATTCATTCATTCATTCATTCATTCATTCATTCATCATTCATTCATTCATTCATTCTATCGATCTATCTATCTATCTATCTATCTATCTATCTATCTATCTATCTATCTATCTATCTATCTATCTATCTATCTATCTAATAACCCAAAGCATATTTACTCAGAAGTATGCCCGGTTATGTACAAGAAGCTTTATTCTCCATTATGTGAGTTGTGGTTTACAGCTTTATTTTCTATTGCTTTCTTGTCATTCCGTCCTTCTACTAAGGAACTCATAATGATATATGCAGTTCTTCCTTTCCCATTTTATCCCAAAAACAACACTATGATGAAAATTATGCTGAAAGATGGAACTTAGCTTTCAAGTAGGAGATTCCTGCTGAGGGGGGATCTGAACCAGTCTCACTCTGAAACTCTAAAGTAGGAGCTGGCAACTAAAATGGGATGGCGACTCTGCCCACCCCTCTCCTGGAAGCACCAGCTGAGAATGGAAGACCAAGTCATCACTATCTTCAGTCAGGGACAGAAGATGACAGAAACTCCTCTCTTTCAAGGAGGGGACAGGGCTTCGTGAAGGGATCAGGCCAGTGGAGAGATGTCAGTGGGGTGGATTTTGGCCCTCTGCAGACAGAATTAAGCATGTGGACCAAAGGCTGCCCTCTGTTGCTCTAATCTAGTGGTTCCCAACCTTGGGTAACCCAGGTGTTCTTGAACTGCAACTCCCAGGAACCCTGGCCAAGCACAGCTGGTGGTGAAGGCTTCTGGAAACAACAGTCCAAGGACACCTGGGATACCCACTGCTCTAACCTGTAACCTACACTGCCCCTCCTCCTAGGGACAGCACGGGAGTGAGACATATCATGCCAAAATCAGCCAATAACCCTTGTAAAATGCTATTTTACTTTGTCAGAAGGTAAAGCATTTTTATTTATCCTGTTCTTTGTAAGACATCTCTGAAATGTTAGTGAAGAAAAATGTTTCCCTGACATCGCTGTCAGGATATCCGTTTTTGATCATGTGCTCAGCGCTCAGGAGAATAAAGAGAGAATGAAACATGACATGTTACATTTTGCACAACAATGACAAATCATCTGCAAAGAAAACCAGCAAGGATTAAGGCATTTCATATCTATCTGTGTCCTACCTGCCACTCTGAAGCTGGATATGCAGTGTGGTAAAAGGCTCTACCCGAATGAGGTAATGCATGACCCCAGCAGCATTGGAGTAGTGAGTACCATAATGGAACTTGTCAACAATCCCCAAAGGATCTTCGAAATTTTCATACCTTGAAAAAGAGAGACAGAAACAAACACCATGTTTCCATAACTGTGAATCAAGCTGGCTGTCCTCACTGATGGGTGCAATCACTGAGATGGGAGAGAATAACACGTCAGAATTTCTTTCCATTTAGTCCCAAACATTCTACTGCTACTGATTAGTACCTGCAACAACAATGATGTTCTTAGAGTTAAAGGCCTCCTGTTTGAAGATGATGGAAAGAAGCCATGCATTGAAGCAATCATTGAATGCACCGCTTGAAGTAACCACTCAGGACCTACAGCAGGGTCTTCAGAAGCAATCTCTGCGGCCTTCTATGTTAAATAATAATGTTTCATAAAGCATACTTTGTGAAACATAACACAGGTTGTTTTACTTCTGTGTTTTCAGACAGAATTAAATGTATTCTAATTATATATGTCATGTGGTAGTTCATGTTAATGCTCTGAATGGATATGGATATATCATACTAGCCCAAGCTGAAACACGGTAGGCAAATAGGACTTCATAAAACAGAAAGGCTCACTCTGGTTACAGAAGGTGATGGAACTCTTGATGGAGATGCAAGGGAGGGGGTGAAGATTAATGGGCTCATGCTGGTTCTCACTGCATCATGTGAGGCTTATGTAAATAGACTCAATTTTTCAAATGGGACAGCAGGGGGTGGCAGAGCAAGCCTACACAAAATAAGAAAAGCTTCAGAGGCTTCTTAGAGAGGTAACTACATTACTCTGTTGCTGTAAAATCACCAAAGACTTGCAGTCTAACATACTCACTATGGCCTACTTTTTTATGGACTACAGTTCATTTCATCAAATGCATGCAATATTTAGAACATGGAAAAGCCACCCTAGTGGACTGTAACTCCTCAGAGTATAGCAACCAAGTCTCTCAATGGCTTGACTAGGTTTTTCCCTAAACAGCATCTATCTTTTCCTACTTTTTTAACTCTCATTCTTCTCCACCAGTTGGGACAGGTTCATAATCATCAATCAGAACAGAAACTAAGAGCACACTCAATAATAATGAAGCAATATTAACTAAATACTTTGATATTCAGTAGAGTGAATAGTCACTAGAGTGACTAATTTAAATATTTATTTATTTATTTATTTACTTATTACCTTCTTTTTTTGTTTTAATATTAGATCTTGATCATTGAACTGCCATAATTGATTACTGCTAGAGATGGGCATAAACCACTGTTTTGGAAGATGGTTCAGCAGCACCCAGCAGAAGGGGAGTGCTGATGCACAGAACATATGTTCAGCCATCCACCACAATGGCATGAACTACTGAACAGGAGGTTCATGCCCATCTCTAATTGTTGCTATTGGGGTTGTGTGGAGTCCTGAGTTTTTAATTTGCAAACCATCCAGAATAGCGTGTCCACTAGAGAATCAAATAAACTATGTCAAATAAACAAACAAATAACCTTTCACGAACAGCCTTGGCATTCTTTTCATTTGCCACACCAATAGGTTTAGACAAATCCCGAAATACAGCAGGATTATTCAAGTCTAATTCTTCTGAAGTGTAATCCCGCAGGATCCATGGAAACTAGAACGGGAGAAGAAAAAGTCTCTTTCAGATCTCACAACCCTTTTGAGAAAATACAACACTGTATCTAATCTGAAACAATGACCAAATTAAAACTTACAACAGGATACTGTGCAAGGTCATTATAGGTTCGTCCCGCCATAGTATTTAACTGAATGAGGTAGTCAAAGTTCGAAATCTCTCTGTTCACCCATTTCTAAAGATTTTAAAAAATTGTGAAATCATTAATGAACAGCACAATAATTCATACAACATAGTAGTATTTAAGGTAAGGAACCAACTAATAGAATTTCATGGGACAACATCAAGGGGAAATTCAATTGTCATGTTTATTCAGCTCTTTATCTCAAGCTATTACAATGGTTCAAAGTGGCTGACAAAGCAAAAACAAAGTCCCCAAGTGACAATCAATTTTCCTTGCAGTTCTGGAGGACTGCTGCTGATCTGAATATGACATACAACAGAGGGAAGCCTTTGCCAACATAAACACTAGTTTAACTGTGATATGTTCCATTCAGATAACTCTACAAATCATAGTTCTGTGAAAGCACTTAGGTGTTTCTTAAAATAGGAGCATCACAACCCCAAAATCCTTAGAGTGTGGGTAACAACTATATTCATTTAAAGTCCAAGAAATTGTATAGACTAACACAACAACTGCTATCTCTAGAATAAAAAGACCAAAATATGCATGGAATTTCTTCATTCTGCACAATTTTTTTTAAAAAAGTCTGGGCTTATTATTTTTATATAATGGGAGACAATAGAACAATATTATATATTAGTACTTTAAATATTTATGTACTATTTTCCAGTTAGAAAATGCCACAGCAACTTATGAAACTTAAAATGATTTCTGATGAAATGATTGGGAGAGCAAGGTGCATTTGCCTGGATTCTGAACCCAGAACAACTTCATCACAGGACATTAATTAGCTATTCTGGTTAATATCCTACCTGGGTCAGTCCTGAGGCTTTAAACAGTTCCTGTGGAGATCTGGTCCCACTAATATTTGGAGAGCACAGGGACAGAATTCGGCTATACACTTTGTTTCTTGCCTGTAAGAAAGAAAAAGGAATGCTGATTAAATAGCCCGGCTGGACCAAAAGTTCATCTCATTGGGCGTTCTGTTCAGGCAGTGGCCATTCGTTTAGCTGCCCAAGGGAAGCCCATCAGAAGGACGCCAGGAGAAGCTGTTTGCATTCCCAGAATATGTTTGAGTTATGCAGCCATGTTGAACCTGTTCCTCTATGAAGCAATTGCCCAAGTGGCTTTATGTATCGAGTTAGTTACTCTCTGTTAGTGAGTATCCATGTATATGGAACCTTTACAAACACATACCTCCTTCTTAAAATTAAGAAAGTAATTGGTCTGGTCGATAAAGAAGATTTCCAAGGCTGATCTTCTCAAATTATAGCGACGTAAGTGAATCTCTCGAATTTGAGAGAGAGGCCATTTGAAATCAAAACCGATACCTGGAAAGACAGGAACTTCAGTTATTGTTCTGAAATATTGATAAGAGAGTAGACATACTCTTAACACAGAAGCCATGTAACAGGGTTTAGGAAACAAAAGTTGCTGATGAGAAAAAGCCATTCTATAGAGCAAATGAAAGAAACTTTTACTGGAAAAGTGTTCACTTTCTGATGAATATCAGATTAATCTCAAATATTCTCCTGTGGAATTTTATTTTGAAATAAAGTAAAAAATGTAGCCAAAAAAAGGGAGAAACACATGGAAGGGCAAGCATGTTTCTACATATATGAATGCACTATGAAGTAGCTCTTCTTGTTAATAATCTTGTATAACGGCCACCACATGGAAGAAGGAGCAAGAAGGTAGGACTGGCTGAATTCTATGGCTGAAATCCTGTTGCTTAGTACAGAAGCCATGTAACAGAGTTTAGGAAACAAAAGTTGTTGATGAGAAAAAGCCATTCTATAGCTTTATACATGGAAGATGGAGCAAGAGGGTAGGACTGGCTGAATTCTATGACTGAAATCCTGTTGCTTAGCTAAGTAAACCCACTAAGTAGACTCCTGGATCACTGGGGATTTGGGAGTGAATTCTTCCCCACATTCTATTGATTCAAATCGGCCTACTTTAGTTGGAATTTACTATATTAAGCAACAGAAGACAATGGATTCAAAGTATGAAAAAGGACATCTCAGCAAAACATTAGGAAAAACATTCTCACAGTAAGAGGTGTTAGCATAATGGACTGTCTCAGAAGGTGATAGACTCTCCAAGTGGAAGATTTCAAACAGAGATGGTTCAGTCACCTGGCAGGGTGCTTTGGTTGTAGATTTCCTAATCCACAGCATCCCTTCTGGCTTTATAATTCTAAGAGCCAATGAAACATGCCCCATGCATCTTTCTCACAATACAATGGAGGATTACAGCCTGCTGAACAAACGATCTCAATTGCCCCATGAATACGGACTTCATTTGTGAATTAACACTGGGCTATCAATGGTACAAATAAAATCTACCACAGGCCTCACCTTCCTCTTTTTCAATACTGCCATCATAGAAATAAATATGTTGGGTAGTGACCTCCAGTCTGCCAGGTATTACGTTAATAATTGTAATAAGTTCACAGTCTTCAGAGAGCACTAGTTTTTCCTTTTGACTCTGTTCTTCCTTCTCATCCCTGCAAGAACAACACCAAATGGCAGGCTTAATTGGATCAGTTGTGTTCCAAAAATTACAAGTCAAAGGTACGGTGTCACTTAGACAATAATTAACATTAGAATTGCTTTAAATATATATATGAAAACCTCAAGCAACCCTGGTCAGTGCAGATATAATAGCTATGACCTCTTAACTGCAGTTAAAAGATTTGAATTCAGAACTCAAAAATAGTCCATCTGAGGCTTTTATTTTGAAATCTCACTGCCAAACAAAACCAACTAAGGAGGCAAAGACAGAATAGCCGTGTAACGTCTTTTTATTGGTAGTACTTTGGCGCTCTCCCTCTGGAAGCTCCCTTTTACTTCAGGAGAATGTATGCTTCTTCCATGAAGCAGATTTCATCTCCTGCTTTAATTGCAGTGAAGGGATACACTGGCTGAAATCCAGTAGCAGGTTTCAACGAGAGTAAGTCCACTGAATCAGTGGAACTTACATAGGTACTGACTCATCGAATCCCCACTGATTCAACTGACCTATTCTAGCTGCAATTTACTGCTAGATTTTCAGTCAACACTAATCAGTCTCCACACACAGCTAGAATTTCTCATTATCTTCAAATCCTGGTTAAGAGGAAACCTTGTTAGCATTAACTACGGTTAAAGTGGTTTTTGACATATCCTTAAACCAAGTTAAGCTGGGAAGGCAAAAACTATTCTAAGGAGGCCAAAGCCAGCCAGCCTATTAGACAGTTGCCTCAGAAGTGGTAAATAGCAGCACACCCCAGCTCCTACGAGGAATATGGCGGCGGCAGTACTGCTGCTACAGTGGGCAAGATGATGATGTTGGGGGAATGTAGCAACACTCTTATTTCACCCCAGGAAAACCCAGGCTGCCTATGGAGGTAAGAAGGGCCTGATCCCAGGGCCAGCTCTTCAACTTTCCACCAGAACTAAGAGACTGGAGCCATTATACCGTGTTTTTTTCATATCATATCAGAATGTGAAAACTAATGAAAACCTGAGGAATTAAACCCTTTCTGGAAGAATGTGAATGCCCATTGACATCCATAGAAACGACTCCAAAAAAGTCTCCCTTTCATGAATGACCCTTTCCCCCAATACATAGGGATGAGCTTTGCCCCACCTGCACACTCCACAAAAAGAACAACCACTCCAACGAAATGTCTGAACTGGGCTCTTATGTCATGAGGCAAGCAGAATATAGACCCTTGAATCTGCAGCTTCTCCATGCTGCTATTTTGGGAAGGGACAACTGTATTAGAAGGTTGCACCAAAAACAACAAAGGATCTTGAGACACTTCAAAATTTGGCTTGGTGTAAACTAAATGGGTTGCAGTCCATAAACGCCTCTGCCAAACCAAGGTTGTTAGGTCTTTGGGCTTCTTGTTGCTTTTTTCAAGCTGAAAACATCGCTGTATGGATCAAAAAAAGATTGCACCAAAAACAACAAAGCATCTTGAGACACTTCAAAATTTCGCTTGGTGTAAACTAAATGGGTTGCAGTTCATAAACGCCTCTGCCAAACCAAGGTTGTTAGGTCTTTGGGCTTCTTGTTGCTTTTTTCATGCTGAAAGGATCTTGTGTGACTGGACTCAAACAAGCACTGCACCATTGTACCAAGCCCTGCTGTACCCTAAATGGGCAGTTAGCATGCTTAGCTGATTGATACACAGTTATTTTTTAATAATGCCACTGTTCACTCTCCCAAAGATGCCAACTTCACTATATGAAGTAACTATGAGGTAAGTACATATGAGGCATGCAAAACCGGCCTCATAGAGCGAATTCATCGCTCTACGAGGCACCCGTTGTGCGAGGCACCACTGTAATGCCACTGAGCAGAATGCTCCAGAAATTCACCCTCCCAAAGATGCCAACTTCACTATATGAAGTAACTATGAGGTAAGTACATATGAGGCAACTATGAGGTAACTTATGAGGTAAATATGAACTATGTATGAGATAACTATGAGGTATGAGGTAACTGTATCAGGTAATTATGAGGTAACTATGATACAGATGTCACTGTATGAGGTAACTATCTTTACTTCTCTGCACCTTCTTTCTCCCAGATTTTGCAAGATTACATCACTCAGTTAGTATTGTACTCCTTCAAAAAATACAAAAAATGCTGATCAGTCTGGTCCTCAGCTCAGTAACACCAATTAATGTTACAATGCATGCTTACAGGTTATTTTCATTTATGAATCAGCCCAGTACAGTACAAGACACATCAACCACTATTCCCTTCTGTGGATATATGTGGGCCAGAATCTGAAAGGTGTGTGCAGTCAGCTTGCTTTACCAAGATAGCTTTGGGCTTGTGCTTCTTGAAAGCATCAACATGTCAAATCACTTGCAAAAGAAAGCACATTTTGAAAAGCAATCCAAACGTACAAGAGATACTTTTTAGACCACTAAAAATCAAACATTAAGTGCAAGCATTTGTAAATAAAATTTGACTTCATTAGTGTATGGCAGAAAAATTATAAATAAATGTTCAATTAAGTGAACTTTATTCACCAAAGCTTGTGCTGAATGCTTGGTTTTTAGTGGTTTAAACAGAGGTATCGTTGTTTCTACATTTTGGATTGTGTAAAGGATTACATGGTTATCTCTGTTGTTGTTTTGGAAAGTTGTTGATGATACAGTGGGGTCTTGACTTGAGAACTTAATCCGTATTGGAAGGCGGTTCTCAAGTCAAAAAGTCTGTAAGTCAAGTCTCCATTGACCTACAGTGCATTGAAAACCGATTAATCCCGTAACAAGATTTTATTCACCAAAGCTTGTGCTGATTGCTTGGTTTTTAGTGGTTTAAATAGAGGTATCGTTTTTTCTACATTTTGGATTGTGAAAAGGATTACATGGTTATCCCTGTTGTTGTTTTGGAAAGCTGTTGATGATAACAGTATAGTGGCCTTCTATTTAGATCAAATCAAGGCACAAATCTGGTTGAGTATGCCCATGCCCCTGGGGATGCATAATGTAGCATTTTGGGTCCACACCCTGGGTTCCCTATGCCTTCCAACATACATGTTTGCATTGGATGTCACATCTTCGTCTGGCAGTTCAAGGATATCATCCTCCATGTCACTGACTTTCACTTGCTTCACAGCCTCCAGCAGCAAAGTCTCACTAGACGGCAGCGTCTGTTGCACTCCTTTGAAGACACAATGAAGTTTTCCAGGTGAATAATGGGGTTGAATAAACTCAATTCAACCCCATTTCAACCCCATTTCATCCCAGCAGGTCCTGGTGACTGACAAGAGATACCCCTTCCTCTGACTTCACACCTAAGCTATGTGGTAGGTATTTCCAGACAAATAAAAGTCTCTCTTCATAGAGCACCTTGTTATATGGTTGAATTTGGTATTGCAAATATGCAGTGGTGGCTATAAAAGGAGATTAGAGGTATTCATGGAAGATGGGGCTATCATTGGCTATTAGCAACAACAGCTATTTTGCAATCTCCCAGAACAGCAACACTAGATCTCTGATGTCCAGACTCCACATTTAGCCAGGATCTTGTACTGTAACTATCTTCAAATCCTGATTAAGAGGAAACCTGGTTGCAGTGGTTTTTGACAGATCCCTAAACCAAGTTAAGATGGGAAGGCACAAACTATTCTAAGGAGGCCAAAGCCAGTCAGCATATTAAACAGTTGTCTCAGAAGTGGTGAATGGCAGCACTCCCCAGCTCCTACCAGAAGAACGGTAGTGACAGAACTATTTGAAGTCATCCTTTTGGAGCACATGGATAAATATGTGTGATAAATATGAGGACTGACTAGATGGCCCTTTGGACTGGTGTAGTGTGGCTCTTTTTACATGCCAGACTAAACTATTTTTAGATGAAAATAGGGTGATTTACTGAAAGCAAGGAAAAATATTTTCAAACAACATACTTTTGTTTAAATTGAAAAATTATAGAATAGACAGACTTACAGACTTGAGGTCTAAAACATTCCTGTATACATACAACAGTCATGAGATCTCACCTAGATTGTCTCTCAGAGCACTGGCTTCCTGGTGAGAGTTGAAATTGTAATTCTGTACCAATTTTAGCCTCATTCGTGAGTAATTTTCCACATTTGAAAGTTTCCAGTGGATACGATTTGGTTTCCTAACAAAATAAATATACTCCAAATAAATTATAATATACCAGATATGTGGCTTTACTGCTAAGAAAAATTTTACTCAAAAGGAATGAGGGGGAAACACAGAGGAGAATATCACTGTGCTGTCTGTGGACTTCAAAGGTTCTCAACAAGATGAAGCAATTAAGGCCTAGGATTTGGAAATTTTACCTCTTTTAACTACAATTCCCAGAATCCCCAGTCAGAACAAACCACAAGTCACTTTTCAAAGTTCTGTTCAAAGTACACTTTCTTTTAAGAGTTCGGAAAGTGAACTTGCAGCAGTAGGGATCTTCACATTGCTTCACAAGAATAGGAAAGAGCCACAGACAAGGGACAAGGATTTAGTTCCTTCTTATGGGATTGACACCCAGGGAGCTTAGAGTGGGAGGTGACTCTACTGATGGAACCCAATGAGGTCACTCCTCTGATAGAAGATTTCCATCAATAGATGGAGGAAGGAGGGTGAATGTATTTTTCCACTGCAACCCCTATAGGCCCTCAAACCCACTGGAACCACTAAAGAATCCTCTGGAGAAAATTCTGGATTCCAAGGCCTAGAAGCAGGGAAGTATCCTTGCATAAGTGAAGGTCCACACACACAATGTTTGATTCTACCTCAGGTCACTAGCCCCATCCAACTGGTTTCTTGACATTTTTCTTAGCAGAATACGTAGTGTAAGAAGAGGGGAAAGCATCCTGTATAGCTTTAGGTATGAACAATAGCTGGAAGCAGCTCAAGAAGTTTTTTAAAAGTGCTCACAATTTGCATCACGTTAAGTTAAAAGAGGTATGTTCGCTGACATGAGAAAACAAGGAGGGCACCTTTGTCTTTCTTATGTCATGTGTAAGAGCTTGCAAAATTTTCAAATTTTTGCTCGATTAATTAGAAACACATTTTTAACCCAAGCATCATATTGAATAAGGCCCAGTTTCACACAGTTATGTTAAAAGTACAGGATTGCTTAGGGGCATTTTGTTCAGAAGACTTTAATAATCCAAACTGGCAGAAGGTAAACATGGAAGATCATAAAGATCTGGGCATGAGTATGTGTATCTGCAGACATGCAAACTGACAACCTTTGCTAAGTTGGGCTTCTCAGGAAAAAGTAGGAGCTGGGGGAAAAGCTAGATTCCTGAGTTTTACACGGATATTTCCAACATCAATAATGCAAGTTAACTATGAATGAAAGGGCCAAGAAGCTTGACAGACTCATACGGAAGAGACCACAGAGATGTGAGATGCTGCCTGATGGAGCATGAGAAAGGTGTGCCACCTCCTACCTTTCAGCCCAGGGGCCCTGTTCACAAGTGAGGTAGAGTCTGGTCGCCCTCCACTGTCTCAGAGTCGCCGTGTGCTGATTATTCAGCTGTTTCAACATGCTGTTGTAACGCATGTTTTCCTGCCGTGCCTTGCGGTTAAATGGCTCCACAAAAAACTCCTAGAGAGAAGTGTTGCAAATAAATCTGACAGAAATCTAGGCACCAATGAGGCTTTTAAAAGGACGTAAGAAATATGTCAAACTAGAACAATAACAATCCAGAGTACAAGAGACAGGCAGAACCAAAACTATTCTTTTGGGTTATCAAAAAAACAAAAACAAAGGTTCACTCGATCCTATGCATTCGCCATCAGTCACTTAAGCAAAGGCATCCCACAGAACCCTAGGAGTGAATGTCAAAGGCAGATACGAGACTCAGCCAGCTTTCCGGCTGTTGTTTGCAACTCCTGTCATCCCCCATCACTGCCTAAAGCTGATATGAGTTGAAGTCCAACAATATCTTCAGTCACATGGCCCCTACCCACTAGATTACGGAGCCACTCCCAGAGAAGACTTAGAGGTATATGTATGTACGGTCCTGTAACATCTTCCCATATCATCATCATCTTAAAATTGCAGAACTGGAAGGGATGCTGTGGATCATCGACTCCAACCCCTGTCAAGGAGGCACAGTGGGGAATTGAACTCCCAACCTCTGGCTCTCTGCAGCCAGATGCCTAAACTAATGAGCTATCCAGTACTTTTCTGACCCTATTAATACTGTAACAGATATTGGTAAATAGAAGAAATTTGTAAAAGAAGCAATGTTCAATTTTCAGTCCTGGAGAATTCTATTCCAAATTTCTGCCACCAGTTATGGACTAGACAGTGATCCTCCTAGTCAATCCTTAGGCAAACACCTGAGAAACACTTACTATTTGCCAAGTAACAGGGTGTTACCTGAAATTTGAGCTTGCTTTCTCCTCTCTCCCGCTCTCGCTTATGGATGTTCACCATCAGTGCCTCATAGCAATCTTTCCAATACACTGCCATCTGTTCATGACTATCGCTGAAAGTGCTGAGTTCATATTGCTTCATATTTGGGATAATCTGTAAAACAGAAGGGAGGAAAGTGAAGACAAGCAAGCTTCCTTTCTCCTGCACAAAGGAAAGGCCCACAAAGACTGAAAAACAAGTCACCACTTACATATTTATCAATATAAACCTGCCATTCATCTGTGGCGCAGTAGTCCTGGAAGTCCTCAAAGAACGAGGGGCTTCCATTAGTAGAAGGCAGGGAAGGCAAGTGCAGGTTCATAAACAAAAGGTCATATATTTTGGAAACAAGAGTTCGGACAAGAGGGATCAAGAAGGAATAGGTTTCTGTCTTCTCTCGGATTGATCTGCTCAAGATTCCTTCCAGCTTGCCCAGAAGGTAGCAGGACTCTGCTTGGTTGTCCAGTACTTTCGTCTGAAGAAGGGTGTTGAGTTTGGCTGCAGCCATGGCACAAACCTGGAGAGAAAGAGAGAGAAGCCATCAACCAATGCACTGAAGAACAGGTTGCAAGAATTCTCTTCCCCCAAAGCTATTTCACATATATTTTGCCTTTCCTCTGTGGATATTCTGGTGGAGAATCTAGTTTTGGTTTTTGGTTAGTTTTCTATCTGTACTCTAAAAAGTACCAGATTGAATAAGCTACCTGGATGAGTAGCAAAATCTTTCTACCTAATAAGAAAGAAGTCCAGTTGCCATGACTCAACTTCTGGATAACCTAACCTAGATGACTGAGAATCTTCACAGATATACATACATGTTTAAGTTCACCCATGTTGCTGTGCCATGCATCAATACACCATAACTTGAGATCAAAGCTACAAAACTAGAGGATGCCACTTGAAAAGCTCCTTCTACTACAAACTATCATCCATTTTCAATTCAGTAGTTTCTTTCAGGGCTTCATGCTACAAAGCATTTGTCAAGCCAAAGATATAACCCTAGAACAAAGTGTGAATCCCTAAGAGCCCTGGTTTACTCTGATGAAGAAATAAAAGACAGGTTCTATTTGCCATTTGGAATAAACCATGGTTTCCAGTTGAATCCAACCACGGGAAACTATGATTTGTACAACACATGGTTTCTGGTACTCAAAGAAACACAAAACTGTGATTGTTCCAAATTTCAAATGGAAATTTCAAATTGTGCAGAAAGAAGAAGGAAAGAACGCACAATTCAAAAGTTGGCCACACATCTTCTCACAGTAAGCCCAAACCTTTACACTTAAAAATCCAGCTCAGTCACTACTCTACCATATGCTCTTTGGCTGCGATCAAATCTATTCCCTACCCAGCTTTATAACATGTTTCACATAAATGATAAGTCAACCAACCTGCAAATTATCTTGACCAATGAATCCAAGAAGCAACTGGATCTGTACTTGGTAGAGCTTCGCATACTCTGGGCCAGAAGTGTACAAAACTGACATTGTATCCATGAGAGTCACCAGCTCTTCCAACAGCTGTATGAAATAGCATTCAAAAATTCAATCAAAGGGGAAAACAACTTAAGGACTGAAAAGTTATCAAACACGAGAGCAACGCAATACATAGGCAATGAAACACCAAGCCAAGTTAGGTTGCTATTTAGGTCTCTTAAAAATACAAAATGCTCAATATGCATCCCATGAGGAGAAAGTCACGCAGCCATAATAAGATGGAATCCTGCCATTTGCAGAAGCATTGCTGCTGCATGATCTCCATGAAGAAAATCCGGCCTCCATGTAATACTTCCACACATTGTATGGTTTTGTGTTACTATGTTGATACCCTGTTTCCTTGAAAATAAGTCCTAGTATGATTTTTCAGGATGCTCATAATATAAGCCCTACCCCGAAAATAAGCCCTAATTAAGTGAAAGCCCACCCTCCACCATTGTGAAGCAACCAGAAGAATATGACATAACTGTATTTGAATAAATGTAGATGGTTATACATGAAAAAATAAAACATCCCCTGAAAATAAGCCCTAATGCATTTTTGGAGCAAAAATTAATATAAGACCCTATCTTATTTTCAGGGAAATACAGTCAGAGTTTCTTCTCCATGGAGGCTCAACAGTAGGATATTGGCTCATGGAACTAGAGCCATTAGGAAACAAGCAGAACGGTGAACAATGATTCAGAGCAATTTTACTAAGGTCGCAATACCTTGAAAAGCTAGCAAACATTCTGGAACAGCCTTTTCAGTGAAAGATCAGCTTTCACTTTTGTGCACATGAAAAAAATTAAAGGTGGACACTAGGAAATGGACTACCTAATAAAGTCTATTTGGTCAGATTTATTTTTCAAACTAGAATAGGCTTTGAGGAAGTGGCATTTGTTTGTTCTTATGATGAACAAGTTTTCTTGTACTCTGACTCATACTAAGGAATGTGCACCAAAATAAAAATTTTAAAAGATATTAAAGTGAGAAATAATAATTTAAAAAGCATGTTGATTTATTTATTATTCTAATAAATGAATGTTTGTTTATTTAGGATATTGACTTTTCTCCTTGACCTGGAAAGTCAAGGCAGCATGCATTGAAATGAATGGGCCAGACAATGGAAGTAGAACATAATGGAAATATTCCCAGCAAAAAACCAAAACACTGCCTCAGAGAACAAGTTTGGAACTCCAGAATGCTGTACATGTGAAAACATTTCTGACACTGTTGAAGCTTATATTTTGCAGCTCACGCTAACAGCACTCAAATTAGTCACAAATATCATCGTTGAAAGAATCTAGATGCAAAATTTAAAGGAAAAAAAAGGAGTCTGCCATCTTGCAGGATGCTATAGAGTGTCCCCTGACCAGCCTGTTATGCATAGAGGTAAAGGTTCCTCTTGACACTTAGTCCAGTCGTGTTTGACTCTAGGGGGCGGTGTTCATCCCCGTTTCCAAGCCATAGAGCCAGGGTTTGTCCATAGACAGTTTCCGTGGTCACGTGGCCAGCACGACTAGACACGGAACGCCGTTACCTCCCCCCCCCCGTGGTGGTACCTATTTATCTACTCGCATTTGCATGCTTTCGAACTGCTAGGTTGGCAGGAGCTGGGACAAGCAACGGGAACTCATTCCATGGCATGGATTCGATCTTACAGCTGCTGGTCTTCTGACCTTGCAGCACAGAGGCTTCTGCAGTTTAACCCGCAGCGCCACCACGTCTACTCTGTTATGCATAGTCAGTCTCAAATAAATAAAAAGTTGCCTATATTCACCCAAAATATAGTACAGTATTATTTATAATTAATCACTTGTGCTTCCAGGTTCTACACAGCTCCATTCCTACCTTTTCTGTCCAGAGATTTGAATTTACAAGACCTTCTGCTTGCAGGAAATCCTGCACAATGAACAGAAGACGGAAGGCATTTTCTGCATACATTGGAAGAGATTTGGCATCTCTGCTGTCAGTGACGGCCCATTCAAGCATCTTCTCCAGCAAACTAGGTTAAAAAGAACAACATGGCAAGCGACTTTAATGGCTTCTAGCTAAAGCACTATACAGTGGGGGAAGAGACTAAAAATCTGTGATTCCGCAACCTCTCTAGCTAATCTCATCACAGCCAAAACAGCAAAGCCAGAGACACAGAAACAGTGTTCCAAGTTTTGGATGAGGTACACAAATCTATTACACTTTATTTCTCAAGATCTGGAGGCTTTCCATATTGGATTTAGAGTTCCCATGAGAGATCAGAATTCCACCAACAGGGCACTCCTGCTGATGAAGGAGAGAGAGATGCAATTCTCACAAATTTCTCTCCCTATATCCCATCCCTATCCTGCACTGCTGTTGACAAGTTGCTCCAGTAAGGAAAGTGGCATTTGGGGCTACGAGGGAAGAAAAGATTATTTTATAATTGCCTTCTCTGTCCATCCTCTGGCAAGAGTCTCAACCAGCGATCAGCCCTTTCAACGAAGATGTCCTTCTCCTTCCAGAAAGCAACCATGGATCTAACAGTTCATCTCTTACCTTAGTGTAGAAGAGTCAACTAAAGACTGTGCATGCTAGGATCTAAAAGGGGGTCACACACCCAAATACACATTTACAGATAGATCTATACTTTTAAGAAATAAATAATACTTTTGACTAGAGATAGGGAAAAACCAGAAAAATTGGGGCGGGGGGGAAGCAGTTTTTTCCCATTTTTTTCCCCAAGCCATTTTTTTTCTAGAAAAATTGAAGAAATATGGAGCGTAGATGAATAATATGTCTATGACATGGCATTCAAACTATATAACATGAAAACCTTAAAGAAAGACTTCTGAGACTTTTCATATTTAAGCTGAACTTAAGTTGAAGTTTTTGACTCACTTGAGCTTAATTTCATCTGATGGTCGTAATAGCTCGTTGGATATCCCGAGTTTGGTGAGAGCTGAAAAAACCTGGCCCCTCTCAATCCAAGAAGCATCATCAGACCTTTCTATGCCTTTCCACATCACACAGAGCAGCACATCTGTGAGCAACTGTACCAGGTCCTCTTCGCATGCCTAAGAGAAAGAGAGGGCAATGCACTGTAAAGGATTAGATTCTTCCCCAAATGTACGTTGTTCATTCCACTTTAAAACAGTGGCACTTTTTCAGCATTTTAAACATGTATATGAGAAATGACATGTTCACTAGCTGAATCTTTGATATTATTTCCAAACATTGAGACCACTTTGGGGCCAACGTAGCTTACACTCTTATTAGAAGGCAAAATGAAAATAAGTGTATTGAGTAGTTCAGAAATGCAAAGGTAATGTCTTTAGAGGGGAAATTTGATAGAGCAATCTGGAAACCAGATCTAGAATGAGAAACTAAACCCCGAACAGGGTTCTGGTGGCTCAACTGCTGACATTTTTGCAGGAAACAGATCATTTAGATCTATTGCAGTCTCGTATCAGGCCTAGTTGATTCTCATCACTCATCATCTCTTACTGGACTGACTCTGTAGGTGGGATGTTGGAGGCACAGTTATACCATGGTTCCAGTCCACCCTGCAGCTCATTTTCAGGGAACTACACCGGGGGTGGGGGCGATCTATGATCATCCCCAGAACATCTGAGCTGGGGATCCTGCAAGAATGCACCTTATCCCATATACCTTTTAACATCTCTATGAAGCCTCAGAATGAAGTCACTGGCAGTGGCAGGGGGGCAGTGCTACAAATATGTTGAAGACATCCATCTTTATTTCCCTTCTGTCATCTGAGTCAGGGGAGGCGATGCAGGTGGTGAAATAGTGTCTGGAGCTAGTAATGGTCTGGATGAGGACCAATAAACTGAAGCTGAACAAGTCAAGAAGCCTTGTGGTTGGTGATCCTGGGTGTACAGTCTGCCATAGATGGGCATACCCATCCCTGGTAGAGAAGATCATGTAACCATAGGATCTGCTTAATCTAGTACTGTTACCTGAAGTGGTCTCAGCATTTAGGAGCATGTTTGGCCATTCAACAGCTGCGTCAGCATCTAGACAGGGACTGTCCAGTGATTCATATCCTGGTCAACTCCCAATAGAACCATATATAATATACATGGGACTTCATGTAAAGATGATCCAGAAGCATCAGCTAGTGCAGGATAACACATCTAGAGCTATAACAGGTATAGCTAAGTGGAAACATATTGCACAGATTTTGAAAGAGGGGCACTGGCTACTTATTTGCTTCTGGACCTACAGCAGTTTCTATGGACGGAAAAGAGCAGATACGGATTAAATGGTTTTCAATGCATTTCTATGGGAAATGCAGATTCAACATAAGAACTTTTCAACTTCAGAACCACCTTCCAATACAGATTAAGTTCTTAAGTAGAGACCCCACTGTATTTCAAACTGCTAATGTTTACCTTTCAAGTCTTACATGGCTAGAAAACCATACACCTGCAGAAATACCATTCCGTATCTCAGACTGCCTCTGATTTAAGATTAGAGATAGGAGTATTCGTATACAAATATTCCACACAGGTGGAAATAATGAGGGTCCACTCATGATTTCACCACTGCTGTTGGCTCCACGGAGGCTTCCTATTGCGCTGTTCTCCACAATCAATTAGCCACTCCTGGCAGGAGGTAGGATGACAAGCCTCTCTGCTAGGTTGCATTTAAGATAATTGGAATGGGCTCTTCTCCAACGTGTGTCGACAAAAGAAATATCCTTCTTGGTTGACTATCTTAATTACAGAATATTCTCTCCATGGAGGCCTGACTGATTTCAACAGCAGTTCACAGCTTTTCTTGTGTGCTAAGGCATTTAAGGCAATAATTCTGTCCATGTAATGGTACCTGCTGCTTTTCTTTATTTTCGTATGTTTCTATTTGCCAATGTTTTAATCATTAAATATTTTAATTATTTGCTGTATCTGTACATGCACCTGTAGAGCAGTAATTCTCAGCCTTGTGTCCCCAGATGTTTTTGGATTAAGACTCCCAAGAATCTTTCACCACCAGCTGTGCTGGCCAGGATTTCTGGGAGTTGTAGTCCAAGGACATCTAGGAACCCAAGGCTGGGAAGCACTGTGAGCGTTTTATGTATTAAGAAATGTTTTAATAAATAATGATGACATCTCGTAGAGCTCATGTTGCTGAATGAGTAGTAATCTTGCTCTCTTTTAAGGAGGAGAAAAGCTGAAATGCCCATCTGGGAAAGATTTCATATCAAGAAATATAAGACTGAAAAGGGAGGGGGGGGGAACCAAAACTTCTTTCAGAATGAGAAGAGACAGCCACATACCTCATGGATTTCAAATAATGAGAGATCAGAAGTGAACGCCACCACCTCCTCTGCAGCATTTGATTCTTTGTCAAGATGCCCAGAAAACGTTTTAGTGTTATCAATGGGTGAAGGGGTGCTGGGCAAGCTATCTGCCATTTGGCTCCCACTGTCGCCCAGTTCATAGGAGTCAACACTTGACAAGTCCAAACTCAAGTGCGAAGGATTCTTTTGCCACAACTCTTCTTGGTCCTCAGGTCTGAACGACATCTCTCCCACGGAGGTGTCCTCAAGCCCTGTCCCAGATTTGCCATCTTCTAAGCTCCACTGATCACACGAACCATTGACAGAGGCAAAACTGCAGTCATCCTCCCCATCTACTTTGGACAAATGGCATTTCTGAGGGTCTTTGGCAGGCGGTCGCCTTTCATCCTCCTTGGCAGAGTCATTTCTGTACTCCTTCCCACCGTTCCTGATGTCAGCGTTCTCTTTGAGGAAGAGCCTAGCCAACGTCTCTTGCCAGCCAAGCTGCTGAGAAATCTGTTGTCCTGAATCCTGCTGGGAGTGTAGAATTTGCAGAAGCTGCAGAAAACAGAAGGCAACAAGCTAAATGACAGCTGCCAAAGTTGATGCACCATAAAATGCGGGAGGGGGGGTTGCTTCCTGAATGGAATCCATCTGTAAGAGAAACTCTGTTCCTCCTTGCAGGATTAGAAACCATTTTGCCTGAAAGACAATGTTACTATTCACATCATGCATGTGATTACAGACCTAAACAATAACAACTATTTGTCTTTATGAAAACAGACTCACAAAAGCAACAGATCAGACTTTAAAGCAAGTGGTCTTGGAATGTGGTGGGTAACTGGAGGGCTCCAGATGTTGTCAGATTTCAAGCCTTAAGTGAGTACAGCTAATGGTGAGGGATGCTGGAGTTAAATTTCAATATCTGAAGAGTAACAGCTGCCCGGCCATGTTTTTATGATAGATGCATGTTAGATACAAAGGGGAGTATTGAATACTATTGATGTAAAACCTGTGAACCACATGGTTACAAAAAATATTACATCTAATTCTTCTCAGGTTGCTCTAACAAACAGAAATAGCTGAGGGAGATGATGTCATACTAGGTGAGAGTATGGCTATTCAATTCAACATCTCCTTGCTGGCCTTCTTAAAAACGGGTTTATCCCCCAGAAACTGGTGCACTGCTGATTTAAAAAGGACTATGCAAACACCACAGCTTGCAAAGAGCAGTGCAATAATATCTGTCTTATTTCAAAGGTAATGTAACAAACCTGGAGTGATCTATAGAAGGCAACCCAACTATGGCACCAAAATACTAAATTAAGTAAAGACAGGAATCTGCAGTACGTAGACGTAACAGGAGAAGTGCTCGCTCAATTCAAAGCAGAAAGCAGCAGAGTATTTACAACATAAAACTTCTTCCCATAATGTTAAAGATTAAGTATGAATTCTAAGATCCCTTTGGATCAGTTTTATATTTTATAACAAGTTTTATATCTATTAGCTACCTCTGAGGCAGAAGAGAAAAAAAGACCCAAACTCCCAGGAAACAACATATGGAATAATCTCTTTGAATAGCCCCATTTATGTCTACAAAATATTATGCTATGAAGACATTAACATTAAAGGAAATCCAAAATTATAGTAATGGCATGCATTCTTAATTTTCTGGCCTGTTTCATTTTATGAAATTTTGCTTTATTGACATCGTGTAAACAACACATTAAAGAAAACAACAGAACATTTTCTTTTAAAAGGAAGACATAAACAGTGTCATACACTGGCAATGCCCTGAAGATTTCTCTTCACATTCTTAGACACGGTCATTATGTCAATCGGCCTAACACTGGCTTTGCTATTCAAGATGGCTGGGGCAACTGACCAACTTTCCCACCAAACACTAACCTTTCGGCAAATGGCCACTCTGACGTTTATATCTGCTCGGTGAGCCAAATGTGCCAAGGCAATAAAGTCCCTGAGATTCACAACTGGATCTGTAAGAGAAAGAAAGAGAAAAATTATATTTCATACTGTGCCTATAAACCCGGGGCTATCAAGTTTTGGCCCTCGTAGTATTCTCAAAGTTGTCCTAACCATTTATTATTCAGTCTGGGGATTCTAGAAGCCAAAGTCTAAAAGACCAAAGCCAAAGGTTCCCAACCTTGGGTCCCCAGATGTTCTTGGACCAAACCTCCCAGAAGGCTTGACCACTTGCTGTACTGGCCAGGATTTCTGGGAGTTGCAGTCCAAGAACATCTGGGGACTCAAGGTTAGGAAGCACTGATCTAGGCCAAGGGTTAAGAATCATGACCCTAAATGCAGGGGTGGAGATCATTCACTCATTTCGGACTTTTTACAACACAACAATAAATGACAGCCACCAACTGGTACTTTGTAATTCATATAAGACCTAAACCTCTGTTTACATCTTTTGCAGAGAACTACAGATGTACAGAATGGAACGCCTCACAGCCACACGTACTATATTAACATATAATAAGTATCTAAGTACCAGCATGCAGAACTTGATTGAGAAGGTTCTTAATCAGAGATGTGGTAATTGGAGAGTCGTTCAGGAGCAGTCCCAGCCCAGAATACCCAACTTCTCTGAGTTTCAGACGCTGCTTACTCCTCTCATACACTTTGGTGCACTTGAGCATTTGATCCACAATCTGCAAAAAAAAAGGACATAGGAAACCTGCTGTCTGCAACCAGACTCAAAACGGTCACGTGGTTCTGAGGCACACAATTTCATAAGTAATAAAATGCTAACCAGATCTAAGATTCATTTATGTACTGACTGCTTAGTGTTTTGTTCTGTTTTCTTAACGCACCACAGCTATCGACTGAACAGTACTCCTACTCTACATTCTGCAAAGCCATCACTGTAGAAAGCTGAGCTTGTGCTGAACTAAGGTGTGCCAATTGACAAGACTTTTGGAACAAGCAGTGTGTTTCTGTATGCTTTGCTCCTAAAAAGACGCGGCATGGACAAATCCCTTCAGGATCTCTATTCGTGACGCTGAAGCAGGCTTTCTCATTAGCGTAACAATATAGTACTACAGTATAGAGGTGAGGCTAAATAAAGAATGGGGAATTTGTGTAGGGCCATACATTGCAAGACTGTACTCCCATGTCCATGCCCCACCGGACATGCTGGCTAGAGCTGGCAGGAACAACACTTCAACTACATCTGGAATGCCATGCATTCACCACAGCTGAATAAAATCTCCCTGGCCTTTTTTACCCCAGGCGTTAGAACTACAGCTCTTCCTCAGTTCTAACCTTGGGTTCTATTTCTTGGCCCTGTCAAGAGTGCTGAGTGACAGTTTTCACATCAGGATTACTCAGCATGTACTAAAATACACTATAAACACTGTAAAATCCATTCGTATATGGATTTCCTGTAGCACTGGAGGTAGATGACCTTTGACATCTTTTCCAAATCAATGATTCTGTGATTTGGTGTCTAGTCAGTGATTAGTAATGATACGCCATTTAATGGCCAAACTTCAATTACATCAATTGTGCACATACATTTATTTCTAACAAGCACAACTTAGAATCATTACCATAGAATGGCTGAGAAAACAGCCATGGATATAACACTAAATTTAACAACAGAATATTAAATGTAAAAGTTTAATGGCCAAACTTCAATTACACCAATTGTGCAAACATATTTATTTCTAACATGCACAACTTAGAATCATTATGGCTGTAACACCAAATTTAACAACAGAATATTAAATGTAAAAAAGGAAAATGAAACTACGGTACTCTCAGATAAAAACTATTATCTTACTCCCATTTGCTAGGAAATACATTTTTCTGAACACTGCAGGGTCTGATTGTGAACAAGTATGTATTCGCTGTGCTGCAAAATTCATTAAAAATTAATTTTCCCAACCCCAGCAAATACTTCATGGAGTAAAACAGTTCATTGTCAGTTTCTTGAAGCTGAAAACTGAGCTGCATGCAGTTCAGCACAGGAGCATATTAAAACTAAGTTTGCTGCTCAAATACTGTACTGCTTAAGTATTTATAAATGTGTACAGCATAACTTCTGCCAAAAAAAGAGATGATTCACAAAAACACTCCTGATAGAACTGTCACTCTAAGAGAAGACACAACAAGATACCTTGAAGACAAGCTCCTTTAGTTTATCCGAGGACCTCTGATTCAGCAAGAGAGCATAAAGGATGTCTGCATTTCCAGGCTCAAAAAGCAACAAGAAAAGCTGGTCTCGGGTTGGGCTAGTATGAAGCAGGCTGAAGAGCACCTCCAGGATCCCACAGAGCTGCAAGAAGGGGGGAAGAAAGGAAAAGCCATCCAATGAAATATGCAGAATCCAGGCAACTCTTATTGTTCAGTAGGGCTCATTACGAATATTTTTCTTTTTTCTTTTCTTTTCTAGTTCTTCCTCTCAAGAGATATTAGGGAGGTTATTTGAAAATGGCATGATGGAAGCGGCGTGAAAATACAAACAACCCCAGCTTATTCAGAGTGGCCTGGCCAGAGTGAGTCACCATGTGATCTTGCACAAACTCTATTACATTTTTTATTCATATGGCTTTTCTTATTTTATTCTCACAAGCAACCCCCTTCAACTTGATCCAACATCTCCCAATGAATTTCATGGCTTCATGGGGACATGAACCTGTATCTCCCAATCACACACACACACACACACAGAGAGAGAGAGAGAGAGAGAGAGAGAGAGAGAGAGAGAGAGAGAGAGAGAGATGGAGATGATGAAACTACTTGCCAGGGAGGGCAGGCAAGTGCAGGAGTTGAGGAGATATTGGGTGGCCAAATACTTAACATGAATTATGGATAGAAAGAATACTCACTAAATTCCTTTCTCACTGATGTCAACAATGTTGACATGAAACCTCATACCCAGCCAAGAGCAAAGTGAAGACTTCTCTCTTTTTCCCCCCTCACAGTTTCTGTCATTCTCCTAAAATGTCTCTAGTGTCCTTTTCTTTCGTGTAGCAAAGTGTGAGCACACATGCAGCAATGGCACAAGGGCTGGCTGATTATTAAGAAAGATGGAAAGATGTACTTGGAACTTCAATTTCTTAAAGCAGCAACATTCCTCATATGGGATAATCCACACAATTATGCAAATGTTGCAGTAATAATAATAATTGCCACTGTTTGTGTATGTGTTTGTGTGCTCACGCATGCCCAAATCATTTTTCTTGCTAATGTGAGAATTCTACTGAAAATCCTAAAAAATTAATTGCCATCCTCACAGGTGAGGAGATGGTTGCAGTTCCTCATTTTTGGCTGAAAGGATTTACCTTTCCATAGCCACAAGGGCTATGTTTTCATTTCAGTCTTCAACCTGAGCACTCAGCTGATTTGTGGGCCAAGCCAACAATTGCCCACTTGGTGCTGCTCCCTTTAAACGGCTGCAGTCTATCTCCCCCTTTCCCCAACTCTACTCTACATTTGGAAAGGCAGCTGAATTGAAAGAAGGTAAAAGAGTACATTAGTGGGGACCAGGCACAGTTGAATGAAGGCATGCAAATTACCTGCTCCTCATCACTGATAGCAGCTATGTATCCCATGATGCTTTGTACTTCTTCATGCATCCCACCTTTGCTCAAGAAATACTTGATCAAGCCGTACAGAGATGTTCTTATTGTTTTAAGATCATCTGGAGACAAATCACTGTCTTTGCAGCCACTCCTGACAAAACCAAGGCAGGCAGGCTTTAGAAAAATAGCCACGTACTTACAAAAGCAGTCAGTGATCCTTGTTTAGTCAGCTTTCTTTCCATAAAGATTTCCCTCTACTTGTGTTAAGTGCTCTTTTTCTGGGTAACCAAGATTAAACAACACAATTCAAATACAATTAAAAGTACTTTACTGGCCAGGTATTTTAAAAAATCACTGTCCCAATACATTTTGAGCATCATAGAGATCACATGAATCATTAACTAGTTACTAATTATTTATAACTACCTTCAAGCCCTATGTGAGAGATACTTCCAGACAGGGATTATCCTCTGGCCTGTACACAGAATATAGTCCCAAGGGAGTTTCAGAGAAGAACTTTTAAGACTTTTATCCCAGAGGAAGTTTTGAGGAGAATGAATACTCCTGTTACTAGTAGCAGCATTAACTGTGGTCATCATCCATCCTTATTTTTACCACCAAACCTATAACTACTAATACCACTACAAAAATTTGTCATTTTTTTCATGTTTATGAAGTGTTCAAAACACTTCACATAATCTCAGTAAAAGAAACAGTAAGATTGAAAAACATGTTTGTTTTTTCTTTTTGGCTTATGGCTGCATTTTGGAGAGCTACATTTAAATAAGGCACAGAACAAACTAAGGAAGGATACAAAACTTCATACCCATAATAAATCCTGAGAGTATCCAGCAAAAACTGTACACCATATTTTTTCCGAAAGAGCCTCCTGCTATCCCTGATGATTGTGGAGATGTACTGGATGTGGCCTAAGAAAACAGAGGGTACATTCTCTATTAAAAGAGGCCAGGTGAGCTATTTCAAAGGTTGAGGGCCACATTTCAGATCACTACTACATCAGACTGAGAGATGCCTTTAACAGGAACTGGTTCTACCTGAAGCTCCAAAATCTTTATGCTCCTCATTTATTTCCCTACCATTTCAACTGCTCCGGGCATAGAAAATCTCAATTTCCCTTCTCACACTCACACAAGTATCTCAAAATCAATCTAAACTAATCTTCTTCTCCTTCCTCAGATCTTCACAGAACCCAACACCCAGTCTGAACTCCTTGCACATTAACCAGTCAGTTGACATCCAGTGCCTGAAAACATTAGTAGCCAAGTGAAGAGGAAGGATTAAAAAAGGTTTCTTACTCTTTCACTATATGTTGGCAGCAAGAGGTTGCCAACTAATTCATTATACTTTAGAACCAAAGTGTTCCAAGTATTTATTTGAGTAGTACATGGCCTCACCAATTCGGAATGGAAAGTCTCCCCGGTTCCAGATGCTGAAGTCAAAAAGCAAGTGCTGATACATCTGCTGCAAAAGCTGCACATTCTTTGCCACAGTGACCTGTTCTATCAGTAACTGGACCGCCATCAGTATATTCACATCCACAAAGCTACTGGGGATCTGAAAGAAAGCAAACAAATAAACCAAATGGCCATTTGCCACTGCTGATGACATCATCTGATTGTGCATGCAAAGCTGTGCAACAGGATTTCAGTCACTGTGAAACAAAGCCAAAGAAAGAATTCGACCAGCCCTAGAATGGGCATAATTTATTCAGAATGTGAAAAATTGCTTTTATGGCCTTCTAATTCCCAGAATAGCCCAGCCCACATGGTCTCTGGGGGATTTAACTTCCCATTACTCCTAACTGGAGGGGAAGTAAACAAGCAGACAACGGATATGTTTACGAAGGAAACTAAAGGCCAAAGTCTGTCACTCATAATTTTACAAAGAAAATAAACACATACATAGATAAAAGAGAAAGATAGAAACATAGAGATAAATATAGCTATAGATAAACATATAGATACAGATAAACATAGATATAAAGATATGGCATCAAAATGGGCTACTGTTTAGGAGGCTGTTTTGAATCCCAGTTCAGGGAGACAGGCAGCATTTAAAACCAACAGATCAATAAACAAATATGCTCAAATACTTCTGTAACATTGGTACCTTTTGCAAAAGAACACCTAAGGTTGCAACTCCATAGGTGTGAACCAAATTATCCTGGTTAATTGGATGCCTTTGTATAAAGTGCTTTATCATCAAGATGAAAGTTGCAACAAGGTTCTTCTCTAAGCGAGCCTCTGCAAGATGGAAAATATTATTTATTTAATTATTTGTTCATTTATTTCATTTTTACACCGCCCATCCGACTGAGGCCATCTTGGCGGTTTACAATATATTTAAGCAACATACAATTAGACATAACAAACAGTAAAAATAATAAAATATGAACAAGTAACAGTTCATGGCATAAAATACATAAGGATAAAATGTTCAAAACATTCAAAACATTTAAGATGGCAGAATTGATCAGTTAGGCTAGTTAGGCTCAGCTGAGTTTGCAGGTATGTGTCTTTGAAAACAGACTTTAAATGAATATATTAGCAGACTGAAAAAGGAAAAAGAAAAATATGAAAGACATTTGACCCTCCCCCCCCAACTATTTCATTTTTTATTTCTGCTTTTCAATCCCTTGCTCATAGGGAAGGCGGCATCAATTCTTCCCCTACCTGACGCCCTGGTGGAGGTTAACATCACCCAATCTCCTTCGACAGGAGTCATCAATTCAGGAGGCACCGGTTCCACATCCAGCCTCTCCGGTAAATGCCCATCCAGGAGGCTGATCTGTTCTAGCAGCGGGAACAGCACATTTAAGCCACCTATGCAATTGATCATATCCTGGAGAAATAAAATGGGGTGGGTGGGGAAGGGTCAATTGGTGAGAGGAGGAAGCAGCAGACAGAAGGGGCTTTTTAGAGGCATGTGGACTAGAATTCTCCTCCTTCCAAGAGCATTATGGAATGGGTTTCAAGAGTCAGTCTGCAGGCAGGTCTGTTGATTGCACCAGGTTTCTGAAAGCGCAAGGTTGGAGAACACTATTTGGACTTCAGCTCCCATCAGCCCTCACCAGCAGGAACTCATGGGGCCCAGTGATGAGATTTGCAGTCCAACCAAACCTGGAGGGATGGAGGTTCCCCATCCCTCATGTTTCTTCCTCTCCTACTGACTATGTATACTTCCAGTGCTGGCCCCTCATCCCTGACTGAAGTCAAAGGCTCCTATTTAGCTCTTTTGGTGGTGGCAGAGGGGACTAATGGGGTGGAAAGTGGGGATATCACTGAGGGAGATATCTTCTCTTGCCATTAGGCTCACCACTGTTTGGAGCAAAAGACATATAGGATGGTTTTCTCTCCATCCTAAATATGCCATTGGCTCTACCTCTTAGCATTTCTCTCACATACAAAGTCAAATCCAATTTTAGTCTCAACTAGAACAGGGCCACTGAAATGAATGGGATTTGTTAAGTCAATGCTAATGACTCTGGTATTAAAACTAGATTTAACCTATAACAACCTGTTCTCACAGAAGATAGCAGACCAGGATTCCTCAGCCTACCAGACATTTTGCTGTTTTACATGGTCATGAATGCTAAAGGACTTGGGTACTATCCACAACATTGTTTCAGAGAGTGAATCTATCCAAGTATCTATCTAACAGATATTTTATTTTTCTGTTGTTTCTGCTCAGATATTTGATTGTTAATCATCCCTGATGTCAGGGGAGCATCTTAATGATATGCAAGACTCCTAAAGCTCAGTGTTGACCCCTGGCTGCAAAGCCACAAGCTGGCCGTATGACTCCCCACTGGGCCTTCCAGGAGAAGAGCCTCCCTCTGTAGCCTTGGGCAAGCTGCACAGTCCCTGAGTGTTCCCAGAAGAAGGGAACGTTAGACCACCTGTAAGTACTCTATACTTAGAAGCCCTTGGAAGGGTTGCTATAAGTGAGAATCGATTTTATGGCACCTAATTCTCAGAGCCTTTCTCAATGAAAAACAGCACACAAATATCACAAATAAACAAAAAAAACCAGTGCTAAATAAGAGAAGACATACATGTGCCTTTATTAAAAAACTGGCCCCTTGATGTTCACCTCTGGGTTCCATTTTAAGACTCCTTCACAACGCTGCAATACAGGCACAACTTTAGAAACACTGGCTACAATCCTACACTCTTACAGAGGTCATAAATCTCAGGGTGTTCTATAGAATTTGCAACTGAGGAGACTTGCCTAGGGCTGCACTGTTAGGGAAGCGCTATGTAAAATGCTCAAAAATAACTGCAAGTCCTGCTGCCCAATTTTTTTTAAATGAGGAGAATCGTTTCAAATTGTCTTACAGCTGAAAAAACAAGACGATGGACCACCAGTCTCTGAAGATATGCTGCCTGCCAGTTTCTTTTCCACTTAAATCGTCTGGCCTTATATTAAACCATGACATTTCCAACAAGACACTGAAGAAAGTTACCTTAATGTCCCAGTTCACAACTTTGTTCCCAGTTAGCCTTCCATGGAGAAGATTGGCAGAAAGATCAAGACATATTGGGCTTCTGCAGGCCTATCCAGGAAAACGAGGGGGGGAGGGAGAGAAAACGGCCTCAGATACTCTTCCATGAATAAAATCAGGGACAAGAAGACAGTTTATGTAACATCTGGTATTATATTTACATAACATGTAACTAGCTATAGCTTATGGCCTCAGATTATGAGGGGGCTCTAAATGTGAAACAAATGCAAAAAGAAAACAAAAAAACCCACATTAATTCATTCTAAGTAACACAAAATGCTTTGGGTTATACATAATACTGTACTCTTCAACTTGACACGGTTTAGGATTTGGTTTAATCCAAGCATGACGAAACTAGAGAGGCCAAGGAACCACCGCTATGTAGTTACTTTTCTCTCCTCGCTCTCCCACAACACCCTCTCTTACACCTATAGCAATATCTGAGAGATGCCTAAGAGTATGGTAAACACCAGCAACTACGGCTGCATTTTTAAAAATAAACAGAAATGCAAAAATCAACATCTGCATCTTTCTCATATAAAACTGATTAAAATATGCCATCAAACATGCATTGTCTTTTCTTGCCTTGTGAATTCATTCACTGTAAGGCCCAAACTAGATCTGAAGGCAGGAGTTCTATTTATTTAAACAAAGAATTGCTGCAATTGTGCAGAAAATGGTGGAGTTCTAACTGGAGAGAACAAAAGATGTACCAACGAGGAACACAGGACCTTTCCCTCAACTGTGGATCATTCCCTAAGTACTTTTCTCCTCAGCTCCAGTACTTCAGAGGTAGCCCCCTGATAGAACAACTCACTAGCTTTGGGATATCTCCCTTCTATTTTCCGTAGTTTAAGAGTGCTGTCTTCATTGGCTTTTCTATTAAAAACTAGACACAAATCTTAGCTGTGTCTATATTTCATAACGTGATATATGGTTTGTGTGAACAGGCATTACTGGTACAATTGTTAACTAGCCTTGGAGCAACTGGTGGCTAAGACCAAAATCCAGCCCAATGTCCTAGGATCTATCAGAGATCTATTCAGGAATTACTAACCCATGTAAGATTCAACGCATGAAAGGGGGACACCTATCTCTGCTCCTCTCAGTTGTCTGTTTCTTCACTTGGAAGATAACAAATCTAAAAAGAAGTGCCTGTTTGGATGGGTAAAAAAAAATACAGAAAAGAAAAACATTGCGGCATCTTAAGGTACCCCTTGACAATTTTTGTCCAGTCGTGTTCGACTCTAGGGGGCGGTGCTCATCCCCGTTTCCAAGCCATAGAGCCAGCGTTTTGTCTGAAGACAATCTTCCGTGGTCACATGGCCAGTGCGACTTAGACACGGAACGCTGTTACCTTCCCACCGAGGTGGTCCCTATTGATCTACTTGCATTTGCATGCTTTCGAACCACTAGGTTGGCGGGAGCTGGGACAAGCGACGGGCGCTCACTCCGTCACGTGGATTCGATCTTATGACTGCTGGTCTTCTGACCCTGCAGCACAGGCTTCTGCGGTTTAGCCCGCAGCGCCACCACGTCCCTTCATCTTAAAGATTGCAATATTTTAATGTGAGCATTTGTGGACAAGTCCACTTCCTCAGACATAAGAACGGGACTACATGGCAAATATTTATACATGGCCTCAAAACAGAGAGACTGTCTCCTGAGCACAAATTGTTGATAGTGTGGCATGGAGTCTCTCTATGCAAACAAAAAATGCTGCAAAAATTGCTCACAGGAGTTCCTCCATGTGAACCAGATCTCCTTCCCACTTCAAATCCATTTGCCTTCCACTTGGGAAAAGTGACAGCAGAGGGGGCAAAGACAGATATTTTCCCCCTTCACGGGTTAAATCCAACCCAGCAGGATACAGGGCCAAGCCTGGCCAGCAAAAAGTCTCCAGAAGATCACAAGAGGCTAAAAATCAACAACACAAAAACCCAACCCTACACTGTCGTTCACTTCAAGCAGCTGGTGTTTGAACATAGAGCTACACCTCTTCTCAATGCAGAGCTTCCACTGAGCTGTCAAGGCTAAGAACTGCAGATGAAACACTCCTTTCTAAATCTGTCTCATCACTTCCAGAGTGGCAGTGTTAGGAAAAATGTACTGTATGTTGATGCTACCTTGGGAGTATAATGAAGAAGTATTTTACTGGGCAAATCAGCCACTTCAGATTCTTGGCATTTCCATGGTGTTAAGCAGTTTGGACCTTCAAAATAAGAAAAAGAGGGAGAAAAACAAATAGGTTTCATGTTTCTCCCAATGGTTTTCATTACATTTCAAATCTGCTGTATTTTAAACTGCAAGTAGAAAAGAGACGCCTTTGAGAATATTGGCCGATGGAACCACCAGAGATGGAACTGAATTAACTGGATGATCCTAGACTGATGAAAAGAAGAGGCCCTGATCCAGACAAAAGCTTAGATAAAGCTTAAATAAATTCCTACTCCTCCAAAAATTATTTGTGTTATGATCTCTTATACAGTTCTCTAAATAGAGAAGACTGCTTCAGCAGTGGTTCCCCTTCCAAGTCTGGTAACCTGCTGAAAAAAAATTTGAGATTTTATTTTAAGCTACAGTGATAAATTACATCTAATTAACAATGCACTGGTTGTGTGCCCCATTGGGTAAATAGCATGTAACCAAGCATTTGACTACAACCTCACAAATGATCTGAAATTTGCTGCCATTATTTAAATTATTTCACTTACGTCAGAACAAAAAATCTCTAATGGAATTCAGGCTTATAAATCCCAGAATACCCCAGCCAGCATGGGTACTAGACTATTGGAGTTCTAATAATAATAAAAAATTCAATCATAGTTTTTCTGTACACACATAACATCCCCAGCACATAAGCATCATCTACAGAGACATTCACTCCACAAGATTTTATCGTATACAAGTCTTACAATATCAATTATTGATGGTGAAATAGAACTCTGTCTTAATCTGGGTTAGAAACTGGTTTTCAACCAAGGAAGCAACACGAGGATTAACACAGGGAAGTGTGTCCATGAATAAAATAAATAATGGTGTATAAAAAGGTAATGAAAAAAAATCAAAAAGAGAATCTGGAGGCTTATGAAAGATAGTGACTCGAAAACAAGACAAGTGGCTACAAAAGGCAGGTGTGACAGACCACAACAAAAGCTAATTCTGGAACAGAATGAGAATGAACAAGAACAGGAAGAAGGATGTTGAAACATCCAGACAAATCAGCCCTTGGGAGTTCTCACCTGCCAGGTATAAGGCTTTCACATGAGAAGGCTGCAGGACTTCATGGAATATGATAACCGATCCAAGATGGCCCTCCAGAGAGGTAGGACAACCCCACTCGCTGTCTTGAGTTCCTGCTGAGATCAACTTGGTGATGACTTCCGGCTTCCCTAGAAGACCGCTCCAGCCACCTGGACTGAGAATCCCACCGAGGGAGGTCCGATGAGGCAACACAGGGGATGAAAAAGGTGGGTCTGGGATCTGGGATGGTGGCGGGGTGGTCGTCCTTTGGCCAGCAGAACCAATGCAGCATGATGTGAAAGGCTAGAAAACGTCATCCAAGAGAAAAGGGGTAATCAACAAATTAGATACTGTTGAATTCATGTATTGATCTATTGATTTGTTTATTTTTAATATAACAAAAACATAAGTAAACAGAATCACAACTCAAATATACAGTGTAACCCAGGGGTCCCCAACCTCTGGTCCGTGGCCCAGTGCCTGTCCAAGGCCTGAGCCAAACCAGGCCACAGAGACAGACTTTCTGCCCCCCCTGCGGATGCACCACCCCCGCACAGCTGTTTTGCACATGTGCACATGCTCTAGCACGCCCATGCAATCACCACACCGCCGTTTGCACATGAGCGCACGTGCCCCCACGTGAGCGCTGTGCTGCCGTTTGCCCATGTGCACGAGCACACACATACAAGCACCTAATTACTACTCCACATATCACAGGATAACACCCTGTTACTAAAAACAGATTTGGAGACTTAGCTTTGGTGAGCACCAGTACAAGCAGAGTTCTGGTGACATACTGCTGAGACTTAAAGAGGAAATGGTTTTGGCTACTGGAGGTGCAGACTAACTGTCAGAAGGACCGGGGGGGGGGGGAGATAGCTAGGCACTTGGGGATAGAAAGAGCAGTCAGATTTGTATTTTAAACAATTGTGACGGCTTTTAGCTAATACAATAAACTTGAACTTGGAATTTAGAAAGAACAGTTTCATAACTGTATTTGTACTAAATCTGAACCAAAACAATAAAGCCAAAGCCATCACTGTGTGAAGATCTCTAATTGTTGGTAAGCATTTGGCCTACTAAGCTGCTGCTTTAAATCTCTGCGGCACATTAACCACAAATTAGTGTATCTCCAGTCTCTTCCTTTGCATTTCTTACTAGCCTTTTTAAAAAATATCGATGGTATTTTTCACCATTTTAATAGAGAAGAAGGAATGTATCTTTAATAAATAAATGAAATAATGAATATGAACAAATGCACACTAATTTCATCTGGTTGATGTGAATTCAACATGAGAAGCAGAGGCCATAAATATTGCCACTAAGATCAATATAAAAATAATCACATTTTATTCCTATGTACAATATATACAGTGGTGCCTCGCTTAACAGGCGCCCCGTTTAACGACGAAATCACATAGCGATGAAGATTTTGCGATCGCTTTGTGATGGTCTGAATGGGGGTTTTTTGCTTTGCGATGATCGGTTCCCTGTTTCTCTTACCGATCATCGCAAAGCGATGATTTTAAAACAGCTGATCGGCAGTTCCAAAATGGCCGCTGGAAAAAAAATGGCCACCCGCTGTTTTGCCTCACTTTAGAGGCACCGAAAATGGCCGCCCTATGGAGGATCTTCACTTTAAGGTCAGTTTTAAGCCCATAGGAACGCATTGAAGGGGTTTCAATGCATTCCTATGGGCTTTTTTAAATTGCATAGCGACAAAATCGCTTAGCAGCGATTTTTGCTGCACCAATTAACGTCGCTATGTGAGGCACCACTGTATTCCAAGAATCAGTACGGATAATACAAAGCCACTTCTTAATCATTGGTATATTTATTTGTTATTTTAAAATTTATTTTTCAAATGTTATTTTAGAATCATTCTCAAGGTTGATGAACATTCACACATGGTATACAAACAGTTATATCTTTGCTTTCATGGTGGTACTAGAAGGAAAGACAAGTGGCTAATTAAATACCCCAGCCTCTAATCTGATTTTGCTACTTTCTTGGAAGTTATTTTGTGTATGTATTGGAAGTTATTTTGTGTCTCTCAAAGAGACAAGGTACCTTTTATTCTACCTTCTCTCTCTGCTCCTGGGAAACGCTGCCATTCCCTGTAAAACAACTCCATTTAATCCTTTATAAGCAACTTGATTTTTCACCACTTTTATATATATAGCGGTGCGTTAAACATTGCGATGTTTAAATAAGGTAAACATCGCACTGCGATGATCGGTAAGCGTTTTGCTTACCGATCTTCGCATTGCAATGTTTTAGAACAGCTGATCGGCGATTCCAAATTGGCCACCAGATCAAGAAAATGGCGGCCCGCAGTGTTTTTGCGCCGTTTCCTTGCTTACCGAGGCGGCGAAAATGGTGGCCCTATGGAGGATTCCCACTTAGCGGTGAGTTTATCCCCCGTAGGAACGCATTAAACGGAGTTTAATGCTTTCCTATGGGGTTTTTTCCCCCTATAGCGACGTTTCTGGATAGCGACGATTTATCCGGAAGGGATTATTGTCGCTATGCGGGGCACCACTGTATACACTTTTTTCTCTAGTGTTTTCCAGAAGCAAATAGAAGAATGCAATTCACCGGCCAAGAACAAGCACTTGCTCACATCTGGCTTTTGCTAGTGACTTTCAAAAACAGCTGCTTCAATGGTGAGTCACATTCCTGTCATATTTCATCACAATATTTTGTTACTATATATAAATATATTTCTCAATTTGCAACATGAGATGTTCTCAGATGAAACCAACATGTGAACAAATATAAATAAATATTCTTCAACAGACTTCTGTTACCTGTGCAGAAACAAATATTAGTGATCATCAGCATTAAACTAAGGCCACAATATTTTTTTAAAAAGTAGAAAATGGAATTGTTAGACAGAAATGTTCAAGTATGATTTTTTATTATCATTATTTTAATGCCCCAGTGTCTCCTGCCTGAGTCAGCTGCCACACCCTGCCAAATGGAAGAATCAGGCCTGGTGGAAAGCACTACCCAAGCACACTACAGTCATTCAGCTTAGACATTTCCAGGGCACACCTCACAGAAACCACGTTCTTACAGGTGAGTCAAAGTCTAAGTGACCATTTCACTTGTGTTCTAATTTTGGCAGGTGCCTGATTATTATACCTAGGGATCCTTATTCTACAATGGTAATGCTGAAGGATGGAAGCATGACAGAAGGAGAGACTTACTTCATTCATGGCAGGAAATCGAAGCGGTGCTGAGATCTTCTGCTGCCCATTTACATAAATGTAGACAAGGCTTTGACCAAATGGCCTTTTCCCAGGCATATGAACAATGGTGATATTATGCTGTTGAGAAATGTGATATTGCTGTTTAGTTGAGTGGGTTGTCATAAAGTCTATGGCAGGGGTCCCCAACCCCCAGTCTGTGGCCCGGTGCTGGTCCGTGGCCTTGGCAGGACCAGGCTGCGGAGACAGATCTCCTGCCCTCCCACCCCCCACGCACACACAGCCCACCCACCTGAACGCATGAGTGCCCCGCTCATCCATGCATGCGCACAAGCGTGCCCCCACACACTTGCGAGCGCACTGCGCCCATCCACAAGCACAACTCACCCACCCGCGAGTGCACCCCCGCCCATCTGTGAGCATGGGGGATGCCCCACTCCCCACCCATGGACCCCACCCTCCCAACTGGTCCACGGTTCAGAAAAGGTTGGGGACCACTGATCTATGGAACAGTTACAGGTAGATAACAACTGCAGGTTTCCACAGCTAGGAAAACTTAACGCTATCATCCATCTCCACACTCCAAGGAGTGGGTGGGTGGGAAACACCACAAGACCAGATTCTTAGGTCACGCACCCAGCTTTAATTACTCATTTATTTTAGTCATATTTCATCTACCCTAGAATAAGATCAGGGTGGCACATGCAGTCTCCTTTCCCCCACAGCCATCCTGTGAGGTAATAAGGCTAAGAGAGAGGGAGTAGCCAGTGAGTGTCTTGGCTCCATGGGGACATCAATTCGGATGTCACAAATCCTGGTCCAAACCAGTACACAATTTGGCTGTAAGAGGAAACTAAGGTTGACTGACGGCCTGCTTCATTCATGCACTGCTGCAGAAGACAAGGAGCAGTACAAGAACGAGGCACACAGGCAAAAGGGTTCTGTGTTTCTTCACTTGTTCAGCCAAGCTGATTATCCAAACTGGACCAAGCTAATTGCCTTGCCAACTAAATCCCAGCACCTCTTCATGGAGACCCAAGTTCACCTTTTTAAGGGCATATCCGTGGCAAACGGAAATGGCCCATCTTACCCAGAGAGAATCACAGAAGCAATGGTCCGACAGCATCACAGTAGCATATTCCCTCTTTGTGCAAACAGCGACCACAAGCATCCCTGAACAGGTAATGAAGGCCTCAAAGCCCATCCCGCTAGCTGTAAAAAAACTGAAAAGATATGTTTTTTTAAAGGCATGTAGATAATCTCCTTTGAAGAATAAAGAGAGGAAGAGGTTTGTGCAGATTGATGGGCTGCCTCTGTCTGAAGAGCTGGATGGACAATTCCAACTGCCTGTTACCAGCAGTGAAGCATTAAACCACGCTCCCAAAGTCTGGTTGTAACCGGCTTTCAACTTAAGAAGGTACCTGGCAAGCTTTCACCATGCATTTTTGGGACATGAATTTATAATTTTTCGACTGGTTCATGCCTGAAGAAGTGAACTTCAATTCACGACAGCTTGTACTGATGGTTTGATTTTTTTTTTTAAAAAAAAAAAGAAAAATGGGTCTAATGAATGTGTCAGCTTCTCATGCATTTGTTCTGAAGAACACACTGGCTGAAACCCAGTAGCAAGTCACAACCAGAGTAGGCCCACTGAATCAATGAGGATCAGGTGAGTCAACTCCTCTGTGAGTTGCATTAGTTCAACTGGCCTACACTAGCTGCAAACAGGTTTTTGAAAAGGTAGATGGAGAAATCTGCCACAAAGCTACAGAGACATGCCTCTACCTCCCCACACTGTCATTCAGAATGAAGGTCCTAACTCTGTTGTGGTTAGGCTTAGTCATTCAGAGTCAGAGAGAGAGAGAGAGAGAGAGAGAGAGAGATGAGACTGAAGAGATAAGACAGACAAGCCCTTGGAGTCCCCCCTGAGATAGCGCATGGTCCAAGTGGGGGAGTCTCACTCAAAATTTAGGACGAAGGGTGCCCTTTGCTCCTAAGTGCATTCACTCAAACATGCCCACACACACACACACACACACACACACACACACACACACACACACACACACTCACCCCATCCAAACACTGCTCCCCTCAGCTGCCCAACAAATCATGGACAGCTCCAGCCTCACCCCATCCAAACACTGCTCCCTTCAGCTGCCCAACAAATCATGGACAGCTCCAGAAAGAGGAAGTCGATCCCTCACTTTTCCATCTCCAAACCTCCATTTCCCTTACTTTGCTGAACAGTTCAGAAACACACCCACCCCTTCCCTGCTGCTAAGCTGTTTTTCAGAGCACAAGGAGTAGGAAAATAAGAAGAAAGATGGTTTCTTTGTCAGTAGGGGTGTCCCCTAGCACCTGACATGATATTATCTTCTACTGGTGTCATCCGCCTTGCGTCCTTTTTTAAGGAGAAAGGCAGAATTAAGAAAAATATTTTAAATAAATAAATCCTTTTGTAACGGAGGTTCCTACAGGCTCCAGCATGAAATCTTGGCCTGGGTCCTTTTGCTTTCACAAGGCAGGGGCAACCCCACCCTAAGATTTCTCACCCATCTCTTCTCAATACATACATTGTGGGCAGAATGGAAGTTTCTGCTCTGCCACACCATTCTGCCCGTAAAAATTAAGCAGGCTCAGATAAGAATTACAGAAAAAGCTCCTTAAGATTTAGAGACATTCTTTACATTAATTTCAATAGGTGGCACTCTTCTCTAACATTATGGCATTAAATTCCCAGCACTAGGAATGCTTTAAGTGACAATATGAATATAGGTCACTAATCCCTTCCAGCCATTTAGAACGAAAACAACAAAAATACAATCTATACTAGTGATTTGCTTTTTTTTTTTTTTAAGGGAAAGGGAAAGCCAGCTGAGCACAGAGAATTTCCTTTGCAGCTCAAGTTCGGTCAGGTTTTAGAGAAAGAAGTAATAATAGGAGCAATAGCAACAATAATAGCAATATATCTGTGAAGATTCTCAGTCATCCGGATGAGGTTATCTGGAAGTTGAGTCATGGTAACTGGACTTCTTTCTTATTAGGCTGAAATGTTTTGCTACTCACCCAAGGACAAAGGATGGGGGGTTTGAGTGAAAATCTCACCTCTGCAGTCCGACTGTCACAGACCCATAACAATGAGTGGAGAAGAACTGCAGAGGTGGGATTGTGAAAATCCCCCCTCCACGTCCTTTATCCATCTAACAGCCTATTCAAACCAGGGGGAAGTGAAACCAACATGGAGGATATATCAGGGGTCGCTTACCAACTCTCCTCAGACTGAAGAAGCTGCTTGGATGAGTAGCAAAACATTTCATTCTAATAAGAAATAAGTCCAGTTGCCATGATACAACTTCCAGATAATAGCAACAAACTTTGGTATTATTATGGTACAACAACAGACTTTGTACCATACAGGGGACCACAAGATGCTCGAGAACATGAAGAACTTTTGCCCTATCTTTTATGTACTGTTTACAGTGTTCTTCAACTCCATGAGACATCTATGTAAAAATAAGGTAGAGCTTGTTTGTGGGCATTATGCCTCTTCAGAACAAGAATTAATGCAACCTAATGTGCTGGAGTGGAATGCTCTTGTGTTATGTTTAGTCAACCAGCCATGCCTCTTTCTAAAATACTCAATTTAATCCCCTCCTTTAGGGTTAAACCATCATTCCACATCCACCAAGTGTAGTCCATCCTCCCTGATCTGTGAGGTTCACCATCCTCAGATTTTTCCATTTAAATAATTTTTGCACTTCTGTCAATTTCAAAGGTCCCCTAAATCAGCTAATTCCTCCATCTCTTGTTTAGGTCATGCCATTTCAATTGATATGGACGAAGACTCAAAGAACTGAACTCTTTAAGTCTGAACGACTAAACCAGAAATGAAAAACCTTTGACTCTCCAGATCTTACCGGAATATAGCTCTCATCATCCCACTCAAGATCCCTGAAGCTGATGGGTTCTGGAGTATAACCCCTGAAGAGTCAAAGTTTTCCCCATGCCTCAATCTTTTCCCTCTCTATACAGTGGGACTTTGTATTTGCTTTAAATTATTTCCCACCAAGTCCATCTTTAGGCCCAGCAGTCACTGGATCCCCACACATAGGGGTGCCTTATTTGCTCTGTGTCTTGCCTACTGATCCAAGCTCTAGTCAACACAGTGGGTCCTGGTCCTCCATCATAAGTTACACAGCCCAGTAAAGAGAAAACATGTATCAAGAAGCTATCAAGCACATAAGACAAATGCTCCATCCAGTGCGGCCTGGAGTCTCTGTTGATGTAGCTTTGTTACAGCTAAGCAGGTCACATAACCCTATCTGAGGATCCTCTAAATAAACTATCTAGCACAAGAGAAGGGAGTGGTGAGTTTTATTCTGTACAAACATGAAAAGGATGCTTTCAAACTTCCCTCTCTCACTCACTCACTTTCATTCTCTCTTTCAATCTGGTTAAAATGTACGTATTCTTTTTTCATTTAACACTCAGATCAACATCCTTACCTACACAGTCAGCCCAAGACATTCCCCTATGTGAGGCAGAGGAGCAAACAAGGCCGGTACACAAGCCAACATGCATCATATCTGAAGCAAGTCAAATTATTTTGGCCCTTGAGGCTGAAAAGCCCACACCACTTCATCCCATGCCTGACAGCAAAATAACAAACTAGCAACCTGTTGTTGTTTCATGACACCCCAAATTGCATTCTGAGGCAACCACCTCATTCTGTCTCATGACAAGGCTAGGCCCGTCTCCTGGGATCCAGAAAACCTGTATTCAAAACCATTCAAGAGCATCCAACCATTCTTCCACATTTCCTCCCTTTCCCAAATTCATAGGTTCTCTCTTCCCCAACCCTACAGCAAGATTATTTGACTGGGAACAATGTGATATGCTAAAGTCTTAATTATACTTTCATTAAGGACGTGGTGGCGCTGCCGGTTAAACCGCAGAATCCTCTGTGCTGCAAGGTCAGAAGACCAGCAGTCGTAAGATCGAATCCACACAACGGAGTGAGCTCCCATCGCTTGTCCCAGCTCCTGCCAACCTAACAGTTTGAAAGCATGTAAAAATGCAAGTAGATAAATAGGTACCACCTCAATGAAAAGGTAACAGCGCTCTATGTCTAGTCGTGCTGGCCACGTGACCACAGAAACTGTCTACGGACAAACGCTGGCTCTACAGCTTGGAGACAGGGATGAGCACCACACCCTAGAGTCGGAGACGACTGGACTAAAATGTCAAGGGGAACCTTTACCTTTACCTTGATACTTTCATGAGATCAAATTCTGTGAGGATGCAAACAGGCATAAGTAGGCCGAAGAAGCATGTAGACATACGCAGGCCACCAAGCCAATGCCATCAACCTAGGGCTTTCCCTCCAGGTCGCCACCATTGTAGTCATACCTGTAGAGTTGTTTCCTCTTGCCACCCTTGTTGCTGGCACTGGGAGTCACTTGGTCCTGGTCCAGGCATAGCCAAGCACTGAAAGCAAATGCAGATCCCGGCCATTTCTGAATAGGTGGCACCGAGATGCCTGCCATGCTGTGGGACAAGTCAAAATACTGCAAGGCATTGTCCAGGCCTTGCTTTCGAGCCATCGTAAGAATGGCACGCATCACTGGGACAACGTAAGAGTGTGCCTGCTTTGGGTCATTAATCCTCAGGAGCCTAATTAGCTGGCGGAGTTCTTCAGAGCTCATAGACTGGCTCCCCAAAGAACCCAACAGGGCAATGAGGTTCTCGGCGCAGGCTCCATGCAGCTGGGAGTGTTGACCGAGTGTCTCAATGATGCGCATGACCATGTTCGTATTGACGCAGATCGCCCGGCTCTGTCGGTTAATGCAACAAATCCGCTTTAGCAAGTTTGAGATGAAGACCTGAAGATCATAGGACTCCAGCTCCGGAAGCCATTGAATCAGCAGCAATAAGGGCTGGACGTTGCTGATGCCGAGAAGTCCAACAGCTGCATGGTCACCCTCAACCGCCTTGGTGGAAAGGAAAATAGAAAAGCAGATCAGAGGAGTAGAAACGTAAGCGAAGGATTGTGCTATGTCCCATCCAGTCGTTGAAAAGGTTTTCAAGGTAAATGAAATATCTAGGGAGTGATTTACCAGTGCCATCCCTCTCCCATGTCTTCCCAGGGCTACGTAGGGATTCAAACCCAGATCTCTTAAGTCCTAATCAGTCACTCTAGCCACTAACTACACCACACAGGACACCTACAACGACAACTACATTTCAAGCAACTGAAAATATGGGCTTTAATGTATAAATGTTTACGACACCATAAATTCCATTAGCCTTTAAAACGCCACAAAACTTTTTAGCAACCTCAGACTGACATGTATACGAAGTTCAAAACAAGCAAAAAACCTCACCATATTCAAAAGTTCTTCAAGTAGTTCTTGTGAAGGTTGACCCATCGATTTCAGCACCTCAAATATATGGGCATAACCAATTCGTTCCTTAAACACTTCCTGGGAGGTAAAATTAGCATTGTTTTTAAGTAGTAAACAGCCTGTACATTTAACTTTATTCATAAATTTATCTTCAAAGACTTTGCTGCATCAAACAATAAAAATTACAAAGTTACATTTCAACTTTTTATCTGGCAGTAAATATGCGATAAAAGGAAGCAAGATGCTTCAACACTTTTACATATATATTTTTCTACAACTATTCCAAAACTGGACACAATTCTAATTACTAAAAGCCAAAAGCAAATGCTTCAATGTTTCAAAAATCCTCACAATTCAAACCACAGATGAAGGAAGAACTTTTTCCTCTATTATATGCACAGCTAAGCAACTGGTTGACTACATCACCAGCATGCTGGGCTAAATAGTAACTGAGGCCGAGTCTACACATGTAGCAGAATAGAGTGGCAGAATCAAGTGTTCCACTTCAGAAGTGAGGGGCAACAGTTCTAACTGCCCCCCCTTTAACAACAAAAAAAAATCCCAATTCATGTAAATAGAAAATTAGGTTATCGGGAAGAAAGTTTCAGAAACTGCCATTTGCTTGTGATACTGTTTTTTTAAATGCACAAATCGGTGACAGAGAGAGGAACATTCAAAAAATGTGATTTCCTCACTCACAGACCAAAAGTGCCATTCTGGCTCTGCAGCTGGCCTGAGAAGAACAGCATCCTTGCACTGCCCAAAACCCCTCATTCATTTGTTTTGGCTATCAGAGATCCTCAGCAGAGGCTAGCAGCACTAATAGAAAAAGAATTAGTAGCAGAAATCCTATTGTGTACCTCTCAATAAGCCAAGGCTTGCATGTGAAGAAACAGACTACAGTCCACGAAAGCTTATGCCAAATAATTCTTGGTCCTTCTCAAGGTGCCACTAGATTCTTGGTTGTATGGTTAACCAGGGTTTATTGCTTTAAATGGGGAATTATATGGTGGCTGGTCCAGCAGGTGGTGGCTTTTCTTTTTCATCATTTCTGGTTCATTCTCCCCCCACTGATCTTTTCATCATCTCCTGTTTCAAACAGCATACTTAAGCTATGTAGCATCAAGATGGAACCGAATTACAGCAACCTTAATAGGACTTTCAAGTATGTGAGAGAGTTAAGGAGTGTTTTTGCCAGTTCCACTCCCCCAGTGAGTTTCCATGACTGAGTGGGGATTTGAACCCAGGTCTCCTTAGTCCTAGCTGTTGTTGTTTCGACTTATTTACTAACCCATAGTGCTAATGCACTCTCTGGGTGGTTTTTGATTTAATTGTGCAAACAACACTTTGCCGCCCCTAGTGAGCCAAGTACTCATTTTACCAACCTCAGAAGGATAGAAGGCCAAGTCAACCTTGAGCCAGCTACCTGAACTCATTGGGATCAAACTCAGGCCATGAACAGAGGCTTGAGGGCAGTACCCATTGTGTCATGGGGCTCTGTAGTCCTAGTCCATCACTCTATCCCAGTGGTTCCCAACCCTGGGTAAATATTGCTTATATACTGCCCCACAGCACTTCAAGCACTCTGTGGGCAATTTACAAGTTAATTATGCAGGCTACACATTGCTCCCCCCTCCCCAATGAGCTAGGTACTCATTTTACTGACCTCGGAAGGACAGAAGGCTGAGTCAACCTTGAGCCGGCTACCTGGGATTGAACCCCAGGTTGTGAGAGCACAGTTTGGGCTGCAGTACAGCGGTTTAACCACTGCGCCATGAGGCTGTGCTAGGCCAGAGGTTCTGAGCATTGAACTCCAGCATGTGAAACACCACACTAGGTATTCTTCAGGCAGCAAGGCCACAACAAACTACCCACTCAAATTGTGGTCTGTGGCTGGTTAACAAACTACTACAGTTTTTTAAGAGAGGATGCCAGAAGACTATGGGTGAAGACTTTTGAGGCGGCTAGGCTAACCTTAGCAGCTGGAGACTTGTACATCAGTGCTGTGAGGGCTTGGATAGCTGACACTGCCAGGCGGTCCAGCTGTCCTTGAAACACCTGAAAGCAGCAAAAGACATATTACGTTCCATATATAGAGACACAGACCTTGCCTTGTTCAGGGGCACACCCTACCCCTCTTCCTTCTGTCAGGTTGAAAACAACAGTTCATTCGCATGCTTCCCAATCATCTTCCCACAAAGGCACGGATTTTGTGACACCACAATCTACAAAAGGAGAGGGCATGAGAGAAGGGTAGCCACATATTTCAGAGAAGTAGAAGACAAGGATGAGGAAAGAAGCATTCGTATGTATCCATTAAGACAGGTCAACTGACCAAGCTTCCTCATGCTTTACATGGGCAATCTCAGGAGGGAGGGACATCCATTCTGCTTCCTGGCAGCCAAATCTTTCATGGAACCATTGATTTATTCATAGCACATACTCTGGCACATGAAACCATCTTCACAAGCAGTAACTAGAGATCATTCTTTGTGTTTGCACAGTCGGCTGCTTTAGTCATTTATTAATCTCATAGTTCTTTCCTTACAAGGAACAACATTAAGTCTCTCCTCTTAGAAGAATCTTTGAGTATCTTCACATTACAGGCGGACATTTTTTGCTATTAAAAAAAACCCTAAGGCACCACTGAAATGGCTCAGTCTGTTTGTGAACCGGCACAGTAATACTGTGAATGTAAAGGTCATTTCAGTTGCAGTACATAAAAATTTGAAGCATGAATTTAAAATAAAAGACAGATGTTTAGTGAAATCCTTTATGCAACGAACACCAAGCCAAGTTATTAAGAGATTAATTTAGGCAGAGCTGGTGTTTTCACCAATGCACTGTTTTCACCTGTTTATTCATTTTGCACCAGAGCCTTTCTGTTATTAAAATCCCTGGGTAATTTGTAAAGAAACAATAAAATAAGAATGGTTGCATTGGATTTTATTGTGATATCATGGGAAGCATTTAAAATAAAAACGACCCATTGCTCCCCACTTTCCAGGTTCAGTCTGTCCATTGTAATGTGAACATTGGGTTTGGCAACAGAATCAAGACATCAAATCCAACCACACAGATTCCACAAAGCCCCAGAGCCCAATACACCACCGTGCTCAGACAAATAAAAGGGTGCACAGAAAGAAAGAAGGTGGTGGGAAACTAAAATAAATGAAATCACCAAATTTATAGTATTGAAACTGGAGGTCTGTTCCTGGACTTCACCTTCAAGATTTACAATACTGCCTTTTGAGGACTTTTCAGTTCTGAAGCCTCAATTCTACCTAAATTGCGGTTTTCAGATGATGAAAACAGAGACATATTCGGGATGCAGACTGTCTTGTTACTGAATCAGAAACCGATCTAGTTATTTCAAGGAGGACATCTGAGGTGAAGTTCAGGAAATGGCTCAGTCCACTGATTGCCGCTGTGCTTTGGCTTCCACTAAAAGCAAAAATGGAGGCTTGCTGGAGATACCTGTTCCTGATTCATTTCTGTCAGCAATTGGTTGGCAAGGTCTTTCTCATTCTTGTCTGCCCCCTTACCGCTAGCACTTAAAAACAGCTGTTAAAATGGGAAGATAAGAATATTGTAACAGGCACATTCAATAGTTGACCCGCAGCTGACACAATAAAGGCTGGGGGGAAAGGGTAGCAAATGTAACAAAAATCTCACCGCCAGTAAGTTTATACAACAAAATACTGTATTTTTCTGTGTATAAGACTATACTTTTGTCTAAAATCTTTAGATCAAAAATTGAGGGTCGTCTTATACATGGAAGCAAGCTGAGGAGAGCACAAAAACACGTGGAGGGGAAAGCAGGGATCAAAGTGATCCTACAGGGCTTTGATCCTTGCTTTCCCCTTCACTTGCTAAGCCTTAGCAAAAGGAAAGCATGGATCAAAGCGCTGCAGGATTGCTTTGATCCGTGCTTTCCACTCTGCTTGTTAAGTCCCATGGGGCTTAGCAAAAGGAGGGGAAAAGGATCAAAGCAATCCCTTAGATGTATAAGAGGGAAAGGGATCAAAACGATTATGCAGTCACAGGATGGCTTTGATCCCTTTCCCCCTCCTTTTGCTAAACCCTGCGGGCTTAGCATGAAGGGAGAAAGCAGGGATCAAAGCGTTCCTGCTGCACTTTGATCCCTTTCCCCCTACACTTGCTAAGCCCCACTTAAATTTCTTAATTTTGGATTAAAACAGTGGGGGCGTCTTATACATGGTGCTGTCTTATACATGGAAAAATACGGGTAGCACTATGGGGCAGTATGTAAACTGAAACAACAATAATTTGCTATTTCTGGTGGGTCCGCAGCATATGTGTTGTCTCCTATCATTCCTTCTCAGGCAGAAGGAAATGTAAAGCACGTGGGCTTAGTTAGAAACAATATGATGGCTGTGTGCTCACACCCAATCTTTTCTTCCCCTGCCTCTGTCCTCTCCCTACTGGAGGAGCAACGATACCAAACCCCAGTCCGTTGACACGAAGGGTCAGCTCCTCCAAGCAAGAGGGATCCTTACTACACATGTGCTGGAAAAACCAACAATCTTAACAAAAATATTTAGCAAGGAAAACAAGCCCTCCAAATGTTCTGAATCTACTTAAATGAATATGACCTATATCTGTGAACAAGAAACAAAAAGATGAACACAGATAACACACCCAGAAGCACACATACAGAGAAACATACATTCAGAGAGACGTCTCAGAGTTCAGCTAGCAATTAATTGCAACAACTGTTCCGTTAGTGCAATATAATTACAAACAAAATCTTGAAGAAGAAAAAGCAACAAAGGAAAGAGAAGGAAAGGGAATATTATGCTTCTTTCAAATGCATAGAAAGGAACAATTAGGCTGCAATTCTATCCGGGCCTCTTCGCTAGTGAGTTTACAGACATTTACTCCCTGGAAAGTGTATATAGGACTACAATGGAAGAGACTGGAAGTTTCATGTTTCTTACAAAGCCTATGTAGCAGCTTCAATGTGTCCTTTTAATGAGACTGCTTGGAAGATAAGACAGCAAACAAAAAAGATCCAGGCAAATAAATAAATTATACTTAAAAATCAATTAATCTGTTATTGGATAGTCCAAGTGTATAAAAAAAGTGCACATAATATGCAATGGCCAAGATTCAAGAATACATGGATGTCCAACAAGTAGAAGGAGCTTTCCAACTCCATACACTGTATCATTTACTTGTTATGCCACATTGGGGAGGGGGGGATGTCGAGCCCTTTCCGTCCAATGCATTCCAATGAGAGAAAATTCAAAAAATCACCAAAAAATTAAAGACGACTCAGAACAACATCAAATTAAGTTTGTATAGGGTTCAGGAGGTGGGCTAATGATTGCAAGCATTTAAAACCTGTTCCAAACATTGTAAGGCACTTTTACAGGAGCGAAAAAGGACTTCGCAAAGCCATTGAAATGTATTGAGTTGGCTTCAATACATTCCAATGGAGGAAACATTGTTTCACTCAACGATGTTTCCTATGGGTTTTTTCACTTAAAGACGGCAATCTGTTCCAATTGGAACAGATTAACCGGTTTTCAATGCATTCCTATGGGAAATGGTGTTTCACAGAACGATGTTTCACACAACGTTGATTTTTTTTGAACCAATTAACATCGTTGTGTGAGGCACCACTGTATGTTACTTCGTACTTGGGGTTGCCATTTTCCATGACCACCTGCCCTTCTTTTTCTTTTAATCATGGAAGACATACTGAGAAGGTACAAAAGAAACAAGGACAAATACCACACCAACTGCTTCAGAGATGGACAGACAGATTTACAACACAATGGAAACATGGCAATGACCAAGGTAGGGAGCTAGTAAGTACAGCTATACTACCATGTTTCCCTGAAAATAAGACAGGGTCTTATATTAGTTTTTGCTCCAAAAAAAACTATTAGGGCTTATTTTCAGAGGATGTTTTATTTTACAGTCATGTCACCTTCTGGTTGCTGCACAATGCTGGAGGGCAGGGTTTCACATAATTGGGGCTTATTTTGGGGGGTAGGGCTTATATTACGAGCATCCTGAAAAATCATACTAGGGCTTACTTTCAGGTTAGGTCTTATTTTCAGAAAAACAGGGTAATGAGCCTTAGAATTTTCTGCTCATGTAAGAAGAGCCCTAATATACCAGCCCTGAATTAGTAACAATAATGCTGTAAGGTTCTTGGGATTTACACATGAAACAAAACTGAAAGGTTGGGGTGCGAAAAATTCAGCATCCTGGGACCAACACCTGTATCGCATACAAGTTTATTCAAAGATAACTCACACAGATACCAACAGGACTTATGGTTCTTTGCATGCACAGGATTAGACAGTCTGAATCTCACTCAAAAACATTTATTGTGATCACTAAGATGTGCACTTCGTACACAAATGCCTGTTGCAGATGTCAGGATGGTTTCCTGCACAGCATAATTTGGAACTGAGAGCCATCTAAATGGAGACTTGCTTTTCTCTAATTCCTCCTTTGTGTCTTTAAGCCCCTTTTCCTTCCTCTGTCACTACCAGACACTGTTAAAAGTAACTTGTGAATCTCCCATAGTTTCAAATTCTGTTTTGCAAGGGAACCATGGTTTATATAAACCATCATCTGAGATTGTGCATACCTGACTCTAACAGCACAACCCTAAGCAGGGTAACTCAAAAGAAAGCTCTCCCAAATATATCCGCACCTGCTCTCTGATAACTGTGTATGGCCTAAGCCATAGTTAAGGGTAAATGAGGAAAGAGGAGAGAGGAATCCCTCAGGCAGAACTTGGGGAAGCACACATCTTGAAAATTAACTTCTGGCGGGCAAACCATGATTTGCAAGGAACAAGTATTACAATGCACAGGGAATGAGAGCCACACATGGTGAGTGGGGGGAAAAGTGATGTGAAGCAATGAGCTACCTCGGTACAAAGATGGAACCGTCATGCGATTCATGGCTATAATGATATAATACAGAACTGGCAATAACTAAGGTCCAGATTATCCTATGAGGCACTGCTTCCAGATATGAAGTCAGCATTGGCTAGTAAAGGTTCTAAAATGAAAATGCTGTGGATTGCATCCTTTTTATGAGACTTTATTGTTACTGTTATCATCATCATCAACAACTTACAACTGCAGAGTTGTTCTGCTCTACAGTGTGCCCTAAAACCAATAAAACAATTTGAAGTGCAGCCGGAACACAAGATGCACATCTGCATAACACTACAAAAATGGCTCCCTCTAAAGCTCTGGAAGCACTCACAACGTTAACAACATTAGGGAAATGCAAAATGTTCCTCAGGGATAGAACAGCTCTTGCATCGAGCTATTTTGCACACGGTGACAATGAAGCTTTTATCTAATGTACAGCCAAGACCTAAGAACAGCTGAGTACTTATAAAAGCTTACATATGCTTCCAAGTATTTTCAATACAATATTCTGTTTACCTTGCAATTCTGCAGAAGTCGGATCAGATGCTCAAAGCAGTTGCTGTTAAGGAAAATAGCTTGCAGAACAGGCCTATCTGTGCAGTCTAACATGGCAGTGATGGTATCTAAGGGCAAAAGCGAAAAAAATCAATTACACATGTGAATACTTCTTAAAAGTACCTCCTTTTGTGTATCCTTTGGAACAATGGTTCCCAACCTTGGGTTCCCAGATGTTCTTGGACTAACACTCCCAGAAGCCTTCACCACTAGCTGTGTTGGCCAGAATTTCTGGGAGTTATAGGCCAAGAACATCTGGAGACCCAAGGTTAGGAGCCACTGTTCTGTAACAAGGAAAATGAGAAGAACTCAGTATAAAGCTCAGAGAAACCACACAGAGGGTGCTCAATAAAAGGAGAGAATACATCTTTATGGTTGACTGCTCCACTATGCACTGCCCACGTGCAGAAAGGGGAAGTCCATTTTTATTAAGAAATTATGCTATGCCTGCTGGGTCTGTCCAAAGGCCACTCCAGGCCAGCGTGTTATCACCGTGGCGAACAAGATGGCTATAGAAAACTAGCAAGTAAGGTATAAAGGCAGTAGCTCGCTCCCACATTTATCCATGAGCAACTGCTACCAAAAAGCATTTTGTCCCTGAATCTGAATACAGTGGTGCCCCACATAGCGACGATAATCCGTTCCGAAAAAAATTGTCGCTATACGGATTCGTCGCTATGCGGAACAAAAAAGCCCATAGGAATGCATTAAAACACGTTTAATGCGTTCCTATGGGCAAAAAACTCACAATTATGCGAAAATCCTCCATACGGCCGCCAGTTTTGCTGCCCGGTGAGGAAAGGGCGCGAAAACACTGTGGGCGGCCATTTTTTTAAACCTGGTGGCCATTTTGGAACCGCCGATCAGCTGTTAGAAAAAACACCACTATGCAAAAATCGGTAAGCGAAACAGCTTACCGATCATCACAAAGCGATGTTTTACCATTTAAAACATCGCAATGAGATCGCTTTTGCGATCGCAAAAAAACCATCGCTATGCAGATTCGTCGTTAAACAGGGCGCCCGTTATGCGGGGCACCACTGTATTCTGTTTAGCCGTCATAGCTACACACACAGGTTCAAAGCTAAGAACTGTGGGATTTTTTTGACAACTCCCAGAATCCCCCAGCTAGCACAGACACCAGCCATGTTGGTTGGGGGATGCTGAGAGCTTCAGTTTGAAGGTCTGGTCATAGATCTGGCCTCCATGAGTTTATCCCATCTCCCTTTTAAGTGGCCAAAGACTCTTGTAACATCTTTCCAAACTGAATGCTATAACCTCACATTTTAACCCTCTTTGCTCTCCTTTCTCAAATCCTAAAGGATCCCATTACTTACTCAGCATTTGAATCTGCAGGGCTATGAACCTGCTCTCCCACTGACGAGATCTTCTTGAGTTTGGCAGAGCTGTGTGGTCTGAGTTGAGCAACTTGAAGTAATTCTCCAGGATCGTACTGGTTTCTACTTGCCGCTGATCCGAGCTGCTAGTTAGAAGGATGTGCACCACTTCTGTCAGGCACTTGAGCGTCAACTCGGCTTTCCTGCTCACTTCGTCTGGGTCTCTGTTGTCCCACATGTCACAGTCGGCCAAAACCCGCATCAAGACTTCCATGGTGGCAGGAGATATGGCTTGAAGAGCATTTCTCTAACATTGACCAATAAAAATGAAACAGCTCATGATCAGTATTTTGGTAGACTGTAGCAACAGCCAGTTCTTTTAAAGGAACATTAACCTATTCATGGGCTGTTGTAGTCATTAGAGGACACTAATGATTTTGCTATGTGAAGACCATGACAGACAGGTCTAAGGGGAGGAGCTGCAGTTCAGACAGAGGGCACCTGTTTCATATGCAAAAAAGAAAGGTTACTTACCTGTAACCAAGGGGAGGAGCTGCAGTTCAGTCAGAGGGCACCTGTTTCATATGCAAAAAGGCCCAATTTCAACCTCTGCCATTCCTAGGAATATTTTTAAAGCATCAAATAAGCCATATGGAAAACCCTTCACTGCACAGGTTAGATGGTATACCGTATGACCTGGGATAAAGCAGCTTCTTATAATTCCTAGATTTGAAGCACTTCCACCTAATATCAGGCTGAAATATGTAGGGAAAGCCTGATTCATTTCTAGTCTATTCTTGTTCACATTTCAACATTTCTTGCCACCAAAAAGCAGCGGCACTGTTTTATTCACTAAAGGAACTGATTCAGCTTAACAATTAACAATTTATTTTTTTAATACCCAGAAAGAACCAATTCCTACAAGAACTTATTCATTATATAGCAGGGGTATAGAGCACACGCTGAAAAGAGCTGCTTTCAGTACCATGACTCTTATCAATTTTTAATTTTTAACTTAGGATCAGCTAGTGAAGCAAGGAATAACACCATTACTAAACCAAAGGTTCATAGTTTTGTACATGCCTACACCATGGCTACAAGTTTTGAGACCAAATGTGCACCTGAGTAACACAGAGCATATTATGTTAGCTGGTGCAATGTCCACTGAACTGACCATTATGGAACTTAGTGGAGAGTAGCTGCTTGATCCCAAAAGAGGCCTGCATTCACTGCCTTGCATGCCAGGAGTCCCAAATTCAACCTGCCAAACCTCAACATTAAAAAGCTCCCCACCAGCCAAGCCTTCTAAATCAGGTGGGAGATCTCTTTCTATTGATTCTTGCGTGGCAATTAAGCTAGGAGACAGGAAATGCACGAATGATTCTCTTGTGCATCCCCTTTTCCTTGCACTCTCGATTTAGCTGGGAATCACTGCGTGCAAGAAGAAGCATTCTCACGTGCCCTGCCTCCCAGCAGAATCAGGATCCCACCAGTCCACTCTGTCCATGAAACAAGATGCATTAGGGTGACTCTACTCATGTACACTACGTGCAGGAGAGTCACAGCAGAAGCAGTAAGGGGAAATGTGGGACACTTCAGGGCTGCACAGCTCCATCTCCCCCCGAGACCCACAGGTTGTCCACTTCTAAACTAAAGGAACATAAGACAGCTGTTTTCTACCAGGTCAGGCTACTGTTCCATTTAGCTTCATATTGGCTGCACTGACAGGCAACAACTGCACAAGTTTCAGTTGTTGTGATCTGGCAATGTAGACAAAATCCTTGAATTGGTCCAGCCCAATATATATGACACTTGCCTATCATGGTTGATCAGATCTAGCACGGGTCGACAGACTGGGTGGGTCCAGGAGATGGTAAATGTCTCATTACGGCAGGGGGTGGTGCCTTCTGCAAGGAAACAGGTGGTGGTGCACCATCTTCCAATGAGGACTTCTGAGGACCCAGAGGTATGTGGCAACTACCACCCTGTTGCAAATATCCCCTTTTTGGGGAAGGCCGTATGGTAGCTGGGTGGCTTCAGACATTCTCGGAGGAAACTGATTGTCTGGACCTAGTCCAGTCAGGTTTCAGGCCAGGGTTCAGTACAAAAATGGCCTTAATTGTCCTGCTCTGGATAAGAGAGAGCAGCCCATCAACCTTTTGGCACCATTGATCATGGTATCCTCTTGGGCAGACTCTGTGGAATGAGAATGAGAAACAATATACTGCCAGGGTTCTGATCTTCAGAACTGGTTCTAAAGAGTGGCACTGTGGACTTCTGCTCATGGCAATTGAGCTGTTGGGTGTTGCAGGGTTCCATTCTATCTGCCATGCTGTTTAATATCTATATGAAGCCACTGGGAGAGATCAGTAGGAGTTTTGGGGTTGGGTGCCATCAATATGCAAATAGCAATCAGCTGTATTTCTTTTCATCACAAGGTCAGCTAAGGCTGTGCAGCTGCTGGACCAAGATCTGGAGACTGTAATGGGCTGGATGAGGGCCAGCAAACTGAAGCTGAATCCTGACAAGATGGAGGCTCTGTGGCTTGATGGTTCCCAGGCCCAAAGGTTAGGCAAGAGACATGCTCTGGATGAAGTCACACTCCCTTTGAAGGAGCAAGAGCACAGTTTGGATTCACCTTTGTTGTTGCAGGCTTATGTGAGCTCGGTGGCTAGGAGTGCCTAGGGCCAGTTTCAACTAGTCCATCAGCTATTATCATTGCTTGATAGGCATAACCTAGCCAAAGTAGTCCATATCCTAGTAATCTTTTGGTTATACTGCAATGCACTCTATGTGTGGCTACCTTGAAGATGACACCAATGCTGCAGCAGGTGCAGTTTGCAGCAGCTAGACTGCTAACAGGAACATCCTTCAGAAAAATAAGTTACTTACCTGTAACTCTGCCACTTCTTCGAGTGGTCATCTGTGAATTCACACTAATGGGTTAATCTGCGCCTAAGCAGAGCAGGTTTGGAACCTTCTAGAGCTTTAAGAACATGGTGCTGGGGCCTCCCACCTAGGCTATATCACCGCCCCCAGCACCAGGTGCCTCAGTTCCGTAGAACTGTCCGCTGCTGCACAGCACGCCGTATGAAGGACATGACACTCAGTGGGGAGGCAGGGCGGGGAGTGTGAATTCACAGATGACCACTCAAAGAACTTCTCCTTGAATACACAGTAATGGGTGACTAGCAAGCTGACCCACCACGAGATGCGTGTCACACCAGGACAGAGTCCAGGACTGCTCTCCCAATGGTAGTTTCCGCTTTAGCTCGAACATCCAGGCAGTAAAGGGCTGCAAAGGTGAAAGTTGCAGCCTTGCAGACATCCGTTAATTCCACTCCATGGAGGAAGGCTGTGGAAGACGCAATCGCTCTGGCAGAATGGGTCCGAATAGTGGGCGGTAGAGGGGTATGAGCCAGTTCATAGGCCAACTTTATTGTGGAGACTACCCTTCTGGAGTTGGTCTGCGGGAAGATAGGCGAACCCTTAGACTGTCCGTGAAAAGCAATAAACAGTCTCCGGGAAGAATGAAAGGATTCGGTCCTGGACAGGTAGTATGCAAATGCAAATTCGGTCCTGGACAGGTAGTATGCATCCAGTGAGTGAAGGGATCTTTCCAAATTTGAAGTTGGATTCGGAAAGAAAGTGGGAAGGACTAAAGGCTGGTTCAGATGAAATGATGTGGCTACTTTCGGTAGAAAGGAGAGATCCGGAAAGAGGGTAACCTTGTCTATATGGAACTGCAAGAACGGTGGGTCAGCTTGCTAGTCACCCATTAGTGAGCATTCACAAAGACCACGAAGGAGAAAAAGAAGTTACTTACCCCCTTCCCTATATCACAGGATCACAAGACCAGTTATAAAGTTGTATAAAACAATTAAATGCATAAGGTTTTAAAACTATGCACTTTTTAATAAATAAATGTTCCAGATGAGGTTTTTCCCGACATAGAAATACCATGGACTCATGGACTCCCCCACTGAGCTAAGGTGTTCCACCAGACAAAAACCAGCTCATGTCACATTCTCTCACAAATTAAAGGTCCCTTCTGGAATAAATTCTTCATGGCTAACAAGCATTCCCTCTTGAGCATAAGCCAAAAAGTCTACTATCAAATAAGAGTTTAAATCCCTGTGTCTTCTGACTGACCAAGAAGATGACACTAATATTTTCAGGATTCTAATCCTCACCTGCCCACCGGCCACAATGGCTCCAAAGAGATGCAGCAGGCAACATTTTAGGCTTTCTTTAAGATGTTCGCTTTCTTGAAAACACTCTGAAAGGAGAGGAAAAAGCAGTTTGCTATGTTAACCTTGAAACAAAACCACTTATAGATACATGTTTAAATAAAACTTTCCAAAAATAATGCTCACATCACAGTATGTTTCCTTAAGTTGAATAAAACAAAAAACCTCAAAACTGGCTCTGAGAATGTGCACTGCATGGTGATATTACTGATATGTACACTCAGTTCTACTGGATACTATGAAATCACAAATTTCAACACAGCCTATGAAAAAGGTAGAAATATCTGAAATGTAGATTTATCACAGGATGCTAAGAATTTTGTGGATCAAGAAAGTGGTCAATGAAATACAGTAGAGTGGGGGATACAATTCCACGGGGACCTGGATGCTGAAAAATGCAGAAGTATTAAATGCTATACATTGCATGGTCTCTGGCTGCCTCTAGTGGCCAGTTCTGGTAAACATGCCCTGGAAATACATACAAATAGGTATTTCTGGGATTTTTTTTTTTATTTAGTATTTTCAGCCTGTGGATAAGTGAATCAGCAGATGCTGATCCCATGGATTGGGGGAGTTTGTGTGTCCTACTGGACTGAGTAGAGCAACAAAGACCAAGAAAAAAAACATACAACGTCTAGAAAGCTAGAGTATTTCTGGCATGCAACAAAAAACAAAAAGCATAGTTTTGTTAGATCGCTCAAAATAAAATAAATGGGAAAAACAACTGTGTGGTTACAGAACTTGGGTTTGGATGCAACACAAAGAGCTGACATACCCAAAGTCAAAACAACCATGACAATGACATCCAACCTCTAGTGGGACAGGAACAAGGAAAACATTCTTTGTTTTCTTACCAAATAAAACAGGAATGAAGTAAATGAATGAATACACTTATACACATAGTAACGAATAATGAATCTATTATTCCTTCATTCACTAGTTTCAAGACCTATAACCTGTCATCAGTTCAAAACTTTAGCTATACCAGCAACTTCTAAATCATGTCACAGAAATGCTGAACTATGCCTTGAAAAGACTATGGTGGAAGAACGAGCAATGACATCTTCCTGAAAAATAAAAGTAGACTAGGATTTCGTGAGGAAGCCCACTTCAGTCTACAAGCAGAGGGGAATCCTTTTTACAGAAAGTGGGGTATGCTGACTGATTAACTGACGAAGCAAAGAGGGTGAAGAGACATTATAAGCAGAGATGGGCACTTACCATTGCTCAGTGGATCAGGTCCGCAAGTATTGCACAGGTGCCCCGGATTCCACACCCTGCCTTCTCCTGCAGGTGCCCCATCATAAGCACCACAGTGAGCTTCCCAGCCCCCCCTCCACTGACTGGTCAACTGCGAGAGGAAGCGGAGTGTGGAATCTGGGGTGCGTGCACAACACCTGTGGGCCCAATCCTCCAAACCATGCCGAACCATAGTAAGTGTCCATCACTAGTTGTAAGGCAGTAAGCCTGACAATGGCACAGCTGCAAAAGGGATGCTTCCTCCATTTTAGGGAGCTGATTTGCTCCAACAAATATACTGATACTCTGCCAAGCGACAAAGCATATTTCCAGAAAACACTGCATTCCATTAATGCACCCTTTTTGTCCCTTAACTTCCATCCCAAGTGAACATTACAGTATAACGCTGCTAGCTACTCCTCACTCAACACAGCACATCACTAGTGTCTCAGAAGGCCTGAAGTAAAACATCATCTATAAAGAGCAGAGTCACAGGGCAGTCATATCCATCAATATTTGAAGGATACTTGAAGGACCACCTCTTTCCATATGAGCCTACCTGGCTGTTACAATCTAGCCAGGGGGCCCTTTTGAAAGAGCCATCCCTCAAGGAGGTAAGAGGGATGGCTTGTAGACAAAGGGCCTTCTCGGCAGCTGCCCCCAGACTATGGAGTGCCCTCCCGACTGAAATTCGTCTGGCGCCAATACTGATGACATTTCGGTGCCAGGTCAAAACCTTCCTGTTCCAGAAGGCTTTTAATTCAAATAACATTAACTGTGGGTCTTGATGATGGCAATTTTAATTGTATTTTAATTGTATTTTAATCATTTTATATTTTATTGTATTGAATTTTAATTGTTGTAAGCCGCCCAGAGACCTTTGGGTAGAGTGGGCGGCATATTAGATAAATAAAAAAATAAAAAAATAAAAATAAAATAAAATAAAATAAAATAAAATAAAATAAAATAAAATAAAATACATACATACATACATACATACATACATACATACATACATACATACATACATACATACATACATACATACATACATACATACCAAATTTGTGTATGAGTGAACATTAAAACATTAAATATATTTTTCTCAATATATTTAGTTTTATAAGCCACATGATTGTATTTAGTATTCTGAAACTGCTTAACCATTTTAAAGCAGCAGTTTAAAACACTCAAACTGTACAAATCTTACAGAGTCAAATGATCATTACACATAATTCTGTACACCACAAACATACTTGGAAAACTCAGTGTGACTTACTTCTATGTAACAGTGTTAAAATTAGTATCTGAGATGAAAAAAGTATACACATCTCTTCAAAAATAGCACACGTAATAGATAAGCAATTTTTCTACAGATAGCATATAGCACATTAAAAAAAAATATCCAAAGTTTTCCACATATTTTGCTCCTTGCTACGAATGACTTTATTTATTTTATTTTATTTATTTATTTATTCGATTTTTACCCCACCCCTCTAGAGAACGTCTACTCGGGGCGGCTTTCTTACATATGATAAAGAGCTTTTGATAAGATACATCTGAGCAAAGCCAGGATGATGACAACATAACTGTAAGGCTATCATGTGGGTATTTTATCTCCTTTGTGCAGCCTGAGGGTATACCAGTAGATCTGATGGATCTGTACCAAGTTTTCTATGCTACTACTGAAGATCTTGGATAGCTTGAACAACTGTTGCCTTCACCGCCTGAACGATCAGTTTACACTCACAATTTGCAAAGAGCATTTTCAAAGGCCATTATCTACTTTGTGTTAAATTGGGGGTATAGCAGTTTACATGGTAACTATAGCTTAAATCCTACACGTTCAAGTAAGGAAGTTCATGGAAGGAAATATTTCCATGGTTTTCTTTTTCTTGTAAGAGTCCCTCTTAATAATGTGGGATGGACACAACAGGATTCACTGCAGGGAAAAGAAGCTAAGATTCAAATATCAAGAAATAACATGAAGTCACTTCTATTCTTAGAAAGTTGAGTGCCTTAAATCAACTTAAGTATTCAGTTCTAAATATTTGATCTATTACATCAGCATGTTTTCAACAGATCTCAGATACAAGGAAAAGACATTTGTGCTTCCAGATTTTAAAAACTGCTTTCTTTATCTGGGAGACCACTATTCTCTTCTTTTTTTTAATGCACAAAAGACAATAGTATTGACATCTCATATGGTAGATCTCTAAATATTTTTCTTCTGAAGTCAAATAATACATCTAGCACACAAGAAAAGAGGGAGTAAAATCCATCAAGGGTTTAGACATGACATCTATTTACTCGAAAACTGGCTTCTGTGATTATTACAGTAAAATGCCAGAACACAAATTAATGGCATGTTTCAAATTAAACAGAAGCAACCACAAAGCTGTACAGAAAGATCATTCACACTGATGTTTTCTTTTTAAAACCACTGTGTAAGAAAAGTAGACAGCAGCAACATGAGAGTGAGCAAGCTTTAAAAACATCTGTACCATCTGCAAAGAAATCTATGGGAATTCAAAAAAGCATTTTGACTGATGAGCAAGGGATGCTTATCAGTATTAGAGTGGGTCTAAAGCTTTTGATGTGGAGCAATGCAACTATCTCAAAGCAAAAACATCCAGACAAGGTGAGCAACTGATCAAACAATGGACATGTATGAATCATACACCGTGAAGGTACAATTCATTAGCTCTGTAGGGTGCCATAAGTGCTATCACAAATGCCATATTGGGGAACAAAGTCAAAGATTAAAAACTCCTACCTGATCAAACAGTTTTAGAATCAGCTATCACAATATAGCCAGTTCTGGATGGGATTACACCCCCTCTGAATGACCCGATTCACAGCTTGGGGATACTTTTGGACCCAGTTGTATTAAGGTAATCTTTTGGTTAGACTACTGCAATACACTCTATGTGTGGCTGCCTTGAAGATGACACCATTGCTGCAGCAGGTGCAGTCTGCAGCAGCTAGACTGCTAAAAGGAACATCCTTCAGAAAAAGAAGTTACTCACCTGTAACTCTGCCACTTCTTCGAGTGGTCATCTGTGAATTCACACTAATGGGTTAATCTGCGCCTTAGCAGAGCAGGTTCGGAACCTTCTAGAGCTTTAAGCACATGGTGCTGGGGCCTCCCACCTAGGCTATATCACCCCCCCCAGCACCAGGTGCCTCAGTTCCGTAGAACTGTCCGCCGCTGCACAGCACGCCGTATGAAGGACATGACACTCAGTAGGGAGGCAGGGCGGGGAGTGTGAATTCACAGATGACCACTCAAAGAACTTCTCCTTGAATACACACTAATGGGTGACTAGCAAGCTGCCCCACCACGAGATGGGTGTCACACCAGGACAGAGGCCAGGACTGCTCTCCCAACGGTAGTTTCCACTTTAGCTCGAACATCCAGGCAGTAAAGGGCTGCAAAGGTGAAAGTTGCAGCCTTGCAGACATCCGTTAATTCCACTCCATGGAGGAAGGCTGTGGAAGACGCAATCGCTCTGGCAGAATGGGTCCGAATAGTGGGCGGTAGAGGGGTATGAGCCAGTTCATAGGCCAACTTTATCGTGGAGACTACCCTTCTGGAGAAGGTCTGCTGGAAGATAGGCAAACCCTTAGACTGTCCGTGAAAAGCAATAAGTCTCCGGGAAGAATGAAAGGATTCGGTCCTGGACAGGCAGTATGCAAATGCAAATTCGGTCCTGGACAGGTAGTATGCATCCAGTGAGTGAAGGGATCTTTCCAAATTTGAAGTTGGATTCGGAAAGAAAGTGGGAAG